TTTTTAATGGTCTTTCATTCCCTGTGTTTCGGTTTTTGCTAGCCGTTCTTCTGTACCCTTTGGCGGCAAAAGTTCTACTGACCTATCTTTGGATTTAACGGGGGACTCTAAAAGTGTGTGAGTGAGGTTTTGAATAATCGACTTGGAAAGGGACATATGCATTAATCGAATGTCCTTCTAAACTAGACTATTTGTTGTTTTGCCGCTAAATGTCGACAGGTCTCCAAATAGCGAGCAAGACATGGTTCTTTGTTGGTGCAATAACCTGTGCATTTTTACTGTTATTTCTGATAGCTTTCACATTTATTCTGGTGATCATATTTCTTCCCGCAGCTATAGAAAGCAAGTTCGTCCTGCACCCAAAAAATCCTGCCCACTGAGTTCTGTTTTTTGGCAAACACAGAGAGCGAAATGTTACCACCGGACCCACATGGTATTTTCCCATTACTGAACAATAACCTTATCTCCGTATGCTTTTATGTGTTGTCATGCAGTTTCGCTTTGTTTTAGATGTCATGCAGCAATCCACAACCTTCCGTGAACTCCATCTGGGAACCAACAACATTTTCCTCATGGCACGCCTACTGAACATCTGGACAGAATGTGACCCCTGCGAAACTACATCTGCTACCTCTATACAAATGCTTTGGCTAGACAAAGAGGTACGTCTATAAAAAACAAAACTACTTCCTGCTTATACTTTAAACATAGAATGTTTAGTGAACACATGTTTCCAACATTGTAACTGCTATAGGGACAGCTTATGGAAGCTGTTGTGCGATGTGGAAACTCTCCTGACATGTGTTCAGACATGAACCTTGGTTGTCTCTACACCATGATAAACCCAACTGTGATACCGGCTAAATCTGAACGTCGAATTGCACCTTCCACTTTGAGATTGTCTTTCACAAATAGAGGTGCGTTCGAAGGAATCCATGAATATCGCAGCACCATGACTTTTCCAGATGACTGTGCCCATCAAGTCCTTTGTGATTACAGTGTTTCTCCTGCAAGTCTCCCACTCTGTTACTCAGGTATTTCTTCTTCGTGCTTAACCAACTGAACACAGCATCCTGCATCTTAAATTGATGCACAGAATATTTTATTTCCCTAAATATAATATTTACAGACCACATGCAACCAAATAACTCAACCAGATTCATGCTTCAGAAATCACAGGATGCGTGACGCACATAACAGAACCACTTAGGGTCAATTCTGATACATTTATGTTCCAAATCTATCTTGAAGACATGAGGTATGCTTCGAAATCAGTTTATGTTTTATACGTTTGAATGGAAATGGGTCTGTATTAACACTCATTAGTTGTCTTCCAACTTCATAGTGGCAATAAAGGACTTGTGAGCTACATCGGAACGCGGATTAAACAATTCATTCATAGTGCTGATGGAAGCGAGGTGCATTATCCTCTGATCATTACAGCAACAGGCCTCACCCGAAATGTCCACGAATTCACCCATATTCCGCCGTTTTGTTTCGTGACATCTCCTGGGACCCGTCTCATTGTGCAACCATACAATGAAACGACACATCTTTTAATGAACAGGTATGCTGTACTATTTGCATCTTTCTTTTCATTATATGCATCTTCTTCTACCAGTTAGCTAATTGAACACAACAAACCTACTAGGTTCTTTCATAACAGATTGCCAGTGGACATCATTGACTACAGCTCGAAGGAGCGCCTTGGATACCTTCGGCGCAAGATTCCTCCCAGAATTTCACTGCTAGAATTGAAGACCAAAGTTCCATTAGGAGAAATGGAAACTGAGGTGACTTTCCTTACCTTCTTTGTGCAACTGTAGATTGTTAAGCAAGTATATATGAAAATTATCAAGCATCCTCAGGTGGCCTTCCAACAAAATAAATGTTTTAGTTACTCACAAAAACTGGATTTGACATTTTTCCTAATTCAATCCGTGTGACAGATACTCTATCGATGCAAATTGAAGATACTTAAGTTCCATCTTGGTTCTGAGACCTGCAAAACTTTTCCTGAAGACACTGAGTATTTCCAAATTACGACTACTTTTCTTTTCCTTATTGTTAAGTAACAATTCATTGCTACCACATCTCTAATCTACGTATACGTTTAGATTGTACTACGAATTGCAGGCTGAATGCGAATCAGGAAATCACACCGCAACAATAGTTCTGAATCATCAACCTTCTCTTGCTCTAATCCGTATGCCACCGCTCGAGTTCCAAATGATGCCATATGACGAGAGAGTTGAGTTGCTCAAAACATTCTGCAATGTTCAGCTGATGGCAGAACTGTACATCGTGGGATCAGAAGATTCAGATGAACCACACATCCGCATGTTTGCGATTTGGGATTCAAAAGCATTTCAGCCATTGCGAGAACTTAAATTGCGCATCTGACCGAAGTCCTTACATTGCAGTCAAAGAAGGTACATTCCTTCCTACTTTTGTTTTGCATTCAGTGGAACATTAGTGTTCGTGGGCACAACCATTTTTTGCGCACTAATAAATACCCACATGTCTGTTCTGATTGCAGCTCTTAGGACTAAGGAACGAATTGGGTTGTTGGCTGAGGAAGGATCAAAGTAAGGCAGGCCCAGAAGACATGGATTGCAACATTATTAGTTAATTCGATCTTTTGAGAATTGGAATAGTCCATCTTTATTTCCATTCTGAACATAAACTGTTCTGGTACGTTGTGTATGGTAGCTACCCTTTAAGCTCAACCATCCAAATAGTTCAGACCTAAACAATGTACTTGGCAATGCACGTTCGTATTTTATTCGTCTTAGTTATGCCCTTTCTGCAGTTCCTTTGTTTTACATGTGTTTGAGTGTTCTGTCTTCACTCTTGTGTCGTTACTGTTCTGTTATATTAGATCTCAAGATCATTACAGATATCATTAACCACCCCTTATTCGCTATCTACAGTGTACTGTGTTCCTAATGTAACCTCCTCTAATTCGACTAAAATCGGTCATTCCCTTCTAGCCTCCAGTGTTAGTATGTTTCCCCCATTTGCTGTACTGTTGCCTCAGTTGAAAAGTAATAGATTCCCTTCACACCACTTGTCTTTTAGTCTTTTCTTCTACGACCATTGTTTATTGTATTTTGAATCATTTTGGGCCGCAGAAACACTGAACAGTTCGAGAGAAAGTTTATGTGTTTTGTTGTTTTATTCAACGTTTAGGAAGATCCCTGCTCTTATCTCACCTTTCATCCTCTCTCATCAACTTTACTCTTCTTCCGCTATTTCCTCACTAAAATCCTAAATCAGCATACTGTTCCTGTTCAACCTTCCTTCTGGTGTCATCCGGTTCGATCTTCGTCCCCAATTCCCTCACAAAAGAGACATGCTTCCGCAAAAGCTGCTTCTGGATTTGAATGGAACTGAAGGGCCAGAAGCTGCTCTCAAGATACGACTCTTGCATGTTTGGGGTTATTGCAATTCAGAAAATCCATCCATTCTCTCACAGTTTTGCAGTCTTTGGACCGATTCCAAGGTAATATAGCATTTCCTTTAACGTTTTTTGTTGCAATTGCCAGTGCAAATTGTGCTCTTCGGTCATTTCTCTTGCTTCGCCTCCTCCCTGTTTAACAGGGAACCTTAATCCAGGCCATCGCGACACCACATTTAGGTCACCGATTTGGCCCACACCTGCAACTAGGGTGTGTCTACTTAGTTACTGGATTCCAGCTGGCAAAACCACACCCACTGTGCCGCCCTTGCTCCCATAGATTTAGTTTGGTCCTTTCTCAGGGAACCATATTTGAGGATGTAACCATGTTGTCACCGGGTTTCTGTGCTGATTCATTTGAGTTTTTTCACTTCAGTTCCTTGCACGGCTTACCTCGCTCAACAAACCAGCTCATAGGTTCACCTGGCAATTACTGTAATCTCATCACATATACTTCACTTGGTTTTTTGCACTAATGAATTGACGCTCTTGTAACACCTCTTCAAATGTAGATGTTGTTGGCAGAGTTGTTTCTGTGAGCGGGTTATCCTGTTCGGCAACATCCACTGGTGCTATTATTAGGCGGAAACTGGTCATACAAAACGAAAGGTTTTCAATGCAATGCGATTGTGTACCTTTCCATTTGTAGTTGATTAAACGTAATTCCAATCATCTCCGTCTAGCCTGCACTTGACTATTGCAGAAATATACGTGTTAACATCACCATATGTGGCGATGTTGCTCGATCACTAGATGGAGAAGAACTAGCATACCTTGGCCGCATGGGTTCTGTTATACTTGGTGTATGCAGTCTTCAAGTTACTGACGCCACAACAGGTTTACACTGCACCTTTATCCCTCACAGTTAATGCTATTGCTAATCCATTCTACGACGACTCACATCTCCTTTCCTACTTTTACCAAAGGCGGCATTTTTTTAACCAGCACCTCCGCTACACGGTTTGTTTTGGAGCCATCTTCTGAATTGGCAAATGTTTTGCGTGCTACGTAAGTCTCTTACAAGATGCCGCTTTTAGTAATTTACTTTCCGTTTATCTCATATACTTTCGAAATTGTAGTGCTACTGGTGGTACAGATACGATCCGATATTATCCTCCATGCTTTTCCACTTATTTTGAAGAGGAAATGTTTCGAGCTGACAGTACCAAGACAATTATGGACCTCATCCGCCTTTCCAGAAATCCAATGGTTGACGTGCGTTCTTTTGTCATACCTTTTACTGTCACAGCACTGTGTCTTATTACTTCATGGCAGGTTAAAGCATAATCTGCACTATTAATGTAGCCAGCCATTATTTTCATGCTTCAAAATTTATTCTGCCTCACCACTAGATGGATCTGTTTTTCCAGTCCCTTTTCCCAGTAAACTAACAAATTTCTTGCCTGCTTAGCTAAATTTTCTCACCAGTTTTGTTTACCTACAGGCTACCCAGTACTATTGTTTGGCGCAAGTCCTCTCCACTGAGGCTTCAAGATCATGGTTCTACTTAGGATGTGCCTTTTGCTTTAAGACAGCTAGGGAATTTCCTGGCACTGGTGATTTTTTTTGTGAAGAACATGGCCAACTAAAGGCTGAAGAAACCGAACATTGGTTAGTTTAAAATCCACCTTTTCCCCATCAGTCAAGTGGGCACGCCCAATTCAACCCTGAAATTTTAATACATTTTTACAGCTACAAAATTCATTTGGCTGTCGGAGACACTACTGGTTCGGCGTGCTTCGTCGCACTTGGAAAGACCGCTGAATCTTTGCTTGGAGTTACAGCAAACGAACTATTGTTGCAGCATCCCCACCGCCATGGCCATTTCCCTCCGGCAATTGTGGCCATGAATGGATGTTGGTTTTCGTTTTGTGTGCAACTCCCTAAACCTGGATATCTGGCTCAGACTCCTCTGGAGTTTACTATACTTTCTGCATTCGACCGCAGCCAGCTTTAACAATAAACTAATGAAAACGTCAACGCTTGCGCAGAAAGTCATTGTGCTCGACCGTTGTCTTACCTATATTATCCCAGTATTTAGCAATATTTGCACTTCAACATCAACAGACTTATGTATCCGCGATGTACGTACAAACTATTCACATGCACAATGACTCCGCTTTTTCGCTTACAACTCTCCATTCCCACAATATAGTCTCCCCGCCGCAGAGCGCGGGCTTCTTTACTAGTCATTAATAATTTCATAACATAGTTCAATAATTAGCTGCTGGCTAGGGCCAAAGTGGGTATCGTGCTACTTGCTTTGAGCTGGGCCAATTGGCCGGTAGACAAATGTTTTCGTTAAGATAATTTGGGTTGTGGATGACGATACATGAAATTGTTGTGTAATATGATGGTATAAAACTAATCAATATTGGAACAACTTGTTTAAATATACTCTATAAGTTATGGTAGTACATGAGCTATAGTTTAGTAACTATGTACTATGTAGAATAAGAGCGTGACTCATGAATTGCTACCATATTTTTTATTTTATTTTCAACATCTATAAAAATGGCTATCATGGTGAATCTTTATTCTTTGGAGTAAAAGTATCCAAATCCAGAGTTGGAAAAAAATTAATTGAATGAGAATAGCTCCGGCATTGAAGAAGGCGGGAAAGAATGCGCCGGGTATGCAGGGTGCTAACTTGGAAGCATAAGAAGTCCAGAAATTTTAATTTTTGAAGTATAAATGGAGAAATGATTATTATATTTTAAAAATATTTTTATAATCAAATCGGTCACTGAACTAAATTATTTAGTAATTTATAGTTCAATAATTAACAGTTATATACTACAACAAACATCATTTCTAGCTAACGTCAGAGTACGTCGTGGCTAAAAGCCCTATAAAACCATTACTGAAGATTTCTGTGACGAAACAATCGTCACTAAAGTAAAATCCAGTTTGTCACATATACTGGTCACCAAAAGTTATATGCGACGAGATTATTGCCACGACTAATGATGTTGTCGGTCGTTGAAAGCCTATGTTTCTTCACGTAGGAATATTCCACGACGAATTGTGTCGTCACAAAGTCCGACTTTCAGCGACCACATATCTGTAGCAATAATCACTTTGCAATATAACTTCCTGAACCGAAGAGTGACCTTCGGTGACGACAATTTCCGTCGTCAATAGATTTTATGCCAAAATTGTTAGTTTTGCTATTTTTTATTTCTGGTCTTTGTTAATAAATTATTAAATAATCAAATGTTGGCGCAGACGGGAATACAAAAAACCATTCTCATTAACGGTAACAAATATACAATCTTGTTCAAATTAGAAGCTCTTCTCGTAAAAAACATAAATTGACTCCTATGAAAATGAAAAAAAAAATGTTTAAATAAGTACATACCTCTATTTATAGCACTATATACAAGTAATATACAAAATTATTAATTATTCATACTCAAACTCAAACTAATCTTCAATCATATTAGAATAATCTCATACATAATATTAAAACTATATTTCATACTATAATGATAATCCTAAGTGAATAATTAATGTTGTGATACAAAACTTTTTGGGATCAATAAATTTAGTGTTTAACTAATGAAGTAATGAGTGAATATCTTGGAGGCACGAAGATTTGTTTTCAACGCTCTATTGGTGATTTGACATACACTTGGGATGAGATACGGTGACAACCCCATTAGGGGTTGTGAGATTGACAACACATTTTATAACCATAGGATCCATTCTCTCTCTTGTCTCTTTCTTCTTTTTTCAAATCAATGGTACAGATTGGATTAAGGGTTTTTTTTGGACGAAAAAATTGACCACACTAGATTATTACCCCTATTAATACCTAAAACCCTACACTCTATCTTTCTTCTCTCTCTCACGCCATCTTTCTTCTTCCTCCCATCTCTTCCCTCTCTCTCTATCGGCTGCCACCACCGTCGTCGCAGCCGACCCGCCACGCCGTCGCGGCCTCCTCCTCCCATCACCGCCGCGATGGCCTCCCACCACCGCCGCGATGGCCTCCCACCACCACCGTCGTCGCAACCCTCCCGCCGCCCTCTGTCTCCCACCACCACCGTCGCCACGAGGTCACCGCCTCTCCCCTGCCTCCCCCTTTCGTCATCCCTATTTTTTTTTTCCAGATCTGTGATTTTTCATCTTTCAGATTTGATTTTTTTTGTGCTAGTCTTTAGTAGTACGCTACCAGTGGCAATGGTATCGCTACCAGTGGCAATGGTACCGCTACAAATGGTAATGGTACCGTACCACTAGCATTGGTAGCGTACCACTAGCACTGATATATTAACTACCAGTAGACTAATAGATTGGTACATTTTTTTCAGGTTGCCGGAGGGAGTTTGCGGAGAGAATTCGCCGGAGAAAAAGTCTATCCATCGTAGCGGAGTGGCCGCAGGAGAAAGGAAGAGAGAGAGATAGATAGAGATATTAATGTATAGGATTTAAATTTAAAAAAAAATTGTATTTAATATGATTTTTTAATTTCGAATCTGATTAATACAAAAAAGGTAATTAATATATTCCTTTTTTCATACCCAAAATACCCTTGGTTGTCAATCTGACAACCCCTAAGGGGGTTGTCACCGTATCCCGTCCCATACACTTGAGCGCCATAGCAAAGTTGAGATTTCCACATTATTCACTTCTAGTTTATGCATAAATTAGACTTTAATAATTACACTTGAGTGTTGCCTTCATTAACACATGCTAAACCAATGACCAAAATAAGTAATATGCGTGGTACAATAGCATAGAGCAGTTAATCACACAGCCATACCGTAGGAGCAAATTTTTTAAAAAAAACATATTAGTCCTCAAAATCGGATTACAACATACTACACAAAAGGATACCTTTAAAAAAGACCATATAAATGCAAATATAAAATGTCACAATGCAACGAATAATAATTTTGCTAAATAAACAAAACGATGTAGATGATAGAAATTAAGCAACGAAAATAAGAAAAAGAAGATTTTGATTACTAGACATATAAATTTACATAATACCTTGAAGGTATGCACATAAGCAAATTATTTTTGTTTATGGGAGACAACAATGAACAACAACAAGAACATAATACATATAGTTACATAAAGTACTGCACAAAGCTATATTACAAGCATAAAATATATGCATTAAGTAGTACGGTTGCATGCATGTTGAGTAGAAGCTTTGGTTTTAGGCAGTAGGGTAAGAAGCTTGCATAGCAATGCCGCATATGCCTTCCTTAGCAGGAATATCTCTTTGCATTCGGATGTATCCTTCCTCTCCCCATTGAGCTCCCCATGAGTTCTTGATGAGCCAGTACTTCATCCCGCCGCTCTCACCATAACCGACAGCGGTCACTCCATGATCCAATTCAGTGCCACATTCTCCGGTGAAGATCCCGCTCTCATAGAGCTGGAACGAGGAATCCCCTGCATCAATTGCCACAGAGATAGGTTGACTAGCTACTGCCTTCAGCAATGCGGTTTCGCTGTTGGCTGGCACATCTTCGTACCCTTTGATTGTAGCTGCATGGTTGCCTTCTTTGCTAGCACTGCAGGATCCATCAGCAGCACTGTATGGGTAATTGGCCTCAGTGGTCAAGCCCTTGTTGGAGATGATGAATTTGAAAGCATCATCCATCAACCCGCCGCTGCAACCCTGGTCCTCTCCTTTGGTGTCACAGTCAACCAATTCTTGCTCCGAAAGGGATACCAATTTGCCGGTACTGAGTTGAGTGATCCCTTCCATGGCTCCCACCGCCGAAAACGCCCAGCAGCTTCCGCATTGGCCTTGGTCTTTGATTGGAGTGACGGCTCCCTTCTTCCTCCAATCCATGGTGGTTGGCACTGCGGTCACATTCTCGTACCTGAAGGGTCCTTGCTGTGCGGAGCACATGTGACCCTTGAACCTGTTCCTTGTTGCTCTGAACTCCTTGTTCGTCAGATCCGCAAACTGGTTTGTACCTAGCCTGTAAGGCTTGTCTCCGGCGGCATTGAACGAGTCGACAAGGGCTGCATTGTCCTTGAATATCTGGTACCGTGCCTCCTTCTCGTTGGCACTCCCGTAAACTCGCCCGTAACGAGCCATCCATTGCTCGTGTCTAAGGCGCATGGCGGCCTCGTGAGGGGCAGAGCGTGCCATGGCCTGAGAAGCCAGTGCTCCCAGAATGAAGATAGAAGCTAGAAAGAACAGCTTGGTATTGAGGACTGCCATCTTGGGAATGGTTGTGAGCTTCGAATTAGTGATGAAACAGAAGAGAGGGTTTGTGGCTTCTCTTAGGCTGACATGCTCTGCTTTTATATAGAGCAACAGTGCCAGGGCAGGGGATCAATCAACCATTACATTGTGTGCTGATTGCATTCAGATTGTATGCTTTATATCTAGTATCAACGTGACTTATAAAACGTTCTGATTTGGACCCATTTCCCTATTTTAATCACATGGTTGATTAGTGTTCGTCCATCCAAATAATTGACTTGTAATCCATCTTCAACGTATTTTGCTGTTTCAAAAGCCTAATTAAACTTCACTAAAAAAAACAAATGTACACACAAATTATATTTAAAATCATTAACATTCATGCACCAATCCACTTTCGTTTCATTTGGGTCTAATTTAATCAAGATGCTCTCACCAAAAAAAAAAAAAAAATTTAATCAAGATGCCAATTATTTCAGATTGTTGAGTAAAGATTAATTATTATGGGTTGTAAATAGGGCTGGCTATTTGGTCCCAGACTGTTTGGTTTTACCTGAAACCGGACCGTATAACCGGGACCGGGACCGGATAGCAAACAATACAATCTCATATTCGGGCTTAGATTTGAGGTAAAAAACACGGATAAAGACCGGATAAGAGACCCCCAACACCTAAAATCAAGATCAAATTGGGACCGGACCGAATCAAGACCGGACTATATCCAATCCAATCTTTGGTCCTTATATTTCCGAAAAGACCGGACTGAGACCGGATCAATTTGGTCCAATTTAACCGGACCGGACCGTATAGCCACCCCTAGTTGTAAATCATAAACGTTAGTCGAGTCATGTTGAGTCACCTATATATAGTGTTACATTTCTATGATAGTTCTCAGGGTTCCAATCTTGATACCCCAGTTGTTAAGCTAGAGGTTATAGTTTAAATGAGCCAAGAATGACATAACTAACTGAACTTATCATTCGATGACAATTTGAACATGCCCGTCGGGTATCATCCTTCCTGACTCGTGATGGGTAGGGATGGCAATTTACCCATCCATGGGTAATTTTGCCCAAACCCAAGTAGACCCATTTATTATGGGTAGGGTTTGGGTGATGAGTGTATGGGTTTGGGGTTTGTATATGGGTTTGGGTTAGATATGGATATTATCTAAATGGGTATGGGTTGGATATGGATATCCATTTACTTGAGGGTGTTTTAACTACACATGCAAAAAATTGGACTTATTTGTAAAACTTGAAAATTTTAGGTAGCAAAATGTAAAACCAAAACAATTTAGGTACCAAAACGTAATTTTCCATCGATATTTTGAGGACTTATATGCAAAAAAAAATTAAATTTAGGTACTAAATATGCATATCTATTAAGTTTAGGTACCAAACTGTAATTTGTATTTGGGCATGGGTACAAACCCAAATCCATTTGTTATAAACCCAACCCAACCCAAAGTAAATGAGTATGGGTACAAACCCATCAAACTTTACCCATATCCATATATTTGGATTTCATACCCAACCCAATTGGGTTGGATAGTAAAATACCCATGGGTATGGGCAAAATTGCCATCCCTAGTGATGGGATATATATGATCTGATCTACAGTAGCATGAAACGAGACATAAGTATATACTTCTGACCTGTCTCACCCTCTCCGTTCTATCTCAATTTCATACAATATCTATTCATATTTATCATATTTTGACTTTGCTTCAACTAGTTAGACTCAATTTCCCATTATATTATCACTGTTGTTTATTCATAAAATATTTTTTTCTTCTTTTATAGTAAAAAAGTAAAATTTTGCGTCTTATTTTTCAAATAACATATAAGAGTGGATAGATTGTTGAGCATTCGTTCCGAATCTCATTCTTCTGAAATGTTAAGAATTGAACACACAATCAGATACATGTGAAGTTAAGAACTCATTCTGATTCTCATTCTTGTGAAATGTTCTGAGTGAGCGATTGTTGAACATTGCGTACATTGATGTCGTATAAAACCATGGTCCAAATCTGTAGACTTGCACTCTCTTTGTCGTTGAATTAGAGTTGCACTCTCCTATTCCAAAGATTAGTGGTCCGTATAAACAAGTTGTCACTAATGGTTCAAGAGAAATCATTTCTTATCTTAGGTTTCAAGAAACTTAAGATGGAGTGATCAGTTCCGGCTCATTCGAAAGAAAAGTTTAGTTCAATAACTTGCTTAGGAAATGATAAAAGTTGAATGGCTAAACATGAAATTATCCGATTTCGAAAATTGAAATATGCAAGTGAATGACTGGAGGGGACAACCAATGGGAGAAGCCCACGTGGGGGAGGAGCGAAAACACAGAGGCCCGGAAGTACAGCCTGAAAATGGGCAAAGATGCCCCCATTGTTGTTACCTTCTTCTCTCGCTTTCTTTCTCTTCTTTCCATCTTGATGTCTATTTCTTCTTTTCCTTTCCCCAAATTACACTTTTCTCTGACGCGCACTCTCCATTTCCTTGTAAAAATGCCATAGACCGCAGAAGTCAGAACTCTCTCTTTCTCCCTCTCTCCTTTACAGTATGCTAGTTGATTAGTCTCACTCACATCACCGTTCTCAAAAATCCTCATTTACATCGCCATTTCTTTACTCCACCACATTCCCTCCCTTCCACGACTCCTTTCCACACTGTCTTCTTCATATCAATTTGGTGGTTTGCAGATCTGGGTATCTAAATACTACCCATTTGACCCAATGCCCCCGGTTTCCGTTACCCTTCTCTGCGCTTCTTTCATTCTTTCCTCTGGTTGCGACAGAGTCTTGGATCTCGATGTCCAGATTCAGAGCCCTCTTTCGTCTGTAAATATGGTGTAAATTTTTTCACACTTTCCCTGTTTGGGTTGGGTCTGTGTATGTTGTGTTGGGAAATGGGATCGAGCGGAAGCAAACCCTCCTCCGGTGGCGCATCTTCTTCTAGCGGCGGCGGTGGTTCCGCCGCCGCCGGTACTAGGCGGAAGTGTAGAAGTAAAGGGAGTAGGGGTTTCCAGTCCTATTGTCTTGGCCGGGGGTCTGGCTCTCGGAACAGTAATGGCAGCGTCGATGATCATGTCAGTCTGTCTATCTTGCCGCACTTTCCCTTTTCTCGTTCTCTCTCCCTCCTTGCCCTTTGACAATTAATAATGGTTATTTCTGCTGGCGCATTTCTCAGCTTTGCATATTTTCTCTCTTCCTTTGTTGCTTGAGTTGGAAACATTTCCTTTTTACTAATGTGTTTCAAGGTTGGGAAGTTGCCTAATAGTCGTTTGATTTTCTTCGAAGAATGGTAGTTGTGACAGAGCTCATTGGAATGAGCTAGTCATGTTTGTCGTTTGAGCAATGCAATGCATATTTAGAAGTCATGAGGCCTACATTATGGCACAGTAACACTGGTTGTGAAATAGTTAAGGCCGAGATGCTGTTGAGACACTTGGGTTTGACTCTCTAGCCAGAAGTAGTCGTTTTCTGTCGTAACCGCTATGTTAGGAACCATGGCTATGAACCTACGAATATTTTTCACCAGAGATTTCACTGCATATGCACGTACAGGTTTACAAGAAACCATGTTAAATACTTCATTAGTGATTTTGGTATTCGGAAGCCTTGGTTCGGGATGTTACTTTCGTTAGTTATACTTGCATGTCGTTTGGGGGCTAAATTTATCTCGGAAATTTTGTGGTGCTCTGGTAAATTCTCAGGTCTTTGAGCAAGGGAGTAAAGACGATGAGATTGAGGACTCATCCGATAATCAAACAGAGGGGGATCAAGTGAAGGTTGAATGCTGTAGAAAGGTTAAGGTTCAAGACTCTGATGATGTACCTTGTCTAACTTCTAATACTGATAATGATGAATGGAGTCAAGCCAGTATCTCCAATACTGCTTCGAGAACTGCTAGCAGTTCTGCCCGTGCTGTTTCTCCAAGTCGCTTCCTTTCTCGATTTAGCTTTATTCCTGGCAATGTGAGCTTCAGACTCGGCAGAGCAACAAGTTTAGGTTCTTCAAGGGAATATCCTCTTCCTTCATCAACTCTCAGAATGTCGAATGATGACGAGGAGATTTGTGCTCATCCAGCATCTGCTGATGGGAGAAATGATGTAGATGAATCTCGGCAAGATCCTAATGTTCTGCCTGCTTCATCAGTCTCGAGAACTTCAGCTAGATTTAGGATTAATAATCAACTGTCTGATTCTTTGGACAGGATGCAACCCGATCAGGGGATTTCTTCTGATCAATACAGTATAGGAAATGAAAGAAGCACCCACGTCTGGGTTGATAGAGATCTGGATTCCCCAGGAGCTTTGAATGATTTGGATGGTATTGAGACCCGACTTGCTGATAGGCGGACAGCAGCTAGAGAACCTGTTGAACGGAATGTTCGATTTAGCAGGACTTTAAGTGTTGGGAGACTTCGTGATAGAGTTCTCAGACGATCTGCTCTATCTGATATGTCTTTTTGTCCTTTGCCACATGAAAGAGAAGAGAGAGATGGTAATCGGGGTAATAGGGCACAGCATTTGGGTGGTGGGGCAAGAGCAGTGGGATCTGAACTCGATTTACCGGTTTATCCAAATGGTTCTGATCATCCTTCATCTGGCATGCCAAACTCCTTGTTTGGCATTCAGGATCTTGAAGTGCAAACTTCTCGATCAAGGGAAGATAGGTATCATGACTTACTTGAACATAGGTCAAATTTCCTCGAGCGAAGGAGACGAATACGGTCTCAGGTATGTAAATTTTCCTGTGCTATATCTCTGCAGCACATGATTTTAGAATGTATGCTGTGCACTCTGGCAAGCATACACTTACTTTATACATCATAATTTGATTTGTCCAATAACGATCTCAAATTCATTGAATTGCCATTATACATCAAAATTTGCGTAAAAAACATGATTTAGTTGTAATTCTTGTTTTATTATGTTGGACTAATTTTACACTAGTGTGCATACTATGCATTCATTGTTGTTACTGTACTCTAGTAATCACCTATTATTGACTGTAACATCGTATCATTGAATATTTATAGTTGTCTTGATTAGAATCATCTGCCCTTCTCACCTGAAGCATTACTTCTGTATTTTCTTTTTCTCTACAGCCAATACATGCTAAATCTCAGTCTCGCTAATTGCTCTGTGCATTATGCTTTTCAGTGTTTATTGTGACACCTAATGTCTGACCTGTATGTCACTGCTGGTGTAGGTCCGTGCTCTTCAGAGGTTAGGAAGTCGCTTTGAGAATATGTCTGGACATGGGAGGTCTTGCATTTTATCTGGTCAACATAGAACTGGTCGTTGTACATGTCGTCTAAGTAATCGTGATGCCAATTTAAATGATGATACAAGTGCTAGAGCTAGCATATCAAGAATTGTCATGTTAGCTGAAGCTCTGTTTGAGGTAATGTGTCCCTTTTGCAATAGCGTTCCTTAGATTTTTTTCTTCCCTTTAAACTGCCTCTCTTTCCTGCATTTCTCAAATTCTATCTCTGTGAGTTGAATTTTACTTTTAAACATATCTTAATTAGGTTCTGGATGAAATTCACCAGCAATCTGTGGTATTATCTTCTCGGCCTTCTGTATCTTCCCTTGGATCTGTCCCTGCCCCGAATGAAGTTGTGGAATCTTTACCTGTCAAGTTATACACCAAATCACAAAAACAACAGAATGATGAGGCAGCACAGTATGTCAATGTGCTCTTTTTCTCTATGCTTTTCGTCTCCTTTCATTTGCTTGAGCATTACTTGTAATATGTGGGTCTCAGGCTCTCAGCCTATACATTATGGAAGTTCTCTTTGCTTGTGCATTTAGGTGTGGGAAATGTGGGTTTCTCATAGATTGCAGCTTTCTGATATGCTTTGCTTTTGCTCAATTCTGAGATATGTGGATTATAGGATGTAGAATAGGGATAGGTGGGTAAGTAAGAAACCACTTCTATTATTGTGATGTATCAATCACTCTACTTATGATTATCCAATAAGCTTGGTGTTAAATAGGGGAGCAATTAGCCTTGTCCTATCACTAATTTGCAGCTTCAGTCCTGATAATTGATATAACCATGCTTCACACCTAGACTAATGTAGACTTATTTGTTCTCATGGGAAACAACTGTAGAAGAGATGGTTTTGGGAATGAGAATAGTCGTTGGAAATCTTGTATAATGATGCATTTGCTGATGATAGCTCTGGGTGCTGGATGTTCTTTCCATCTGGGGCTTTAAGCTAATTTCCTCGGTTGTTTTTTTGGGAATTTCAGGTGTTACATATGCCTTGTTGAGTACGATGAAGGAGAGTGCATGCGGGTACTGCCCTGTCATCATGAATTTCATAGAGCTTGCATAGACAAGTGGCTGAAGGAGATTCATAGGTATGGATGCATACATGCATAATTGTGTATGGTTTGTTTGTTTGTTTTCCTGGGTTTGAACAACTTGGGAAATTTACATCACTTTCTTATCAATCTGGTTTGCAGAGTATGCCCACTTTGTCGTGGAGATATATGCAGGCAGGCGTCCTGATGCAGTACTGGCAGCCGATCATTGATGCAGCCAGAGGCCACTTCGTGTGTGGAGAGTGAACATAATTGCATTGTATGAGTTAAGACAAATTTGACGTTGCAAAATGCCAATAGGTTTATAGCAGAAGAGTTCAGCCCTTTTCTTCCTGTATCACAGTACAACAACTGTGTCCTTTTGGCGGGATTGAATCGAGCATTGGGCAGAAATGGACTGAACTACTAACACATATTTGGCAACATGCAAGAGAGTGAATTCCTTCCAGATTCCAACAGAACACATAGATTCGTGAGTAAGAAGCATGCTGCTGTAGTTACGTTGCAGCCTTGCAGGTGTACTGGTTGTCACATTTATTTGATTCCATCTTCAGTTCCAATCATGACACGCCATTGGGATTTAAATGGCAAGTTGGGACGAGGCAGAAAAGGAAATAAGTCGAAACAGGAAAGGGAAGTAACTCCATTATATTATAACTGGGCAGTAAAATGGTAGCTGCCTCCAATGTCATGTACGTACAAACTAACAAAAGTATACAGAGTTCATGCTTAAGAAGAAGAAGTTAATTAATGAATTTGAGCTACTAATTAATCACTTTGATTACGACATGTACATATCCATAATTATTTCTTCAGCAGCAACATTCCGCCAATAGACCTTCAACAGTGTAACCACAGTCGACGACGTTGAAACCAAAGGCGTCGTTGACGTTGCATGTTCCCTCCCCTGAGGCTGAGGCTGAGACGGCCGACCACCAAGCTGCCTCCTCTGCCGTTACTGACTCCATCTCCATCGACTGCTGCAGCTGCGTCATTGCTCCTTCTCCTTCATTACTCCCCGCTTGGAACGAGGGTGATACTACTCCTTGGTTTCCGTTGCCGTCAATCCCGTTGTCCTCTTTGACTTGTGCCAAGCTTTCTTCAATCTCCTTATCAAACAACGAGTCCTCTTCTTCCTCTTCCTCGTTGCCCTTGCCGTCAACCCCGTGGTCTTGTTTTACTCCCGACGAGCATTGGTCAACCACCTTTTGGAACCACGATTCTAGTTCTGCTCCTTCCACGTGGCCGCCGCCGCTGCCCCACCCTTCTTTTAGTACTGCCGACGAGCATCCTTCCGTCACCGCTTGGAACGGCGGCGATACTAGTTCTTCTTCGTGGCCACCGCCGCTGGCCGAGCCTTGTACTACTACTTCCGACGACAAGCATGGACGTTCCATCTCAACATCCACGGAGGAAGATGCTACTACTTGTTGGTCGCCACCGTGGAGCTTCCGCCGCTTGTAAGTGGTGGTGGATCCTTGATCACTCGCAGCTGGAGCCACGTTGTCGGCGGTGTAAGCTGCGTCGTGGATGAGAATGACTCTGGGGGCAGACTTGTTGTTGTTGTTGTTGTTCTTCCTCTTCTTGGAGTTTTCCTTCTTTCTGATTCGGCAGAGTGCGAGCTTGGACGCAGCGGCAGAGTCAAGCCCTAGCGCGGGGATGGGCAGAAGGCAGTACTCGTGCATGATCCACGAACAACAACAAGAACTAGTCTGCCCTCCTTTGCTCTTCTTGGCACGGTAGGTAAACCGCTTTTGAGTCCATGAAACGGCGCCGTCGAGGGTCTGCGACTCCTTGCCGGTGTCCTCCCCGTGCCAAGCCCCGCCGTTGGACCCGACGCTACGGTCGATTCTTTGCCCGGTTGCGGTTCGCTTCTTGAGCGGGGTGAAGAAGTAGAGGTCGTTCTTCTTCTCGTCTTCTTCTTCTTCTTCTTCTTCTTCTTCGTGGGCGCCGCCTCGAAAGTACTGCTTCCAGATGTCCCAGGGCTCCAGATCGCCGTAAAGGTTGCAGTCCTTGACGTAGTCGTCGGAGGGGAGCGGGAACCCGATCAACTTACTCAGCAGGTAATCGACGACGAGTTCCTCGTCGGTGGGGAGGAACCGGAACCCTACGATGCGACGAACGCGATCGAACTCCATTCTCTGGTGCGGCAGGAACTTGTCGGCGTTCTCGATCTCTCGGGCGAAGGAAAGAAAGGGCGGGCTCGATCGCGCGCGGGAGAACTGAGAGCGACCTAAAGCTACGTAAGTGGAGTGAGAGAGAGTGAGTGAATATTGATGATGTGTGTAGCGTTGTGAGTAATATGAGGAAAGCAAAGCGCTATTAGGGAAGCTTAATTATTTATAGATTTATTTAGGGCATGCACTCGATCGGTCCCACCACCAATTTCTTCCCAACTTCCATTAGGATTTGCAGTTTTTTTCCACCTGGCTCCTTAATTAACATATATTAATATATTTGGAACCAAATTATTCACACTAATTCAATTCCACGTTACTATTTGATACGTATTTGCCAAACCATTATTTCTTTTGCTGCACCTACGTACCACATTGCTACAGAATTTGCGCTTAAAACTTAGTCATATATGTGCTATTCCATCCACCTAGGTCTTGTTGGTCAATCGAGTCGTTATTGCATTATGATTATGATGATTTACTTTGATTATGTAATGTCGAATATCTAGTTCTGATTTAGTGTGTTCTTTTTTTAAACATATGCGTCGCAACTTAGCTTTCATTCAACACCAACACCAAACTGAAAGCTTTTAGAAGTCGAATTCCGAATTACCAGAAAACAAAAGCGAAACCGTCAATAGCTTATCAATTTTGGGGTAAAACGAAAATTGATAAACCCTTATGGTTTTACTTTCAATCTAAATAAATCGGGTAATAAAAAATGAACCTTTAATTGCGTTAAGGGCTTATCAGTTTTTATCAGTTTATCAACAAGTTTTTCAGTTTGACCAAACAAAACTGCACCGTTAATGACTTGTCGGTTTTTACCCCTTAAGAAAAATCCATAAGCATGTATCCAGTTTGGTTTCGACCAAAAACAAAAAACTTGAAATCGAGCTGTCACCCCTAGTTTTGACTTACAAACTATTGGTGTCGCGAACATTTTAAAGAAACGAATCTAGTTTGCGACTTAATCGGATCTAGTAACCCTATTTTCCTAAGTTCGAACTTGTATCGATATATGAAGCATTGTGAACTTTGAACCTTACATACTAGATTCAATCCAATTCTTATAAACCCTGAACTTAATTTGCATCACCTGTCAATCAACTGTCTTCACCTAGATTTACCTACCGAGTTGTTGATCCGAAATGGAAGGCTCCTGCTGTTTAATTTGCTGATCCCCTTTGTGATTCTGCTTGTCTGGAGGTTCTGGCAATTAACCTGCAAAATAGAATAAAAAAGTCATATATGTGAACCCATCTCATTACAGTGAAATGTAACCGTAAATTAAATTAACTTTGTGGACATATATATAATTGAAGCACATGCTCTACTTATATGATGTCTTAGATACTTGCGAAATATGGGTAATCTATTATCACTTCTACTATGCTATATAGTATTGGTGCTTTAATGTACAACTTAAAGTTGTACCATAACATTAAATGTATAAGTTTAGTTTGTACCATAAAACAATTTGTATCATTATGTTATGGTACAACTTTACAACTTGAAGTTGTATCATCACATAAAGATACAAGTTCAAGTTGTACCATAAAAGAATTTGTACAAAAAGTATAGGTACAATATGAAGTTGTACCATAACGTAAATGTACAATTTTAAGTTGTACCATAAAGGCAAAAACCTATATCTATGGTATATATTAAAATTGTTTGAGTCAATTTAATTTTGATCCTGAAATCGATCCATAAAATTATTATTTTTCTAGAGCTCGAGTCCTAAAAAGTTCGAAACCATGCAATTTTTTCAAAAAGCTCATTGATACTCGTATAATTATGAATTTATTTCCAACATGCAACTCAATTAGTAAGATCGATGGATACTATTGTTGGTGAATATAAACATCAAATTAAGAGTTACGTTTTGCATTCTTTCCCACAAAATTAACAAAACTAATATAATTAACATTAAATTAGAATTAGATATTCGACAAACATAATCAAAGTAAAATCAACATAATAATGCACTAACAACTAGATTGGCCAACAAGCAAGACCTAGGTGGATGGAATTGCACATAAATGGATATATGTTGTAATAAGCATAATTAAGTTCCGGTGGCAATGGTATTTCGTGTAGCAAAAGAAATAACATTGTGCAAATATGCATCAAATAGCAAAACTGAATTTGAAATAGTGTAAATAATACAAATAATATTGATTTACAAAATGGAATTACAAAACTACCCAGCATGCCCTAAATCTATAAATAGAGCTTTCCTAATAGCGCTTTGCTTTGCTATTATTAATCACTCGCAACACACAGTCACTTTCTCTCACTCACTCCACTTACGTAGCTTTAGTTTGCCCTCGATCAGTTCTCCCGCGCGCGATCGAGTCCTTGTCTTCGCGCGAGAGATTGAGATCGAGATCGAGATCAACATCGCCGATCGACAAAAGGTTTCGTGCAGTAGTACGTAGGAGAGAATGATGAAGTTGGATCGCCGCGTGGTAGGGTTCCGGTTCCTCCCGACCGACGAGGAACTCGTCGTTGACTACCTGCTGAGCAAGGTGTTGGGATTCCCGCTCCCCTCCGACGACTACGTCAAGGACTGCAATCTTTACGGCGATCTGGAGCCCTGGGAAATCTGGAACCACTTTCGAGGCGGCGGCGCCCACGAAGAAGAAGACGAAGATGCTGACGACGATGGCGACGAGAAGAAGAACGATCTCTACTTCTTCACTGCGCTCAAGAAGCGAACCGCGACCGGGACAAGACTCGACCGCAGCGTGGGATCCAAGGGCGGGAGTTGGCACGAGGAAAACGTCGGCAAGGAAGCCCAGACACTCGACGGCGCCGTTTCCTGGACCCTGAAGCGGTTCGGCTACCGTACCAAGAACAACAAGAAGGAGGACGAGAAGAAAAAACCGCAGACTGCTAGTTGTTGTTGTTCGTGGATCATGCACGAGTACTGCCTTCTGCCGATCCCCGAGCTAGGGCTCGACTCTGCCGCTGCGTCCAAGCTCGCAGTCTGCCGACTCAGAAAGAAGGAGAGCTCCAAGAAGAGGAAGAACAACAACAAGTCTGCGCCCAGGGTCATTCTCATCCATGATGCAGCTTACACCGCCGACGACAACGACGTGGATAATGCACAATATTCATCTATCGACGACGACAACGTGGCTCCAGCTGCGAGTGATCAAGGATCCACCACCACTTACAAGCGGCGGAAGCTCCACGGTGGCGACCACCAACAAGCAGTAGTAGTAGTATCTTCCTCCGTGGATGTAGAGATGGGACGTCCATACTTGTCGTCGGAAGTAGTAGTACAAGGCTCGGCCAGCGGTGGTGGGCACGAAGAAGAACTAGTATCGCCGCCGTTCCAAGCGGCGACGGAAGGATGCTCGTCGGGAGTACTAAAAGAAGGGTGGGGCAGCGGCGGCGGCCACGTGGAAGGAGCAGAACTAGAATCGTGGTTCCAAAAGGTGGTTGACCAATGCTCGTCGGGAGTAAAACAAGACCACGGGGTTGACGGCAAGGGCAACGAGGAAGAGGAAGAAGAGCAAGACTCGTTGTTGGATAAGGAGATTGAAGAATGCTTGGCAGACGTCAAAGAGGACAACGGGATTGACGGCAACGGAAACCAAGGAGTAGTAGTATCACCGTCGTCGTTCCAATTAGCGGGGAGTAATGAAGGAGAAGGAGCAATGACGCAGCTGCAGCAGTCGGTGGAGATGGAGATGGAGTTAGTAACGGCAGAGGAGGCAGCTTGGTGGTCGGCCGTCTCAGCCTCAGCCTCAGCGGAGGGAACATGCAACGTCAACGACGCCTTTGGTTTCAACGTCGACGTCGACTGTGGTTACACTGTTGAAGGTCTATTGGCGGAATGTTGCTGCTGAAGAAATCATTATGGATGTATATTATATATCTCGCAATCTTAATTAATTAGTAGCTAGTTCGCATTCATTCATTAATTAACTTCTTCATGAGAATTAATTAATCGTTCTCAGCTAGCTTTGGGAGATTAATTCTGCATGTATGGGGACTCTGTATACTTTTGTAAGTAAATAACATAAGCCGGCTGCTACCGTTTACTGCATGCCCACTTATTAATGCAAGTTACTTTCCTTTCCAGTTTCTTCTACCTATTTATTACCTTTTTCTGCTTCCTGTCAACTTGCCATTTTTTACTCAATCAACATATCATGAACTAACATTGTATTAGTGAGGACTGCACTCCATGTGCTAAAACCTATTTGTAATGTCAAACTTTTGCTTTTAAGGGAATTTGTTATGTCAAACTTGTCATACATCACTCATACAATGCAATTATGTTTATAAGTCTCAAGTTTCAACAAACAACGTTTCCTCGGCTTCATTAATGATCGGCTATTCTGTCAGTACTAAATCAGAAGCACTACTATCAATGTAGACATAAATACCCTGAAAACCAGATTAAAAGCAAGTTATATAAATTTCCAAGCTGATCGCATTACATGGCAAAATTTTCTTCAACTCATAGCCAAAGGCATGGAAGAACACAATTGCTCCAACACCCTACACTATGAGCCTGGTCAACCAGGACCATAACCATTGACCAAGAAGAAAATAGAAAGAACGACAAAAAAAAACTGTGGGGCTAGAAACAGTCGGCCCAAAAAAGTAAGAACCCAAGAGAGTGGGCCGATAGGCCCAACTCGATCATTTACCGGCCCATAAAAGGGGGGTGATCCTATCATTGGTATAGTTCGTTCACCGCTCCTCTAATATATTAACTTAGTTTGGCCCTGCTGTAGCTTTTGCAGAAGCAGCTTCTGGCTGGAGCTTTTAGATAAGTACTTTTCAAAAAAAGCAGTTTAGTGTTTGGCTGTAAAACTATTAGAAGTGCTTTTTAATATGAGCGGTTGTGTAAAATGACTATAAAGGACTTATAATATAAAATATAAATAAAAATTCGAAACAATAAAAAGTAGTCAAAATGGATCTTGTTAGATTTCTTTTATATTAAATAATATGATTTTATAATTTATTTTATTTTTAAAATGATATAAATGAAGGAAAATTATATTTTCTGAAATAAAATTAAAATATGGTAAGGATAATCTTGTATTTTCAAAACAGCTTTTCGCAGAAGCTCCAAATCGGAGCTTCTGCTTTTATGTTATACAAAAGCGCTTTTCGGCTTTTCAAAAGCCGAGCTTTTAGAGGTGTTTGGCCCTGCTTAAGCTTTTGAAGCCGAAAAGCACTTCTAAAAGCCGGGCCAAACATAGGCATTATCCACACAAAGTCAGAAACAGAGCGACCGAACCTTGGTGTCTCTACTACTCAAACTGCTTCCGGGAACAACATCCTTTGTATCATCACAAACAATGGCGGCAGCTCTGAAGACAACGCTGTCGCTCTTCTCAGTTCACGACCCTCTAGCTCTTCCTTCCTCCTCCCGCTCATCAAATATACTGTCCACTTCCAGACCACTTCATTCGCCTCCGTCAATTCAATACTCCTCTACCGGTTCCGTTTACGTTCACCGGAGCGGCCCAATTATTCCTCTCACAGTCAATCTCCCAACATGGCGACAGCTTCGCCGGAATCCGCTCTGTTTAGTGCAAGAAGCGGCAGTGGAGACCGAGACCGAGACTGGCACTGAATCAGAGCAAACCCAGGCGGTGAACCAGAAGAGAAAGCTATTCGTGCTCAATTTGCCCTGGTCCCTATCCGTCGTGGACATAAAAGAGCTCTTCGGCCAGTGCGGGACTGTAGCGGATGTCGAGGTTTCTCATTCCCGAAATTGTCCTTCTCTTTCTTTTCTGCATAATAGTTTGGTGCTGTTTCGGGCAATTTACTGGTTCTGTGGTGTTTTAGTGATGTGGGTTGCTGCTGGAAACTTTTTCTTTTGTGTGACTTCCAGATTATAAAGCGAGCCAATGGAAAGAGCAAAGGTTATGTTTTTGTAACAATGGCTTCTGGAGAGGAAGCTCAGGCTGTTGTAGATAAATTTCACTCTCAGGTACTTGGCTTTTTGTTAAGGTTTTGTGGGCAATGGCTGGTTTCTATCTTGCATGGGCTGAAGTTTTTTGAGGTTGAAGGGTTCTGTTAGGTCTAAATCGGCACGCAGGGATCTTAAAGTTTCGATTTTTACACACTAGAAACTTCTGAAAATGGCAGGAAGTGTCTGGGAGAATTGTGACAGTGGAATTTGCTAATGGACTTAAGAGGAAGCTCTCTCCAACGGAGACCCTTACTACTAAAGAGACATCTCACAAGCTTTATGTGTCAAACCTGGCCTGGAAAGTCAGAGGCAGCCATCTCAGAGAACTTTTCTCCCCTGAGTTTAATCCGGTTTCAAGTCGAGTTGTTTTTCAAAGTAATCCAGGAGGAAAATCAGCTGGATACGGGTTTGTCTCGTTTGCTTCAAGGGAAGAGGCAGAGGCTGCAATCTCAGCTATGGATGGCAAGGTAAAACAAAAACAATTGCCTCTTTCAACTCTCTACTTAAAATAAATACTTCGCAAGTTCTGCGATGTGAAGAAGTCGGTTAATAGAAGCATTTCCAACTAATGCTTTCATTCTTGCTTTGTATTCTTGAGGCCTCTGCTCCTGATAGCTGATTCCTGTGTTTGAGCATGTGTGAATGAGCACAATCTGTCCGGTTACTGGGAGACGTGTTTGCTTACAAAATTTTTATCATATACAGGATCTCATGGGTCGAGCTATTCGCCTGAAATTCAGCAATCCGAAAACAGCTGACGAGTCAGGAAGCGAGAAGCAAGAGACGGAGAGCGTGGAGGAGCTACCAGAGACAGAGAGCTTGGAGGAGCAACCAGAGACGGAGAACTTGGAGGAGCAACCTGCAGATACAGTATGAATATGGTTACCCATTTTGATCTTTGTCAGCAAGACAGAATTTTGATGCAGTGGCCATGTGTGGAAAGGATTCAAGGCATTTTCTGTGCACCCTTGCTCCCATTTTCTCTTTTACATTGGTGAGTTGTCCAAGCTAACACCTACACTTCCACTCTTATTTTCATCCTACTCTTGAGAAACTTGACCACATAAGAAGAATGTACTTGCTGCATGAGTGGTGTAGATGTCATGTGCTTGTCGTAAACCTTCCATTGGTTTTCTCATGATGTTCCCTTTTCTTTTGACAACCATGTAGGAAAACATTCGTCCGAGTTGATAGATTCTGCACGAGTTGATAGATTCTGCACGACAAAATGGTATTTTTATGATCGTGTCATTCGTGTGTTGCTGAATGCCTTCACCTCAATGTACTGTAGTTTCTATTTTTAGGCGTGTATACTGTAGCTTGTAGTAAGGGGGACTTGCTCCTTCTGATGTCACATTCTTCTGTTTTGATAATTACATTCTCTATGAGTTGTTCCCGGCAAAGAAATGACCATTGAAGCTGTATAATTCCTCTGAGTACATCGATGACGAGAAAAGCGACCAACAAGACTGGAATATGAATGGATAGATTGATCGAATTGCAGGTTGTAGTATTCTAATGGTTGAAGACCAGAGAATGTGTAAAGAAGGTGAAGGGGATAGCTGATGGTTTTTTTCTGGATGGACTGTGGTCACACATGAATTGCAGGTTGTAGTATTCTAATGGTTGAAGACCAGAGAATGTGTAAAGAAGGTGAAGGGGATAGCTGATGGTTTTTTTCTGGATGGACTGTGGTCACACATACATATGAACAGTTCAAACAGCAGAGGTTGTGGACTTGACTGCAACTTTTGTAATTCAAAACGAGGCCACACCATGCTTCTTCAAGCAGATTGGAAAATAGCTTGCAGCTCGGAGGTAGAGGTTCGGTACCTACCTGAACCCGCCGTGATGCTGCAGCAGGCAAAGCATAGGAAGCCATGACATCTCAGTTGTTATGATTAACAACCAGACTTGAGTTTTGTCTCTTTTGGTGCAAGGCAGATGCAAAGATAGTACCTACATTAGGAAGGTGTCTCAGCATAAGCAGGTTAGTATTAGATCGTTCACAATTCTCATCCTGAATGAACTTTGGAACACAAGCATTACTCAATCATTTCAGTGCTGCAATATCACTTCCGCATGGATTACAAGTACACGGAGGATAGGTTTCAATTTTCATACTGATTCAACTCATCCCAATAGGCCGTCAACAAGGCTTAGTAATCTTTCACGAACATGGAACTGTAAGGCAGTGCAGAAAATTCAGTCTCTAACTTAGTGATTTTGACTACATCGTTCTAACTGCTTGCGACAAAGTTTTTTTTTTTTTTTTTAGTCATTTGTACCAAGAGGCAAGAGGCCATTGTATTGTATTGCTTACTGCTTGCGACAAAGAAAAATTGGAACGTATTCCTATCTTATTCGAGAATAGAGCAACCTAAAAACACATAAAACAAATGTTAGCTAACTAGCTAAAACGAATAAATTAGTCAATAACTAACTACATCAATTCAACTAGCTAATTGTACAAGAATCTTAATCACACTACGAGCTAAACGACAAAAGAAGAATCTTAATCCAATTTCCGCTAATTGAAGAGCCCTTGGTGGTCGAGCTCCTAGTGCTGCGGGAGGCTATTTTGTGGTGCCAGAGCCTGGGTTTTCAGGAAATGAGATTTGAAAGTGATGCCAAGGTTATTATTGAGAAGATCAACCGGGCAGATACGAGGGACAATCAGATGAGGGCAATTCTGTAGGAAGTAGTTCATTATTTAGCTGCCCATGCTGGGTTTAGTGTGCGATTTGTAGGTCGGCATAACAATAGGGTAGCCCACTTGGTGGCTAGAAAGACCATGTCTTTGTACCCTCATTGTTGAATCAATTTGATTATCTTTTGTATAAAAAAAACGACAAAAGAAGATCACAACCTACTCCTTCAACTTCAACTCTTCAAGCAAATTGTAATTCAAAAGGAAGCATGGAAGTCTAGGATTCGATACCCACAAGCAGCACCATTTTCAATCCTCTCATTGACTTGGATGAATGGTTGGGGAGGATGGGAGATGAGAATGTATGCTTTCTATGTAATGTAATGTGGAAGAATAAAGAGACTTACCTCTCTAATTATCAGCCAACCATCTTAAACTGAATTTTCCCTAAAAGAAAGAAAGTGGCACTAAAGACATTCCTTTCCCTTTCTTTTAACTTTAAGAAGATAAACCAATCTCCATTGTTTTTGAACACACCTTCCCAGGCAGTCAAAGTTTCCCCTACATATGGGTAGACTAGTTTCTCTAATGTAACATATCGTCATATCTAAAATGAGACATTCTGATGTATCTTATCTAAATATGCATTAGAAATCTAGAAACGACTCAAATGTGATCGTGTGATTGCGAACAACACATATCGTGATCTTTCCCCACTTTCTAAATGGAACAATTAAGGAGATAAAGAGGAGTTGCAGCTTGCTAATGCTAGGTAGATGATACCAGAAATTGCCAAATCCTTGTGCACATTTAATTTCACAAACACTCCAAAGTCCAACTTCTTGGATATAACATTAGCATTCATTACTCTGTCTGGGCCACTTCCCCTCCCCCAACCAACACCTTCCCAACCAAACAAACCATAATCTACTCTACACCCTAAACAGCACAATTCCATAAAGAAAAAACAAAAGAAGAAAAAGACTAAAAAAAAAATAGAAAAGAAAAGAGAGGCAGGGTCAAGAAAATAAAGAAGAGATGAGCTTGATAAAAGAAATCCAATTTAAAGAACATGAGTGAGAAAGCTAGAGAGAGAGATCAACATAACATTCTCCCACCAAAACTCATTTCCCTTCTTTCCCATTGATGTTCTCTTCTCTCTCAACCTTCCCTCTGTCCTCCTGATTCCATTTGCATGAGACAAACCCTACCCTCAATTCTCTAATTCCTTCCAACACAAGTAAAGCCATGGCAGCTCTGCAACCGCCAAAGACGCTGATTCCTCTCATTGACAAGCACAAGAACGACTGCTCCCAGCAAGGGATCTGCAGCTTACTCTGCCCACAACTCTGCTTGAAAGCCATCTTCCCCAACCCCTCACCGCCATCTCCACCCAACCAGGAATTCTCCAACGCTCCAACCACCAACTTCTCCCCCATCGTCATCGCCATCATCTGCATCCTCGCCGGCGCTCTCCTCCTCCTCTCCTACTACACCCTCATCTCCAAGTACTGCCGCGGCCACACCACTGAGGATCCTGACACGAGCAGAAGCAGGGGAAGGGGGCGGAGAAGAAGGCAGAACAATCTCATCCACCACAATCACACCGGTGACGAAGACGACGAATTCGGCGCTGCTGGTGATGTCATGAACTCCTCGCTTCACGAGCCGTGGCAGTGGCACGTGTCGCTGACTACCGGTCTGGATGAAGCACAGATCAAGTCCATAACGGTCTGCAAGTATAGGAAGGAAGATGGGTTGTTGGTTGCGGGTGGCAGCGGCAGAGGAGGAACAGAGCATCACTGCTGCTCTGTTTGTCTGAGTGAGTTTCGCGATGGCGAGAGCTTGAGGCTGCTGCCCAAGTGTAGCCATGCTTTCCACCTGGATTGCATTGATACTTGGCTTAGGACTCACTCCACCTGCCCCTTGTGTAGAGCCAATATCTTCTTCTTTGGTACTGAAACTCCCGCTGCTGCTGCGGCTGGTGATGGTGCGGGAAGGGTTGAGCTTGTCGTTGAAGGAGCAGAACAGAGTGAGAATGAGTACTCCAACGGTGGGGTAAATGAAGACAGAGATGAACGGCTGCGGCCATCGGAGCAAGTGGTAAGGAGGTGTGCTTCTATGGATCATTTGTGCCTTCGGATCGGCAGCGGTGGTTATGATCGCGGAGTGTCAAGGGAGGAAGAAGAAAGGAGTAAGCATGAGTTTTCGAGTCAGAGTAGTAGCAGCAGGAGAGTGGTGGATACGGTGAAGAGATCGTTTTCAAGTGGGAGATTATTCTCTCTCGCTCGCCATGGAAACAGACCTTGCGTCGTCCATCCTGCCACTGTTCCTTCCACTTCCACAAGTAATGTTTAGAACACGAAACTGTATGAAAGTTTGACTCTTTCTGTTACCGCCAAATTTGTTTATATCTATTAGATTGCCTCCTTCATCCGTCTTTTTCTTGTTCTTTCTATAAACTACAAATTTTCAACCAAGGTCAAAACTAGAGGAGCACAGCCCATAAACTAAAATTTGACACTTGATCTTATGATCCGCTCCTTTCTTTACGCGCTCATAAGCAAGAAGGCCTGAAGGCCATTCCTGTCCCTGCCGAGGCAGCTGACAACCATCTCTCCTTTCTACAAACACTTCCGCGTTTATAAGCATTGCAACACGGATTAGGCATTAACCCAATTTAACCAGAAAAAAAAGTAATGGTAACTAAATAATATTGGCAGAGATGAGAAATTAGGTGGAAGTATAACCAGGCCTCTGTTGCTGCGTCATTAACTTGAATTTGTGGTTACTGGTTAATGGTTAGATAGGGCATTAAAGTTGCTAATGATGGTTAGTCTGTTAAATCAAATTAAATAGCTTCCACATCATATTATTGCCGTATTTTGTTGAACGCGAAACTGTATAATAATTAGTTTGGACTTGAAAGGAATGAGACAGATGATCAAAAAAGAACTAACTATTAAAGTTTGTGTATGGAAACGGAAGCAATATCTTGCAATCATGCACTCCCAAATTCTTAACAGTGTATCATCTCATGCTCAAGTTCAGCAGTCAAATTCCAGAGCAGAAGAAGAAACAGAATCACCTGATCACTATCACCATCTTTGCATCCCGGATTAATCCTATCTCCTATGCTATAAACTCCACCGTTGGTTCATCCTTTCCATCATCATGTTCTTGTAAGTGCAGTGTCCATGCAGATCGAAGCAATTGTCTCCTCAACTCTGTGAATCGCAGTATTGAGGAAATTCACACTGGCAGGGTCCTCTTCGTACCTGAAATGGACATTCCAACTGATTTAGTATATTTACTTATTTGTGTCCTCTTTCATCTCTAAGTCCATAAAGGCAAGAAGAATTTTTAATACAACATAACAGTCATACAGTCTTTTCATCTCAGTGTAGGCATATCCTATATGCTCGTGTAAACTTGATGCGAGTTGCTATAAGTTCTCTCTCTCAACATCAGAAGTCAGTTAATCCAATTTCCATGTAAAACCTCATCTTTCACACTTAAATTTATAAGCTTTCATCCCCAATTCTATGACTCTTCACCAATAAATTCTAATAACAACGGGTGCAACCAATACCAATGTCCCAAATATCAACGGTTGGAGCCCCTGTTATAAGCATCCTACTTAAAGAACTCCACTAACTGGTGATAGAAACCGAGAGTAGAGGGGTGAGGTTGGGCCGGTCGGCCGACTGGACCGGGTGGGGAGTGACCATTTTGTTATTTTCCATTATTTTCCTTTGAACTCATAAAAGGGATTCTGTACACTCATTTTGGGATTATGGAATAGAATAACAGAAATCCCTAATCTTGTCTCTCTCTTGTTCTTCCCCAATTCTCCCAAATCCCTAATCTTCTTCTCTTCAATCCCTAATTCCCATTCTCAATCTCTTTTACAGCATCACGCTTCTATCATTTGGTATCAGAGCCAACATGAGTCCCTCGAAACTCACTGATCCAACATGGGCTCGTACACGACAACTGATCGAGTTCACGCTCTCTGAGCTCAGGCGAGAGGCGCAGGAACCGGGGTGGACGGCAGCGGCGGCGGCCATGGTGGCCGAGCCAGTCGCGGCGGTCGACGACTTCCCGGGGAGGGGTGCGACGTCAGGCGGGCGCGCGGAGCACGAGCCCGCGGTGTCTGGTGGCGGGCGCGCGGAGGTGGCGGGCGGCGCGCGTCGCGCGGAGGCGGCTGGTGGGCGCCGCGGCGAGTCTGCCGCCAGGGGCGGCGCGAGCACCGTGGCAGCGCAGGGGAGGGGTGCGACGTCAGGCAGGGTTGGCGGCGTCGCTGCTCTCTCTCTCCACTCGGCGACCGGGCTGCCTACGCCGGGCACGCTGCGATTCCAGGCTCGAGTGGGAGGGGTGACCGCGCTGACGTTGGTGGATAGCGGCGCCTCGCTCAACTTCATTAGTGCCGAGCTTGCCAGGACACTATCCATGGCGCCGAGTACAGTGGAGAAGATGGTGATTCGGGTTGCGAATGGGGCGCCTATGCAGTGTACCACGGTTTATCGAGGGCTTGCTTTGGAGATTCAAGGCTTGCCGGTAACAGCTGATTTCTTTGTGCTACCCATCAGGGGATTTGATATTATTCTGGGCATTCCTTGGCTGCAGAGTTTAGGACCGACTACCACCGATTGGAAAGGCTTGACCATGCGGTTTAAGTGGAGGGATAAGGAGTGGAGCTTACAGGGGCTTACCACTGCTTTGGGGCCCATTTCCATCCATGATAGCACCGAGATGGGAGAGGCGGACTTCGCCGTGCTGTGCTGGCCGATGGAGTCTGGGGAGGTCCAGGAATTGACCCCTGATCTGCAGCTAGTCCTTGACAGGTTCGCCGTGATCTTTCAGGAGCCGACTACTCTTCCGCCACATCGCCAGGTGGACCACGGCATTCAGCTGAAGGATGGGGTGGAAGCTGTTAATGTCCGACCCTACAGGTACGGTCACTCGCAGAAGGAGGAGATTGAGCGTCAGGTTGCTGAGATGCTGACTACCGGGTTGATCAGGCCCAGCACTAGCCCTTTTTCTTCACCGGTGCTTCTGGTCAAGAAAAAGGACGGGACCTGGCGGTTCTGCACTGACTACCGGGCCCTCAATGCCGCGACAGTGAAGGATCGTTTCCCGATTCCGACGGTGGATGACATGCTTGATGAGCTGCACGGGTCCTCTTATTTCACTAAGCTCGACCTGAGGGCCGGCTATCACCAGATCCGGATGAGGGAGGAGGATGCACACAAGACAGCCTTCCGGACCCATAACGGCCATTATGAGTACCTGGTAATGCCGTTTGGGTTGTGCAATGCCCCTTCGACCTTTCAGGCAGCTATGAACGACATCTTCCGACCCCTGCTTCGTCGGTACGTTCTGGTTTTTTTTGATGACATTCTTATTTACAGCCCGACATGGGAGGCCCACTTGCAGCATTTGCAGGCCGTGTTTGAGATTTTGCAGCAGCACCAGTATTACCTCAAGGCTTCGAAATGTGCCTTTGGGGTTCAGAAGGTGGAGTATCTGGGGCACATTGTCACGCCTCAGGGAGTACAGGTGGACCAGAAGAAGATCCAAGCCATGGTGGAGTGGCCAACCCCGACCACTGTCACTGAATTGCGGGGATTCCTGGGCTTGACAGGATATTACCGGAAGTTTGTACAGGGCTACAGCATGATTGCTCGGCCCTTGACTAATCTGTTGAAGAAAGGCGGGTTCGTTTGGACTGCAGAGGCCGATGCAGCATTCTGCCAGCTGAAGCAGGCCATGACCACCACCCCTACTCTGGTTATGCCTGACTTCTCTCGGCCCTTTGTTATTGAGGCAGACGCATCGGGCCGGGGCATTGGCGCAGTGTTATCACAGGATAAGCACCCGGTAGCCTTCATGAGTAAGACTCTGGCGCCGTCTAAGGAGGCTTGGTCCACCTACCAGAAAGAGATGCAGGCTATCATTACGGCAGTTCAGATGTGGAGACCCTATCTTCTGGGGCAAAAGTTCCACATTTACACAGATCATCAGAGTCTGAGGAATCTCTTGGAGCAGCGAGTTTCCACTCCCGATCAGCACAAGTGGGTATCCAAGCTCCTGGGGTATGATTACGAGATCCACTACCGCCCCGGACCATCTAATGTCGTGGCGGATGGTCTATCGAGGCGCCCCGGAGGTGAGATTTTGGGCGGCAGTTACAGGACCAGTACCTCAGTTCTGGGACATTCTGCGAGCTCTTATGGAGACGGACGGGTATCTGCAGGGATGCCGTGAGATAGCGGTTAGCGCCGATCCCGGCCATTACTCTTGTCGGCAGGGGTTGGTGTTCTTCCGAGGGCGGGTGGTGCTTCCCCGGGGGTCGTCCCTAGTGACGACAGTGTTGCAGGAGTTCCATGACTCTCCGTTTGGGGGGCATTCAGGGGTGGAGCGGACGCTGAGGAGGATCCGGGCCCAGTTCTATTGGCCTCAGATGGGCCGGGATGTGAAGGACTATGTTGCATCTTGTGACACCTGCCAGAGAGTCAAGGCATCCCATTTGCGACCGGCGGGTCTACTGCAGCCGTTACCGGTACCGGAACGGGTGTGGGAGGATATCAGTATGGATTTCATCGTCGGGTTACCACCATCTGGAGGGAAGACCGTCTTGTTCGTCGTCGTGGATCGCCTGACGAAGTACGCCCATTTCATGGCTCTGGCACACCCATATACTGCGCGCTCAGTGGCTGAGCAGTTTGTCTTAGGGGTGGTCCGGCACCACGGATTCCCGAGGTCCATCGTCAGCGACCGGGACTCCGTTTTCTTGAGTCGTTTTTGGCAGGAGGTCTTTACGTTGGCTCGGACCCAGTTGCGGATGAGTTCGGCATATCACCCCCAGACGGATGGCCAGACGGAGGTGGTTAACCGCTATTTGGAGCAGTATTTGCGCTGTTTTACCCATCAGCAGCCCCGACGGTGGCTAGCATATTTACCATGGGCCGAGCTCTGGTATAACTCCACGTACCATAGGGCCATACAGATGACACCGTTCGAGGCTTTGTATGGGCGTTCCCCACCTTCTCTGGTACGATATCAGGTGGGTTCCAGCCCGGTGGATGCAGTGGATCGGTGGTTGGGGGAGCGAGATGAGGCTTTGGATCAGCTCAAGGCTAATCTGGCGGCTGCCAATAACAAGATGAAGCAACTGGCTGATGCAGGACGACGAGAGGAGGAGTTCGAGGTGGGTGACTGGGTCCTGCTCCGTCTGCATCCTTACAGGCAAGCTTCTGTATTCCGGCGGGCATATCAGAAGTTGGCGGCACGGTACTTTGGACCGTATGAGGTGTTGCAGAAGGTCAATCCGGTGGCCTATCGTCTTCAGCTCCCAGCTGATTCGCGCATTCACCCTACCTTTCATGTGTCCCTCTTGAAGAGGTACCGCGGCGCGGCTGATCGAGTGGAGACAACGGCACCTCCGGTGTCGGCCGATGGTGATCTCGAGCTGGTTCCATTGCAGGTGATAGACACCAGGTGGGTCAAGAAGGGCGGACGCGTGATCGAGGAAAGCCTGGTCCTGTGGCAGCACATGGAGCGGGAGGACGCCACTTGGGAGGAGACTGTAACCCTTCGGCAGCGGTTTCCGACATTCGACCTTGAGGACAAGGTCGCTTCTGATGGGGAAGGGGATGATAGAAACCGAGAGTAGAGGGGTGAGGTTGGGCCGGTCGGCCGACTGGACCGGGTGGGGAGTGACCATTTTGTTATTTTCCATTATTTTCCTTTGAACTCATAAAAGGGATTCTGTACACTCATTTTGGGATTATGGAATAGAATAACAGAAATCCCTAATCTTGTCTCTCTCTTGTTCTTCCCCAATTCTCCCAAATCCCTAATCTTCTTCTCTTCAATCCCTAATTCCCATTCTCAATCTCTTTTACAGCATCACGCTTCTATCAACTGGTTCCTGCTCATATCACACCAACTATTTTAATATATGTTCCTCTCACCACAGGGGGCAAAAAAAAATTCAAACGGCCATCCAGCAAATGATAATTCAACAATCTAGTGTAATCCTTCAGAAGGAAAGATGCAGATCAAACACTGGATCACAGAATGTACAATATAATCAAACACTTCCTGAAGGATCCATCAGAACGGCATTTTTTGCTTTCTTTAGCATGCCGTATATGCATCTATGAATACACAGTCAAGAAGGAAGAAAATACAGACCTCACGGAAGGTAAAAGAGACCCGTCTCAAACTCCTATTTATCACCGTGCCATCCACCAAGTCTATCTGTTGAACGAACATAACAGAGCTCATCACAGGCCTTTCCTTTATGGGGTATTTGAGTCAAAAGAATGCAACAAGTAAGCATCATATGTCATGTCCTTTTAGTCTTCCTGCCATTAAAACTGTGGCATTACCTTGTGATGTGGGATATAATGATTCCAAGCATAACGTGCCTCCCCAGATAATAGAAGCATTGACCGAGGAGGAAGGTAGATGGCTTTCCTAATCAAATTTGAGCTACCGTGAGAGTGATCAGCTTCCATCTCAGTGCTCGAAGCAATTGTAGGAGCAAGTGAACCATCTACATATTGCCTGAACTCCATAATGCAAGGCCCGGCTAGTGAAAGGCTAAAAATGAAATCCCCAAATGCAGAATGGGTGTCTATGTGAGGGGAGAGTCCAACCCCACGCGGATACTCGTTAACCTGCAACAGAGCTATCAAACCCTCAGCCTTAATGTAAAAGGGAAGAGTCTGCCATCTATGAAGATTGATAAGGTAAAGAGAGTTGATGCAGTTTACTACAGTGTCAACAATCTCAGGTCCCAAGACAAAATGCAATAATTATATGGTAAAGCGAAGCAGTAACTAGAGATGAACACGGAATGAGAATCCTAGTCACCGGGCATCAGTTAAGTACCGTAAGTTGGTCCAATATTGAACTTGCAGTACTATGATCTAGATCCGGGAATGATGCTATCCTTTGGAGAATAGGAGAAACAAAGGATGGAAGTTCTCCCAAGCACCTCTTTGTATTGACATTCCTTATCTGCATGAGAAAAACATACAACATAATGAGCTTTCAATTTCCATGAAACAAAAGGTATGTGCAACGCAACATTCACTTTCACGTTTCAGGAAATAATTTCCAAATTTGCATAACAGCATGCTGAACTTACGTTCATCTTTGGGAGTAAGATTACTTCAAACCCAAAGAAATCCTTGTCTATAACATTAGTTGTTATAGAAAAAATGATACTGCAAATGATAAGGACAATGAGGCAGCATCTACATGTATCTTAAAGCAGCTAACTGCCACGTGTTTTCAGGTTTTTCGTGCTAATTTCAAGCTATGATGAAATATTGTTTAAGAATTTAATGCGTTTGTTGCATCAGTAATTGAGTAATTTTGAAACCTAGAAATTCCAGCTGCACTGTCTGCAGAATCAAGTTACCACTGAAATTTCAGTATGGATTTAAGCTGACAGATACGAGCCAGATTATGAAGTTTCACAGTCCAGGTCATCTTGTTTTATCTCCTTTTTAATATCCTGTGACAGGTACTCTTTCAACATTTCATGCAGATAAATCTAGTTTGAAAGCAGAAGGAAATGAGGGTTCAGAAAGAATTACATCATAGCAGAACTCATATCCATAATGTTGAACCCTTCTCTTGGAGAGATTGTTCCAAGGCCTACTGTCAACTGCTGCAAGCAATTCCTGAAAGCAGAATAACCCAAATTGAACATCAAAAGCCAACTCTTTGGCACTCGACAAGAATAAGGAAGAAGAAGTATATCAATGTCAGAGACACAAATACCAACTTGCTCTTCTTCCACAGTGACGAAGTCGTGCAACAAGTAAAGGCCTGGAATATTCACTTCTGAAGCCAGACGGGATACTGGGATTGCGTGGTCGACCGGACTCTAGAGTTAGCGAAGGCAAATTATTGACAGTCAACAAACTGTGTGAACCGCAGATCAACTACCCATATGTTAGTTCTCCGTACCTTGCCAATTGGTTGAAGGACGGAATTACGAATGTGCAGAGATCGCCCTCCGAGCTCAGGACAAGGCTTCCCATTTAATGCAGCCAGTGCAGCTTGAGCAGAATCGACCTGCCCATAAGAAACAATCACACGGGTGCCACTATCATCAGCTGCGTACACTCCTTCCACATCCCCGAAAGCGGCGAACGCTGAAGCAATAGCTTCGTAGGACAGTCCCACAGCTGGTCCGCAGTTGGCTACAAAAAGGTTAGAAGAACTTGACTGGGCATCGCCTGCCTTCGGCCGCGTGAACCTTGGAGGACCCATAGCTTGGGATCAAACCCGCCGAAATCAATGGCCGCGTTCTTGTACCCAAAAGGCGAATGAAGGAGAGCAGTGTTGTATCAGCGTTTGCAGAGCTCCTCGAAACGTGAATTCGAACAGAACATTGGCGGCGAAATTAGGGAAAAGGCAAAGAGAGAAAAATCCCAATGGCCGTTTGGCCCCGGGAAGCAGCGCCGTCGTCTCACTGGCTCGGACCTCGGAGAGTATCAACACGGTGGCTGGCGAGGCGACCCTCAACTAATAAGATGGCTGGACCTGATGGGCTCCAATAAATCGGGCATGCATCAAACTGGGCCCAATTTTGGGTCTAGTTTCTAACAACTCTTTCCTTCTCAAGCCCAACTAGTTGTTGATGAGCAGTGAAACCAAAGGTCTCAATTCTGCGCACAAGTGAACTTGTTGGTAATATTGCAGCATTACAGTACAGAACAGTACATTCTATGCCAAAAGCTTTGCTACCTGGTTGCTATAGTCTGCACAAAATTAGGCTTCTTAAAATTTCACTTCCTTCCCCAATTTTTCAAGACGTCCAAAAAAATTATATATGCCACAAAGCAACTGACAGCAATACATTATTTACAAAGAACGTATTCGGGAGGGGAAATCAGCGGCTCTCAGGCTTCCATAATAATCAACGAAGTTCTAGAATCTTATACTTTCAGCTGTCATGGCGAGTTTCTGGGAGACGTGGTGCTGAGACAAGCCTCTCTGCCGATGCACCATACTCTACTCCGGCTGGGGGTCTCGTTCGCAGACGAGCTCGACTTCGGTTCGCTAAGGCAAAACTCCCAGTCGGAAACCGAATTGCTGGCATCCGAATACCGTAACTTCCCCTCCACCTTGCTGTTCGCCTCGTGAAACTCCCCCAGGTGCAGCTTCGATCCATGCACACCACCTGCCATGTCGAAGCCTGATCCGCCAACTTGGTCCCAGTTGGGAGTAGTTGCTGCAGAATTGGGATTGCTCGCAGCATCTTCTTGCAAAATGTCTCCTATTCTTGTCAATATGCTGCATGCCAGGTTCGCCAGAACCCTGGAGTATGCTTCAAGGATTGCATGTCCAACGTCCTGATGATGTCAAAAGATGTAAAGCGAAGAATATCATGGCTTCATGCCATTAAGATAGGAAAAGCAAACGCACCTATGATCACCTAGCAGAATTAAATCTTTGCATACCTTGCCATATTGGATTTTAGAAGCATCAAGAAATGTTTGAGGAAGATTCGGATGTCTAGCCTTAAGTTGCCGGGCTATGGATTCCGCTCTGTCTACAAGGATCTGCACCTTATCTAGTTCAGATAAAGGGTCTTTCCCAAAGGCAGACCAGGATGTTCTGATGGGGGACTTCTTGCCAACTTGTGCTGCTTTGATTGTCTCCCTCCATCCTAATGTGGCAGCTTCCAATTTGTTCACCGCTTCAAGCACACTATGTTCAGATTTCAGATCAAGAGAGTTGAGCATTTCCTCTTTTTTAGCTGATTCCGTTGTCAATACTTTGTACAGTTCCTCCCCGAGATTCACCCGTCCAGACTGTAATGGAAGCAAAGTAGATGCGAATTGCTTAATCAGGGGGAAAATATAGGTGATAGTAGGATGGTGGTTTTTCCTATTTTTTTTCTTACCTTGGGAAGTGCATCTTTAATCATGGACGGGACAGGCATTTCAAGCAAAATGCTCTGGTTGATGGCTTTGGCAGCCTTGAATACTTGATAGACAACCCTGGATTTGTACATCAGCTTCTTCCTTTCTGTATCAGATAGTCCAGCTGTGGGAACTTGGGGTAGTGGAAGCCACCACCTTGTGCTCTGCCTTGTACTCTTGTTTCTTCCTTCAGCTTTGCTGCCCACTTCTGAGTACCAGAACTCATTTTTCACCATTGAATCTAGTGTTTCCTGTTAAGATTGTCAAATGATGTGAAGTGAGATTCCTTAAGTAACATATCAACATCGAGAATCTCAACTTTGGAGAAATCACCTACAATTAGCATAGAGTCCAACTTTGTAAGTGCAGGAAGATTCATGTGGATGTCTGCACGGGCTCTGGGAGTCATTATCTGCTTTTACAATTCCAAGATCAGTTCCACATCCCACCAAGTTGAGAGTCTTCTTTTTTGTCAAGTCAACTTATGGATAAAAGAGAAGATTACCTCCATGGTACGGCCATTTGCACCATTTTGCTTAGCAGGAACCAACTCAACCATGTAGTTCGTGGGAGAAAGCAACCAATCCATTTCCCTTCTCCATTTGTTCTTTCTTTCTTCAGGCAATGGCTCCAATTTCCATAGCTCCCCGAAAACAGATGCTAAAGAAAAGAAAAAATCAATTTGAAGCATTTAGAGCTGATGAACAAATTGCAAAAACAAATGAAAGTGAGGCAACTTGAGTAAAGTCAAGTAAGCTTGACAGAACATCTAGAGGATGAAGCAAGCAACATTAAGAGGAAGGTCAACTTTTGTTCGAAGAAAACTGATCGCGCAGGATGGAAAGCTACAGATGCATTGGCATATAGCATTCTGTATATGGCTAGCCCTAATGACATCAACCGGAAGAATATTGTTGTTTTAGTTTGAAAAGATTCGACAATAGATTCATGTACCTGCCAGGCTTGTTATTGCGTTGGACAATGCTAAGGCAGCAGTGAGGCCTTTACTGCCGCCAGTGATATCTTCTCCCAACAACAGCTTGGCAAACTTCTCCTTCATTGTCTCCACATCTGAGAGCCCAACAACATAAGCTGGTTTCTCTTTGGCATAAAAGTGCTGAGGGCTTTCTGGAAGCTCCCAGTCATCAGAACTCTGATAATCCCTTTTCACACTCAACCATTTAGAAGAGAACGACCCAAAAACATCTTTACTCGATGAGCAGCTGGAAGCGCCATCATCCAATGAGTCGCTTACAAATCCATCGCCTCTGCTTGTCCCGCTTTCATTTTCATAAGATTGATTGTTTTGAATACAGCTCTCCAGGCCATCATAGGTCATTATCCCTGATATCAACGAACATTAATAAAAGGCTATGATAGCATAATGTTGTATCCTCTTCTTTACATGTGCTTCCAATTCTTTAACGTGGATACATTCCTATTAAGCATCCACTAGTAGAGATGAATGAACACTTAGCTAAGGTTTATGAAATTATGATAAGGGATGACCTTAACTAGATGGCTTCATGCAGTTCAACTTTTGAGTTACAGAATGCTTAAATTAGCATCTACGACAATCACAACTAAAACAGCTATATGTTGCCCGTCATTAAGATAGATCACAAAGGTATTAACAAGTCCAAATTCTATTTATAAAGCATTAAGCGCAACAAATCAAGAATAATTCATAAACATTTCTCGGGTTGAAGTCAGTTCACTTACACCCACCCAGTTTGGGACCAGAAATGCTAATTTTGACAGGGTTTAGGAAAATGAGATTCTGAAATTAGCATTGCAGCATGGTCCTTGATTCATGACTTGTAGTTGTAGGAAAAGACAGGGAAGTTAATCCCAATGTACCAGGCCAGACCAAAACAAAAGGGAGGTGTCATTCAGCTTTCCGCATTCAAAAAGCAAAGAATTCAGAAATAGGAAGCCAATCAATAGGACCACAGAGCAAGGCAGAAATTTCGCACAAGCTTTGGGACGAAGAAATAGGACAATGGGGCTGCAGATCACCAAACTAAGTGCTGGCCTGGACAGCAAAAGAAAGGATGGCATGTGACTTGAACATGACACTGATCCGTCATAAGAGATCATTCAATTGGCTTGAGAAATGTGGGATGGAATGGGCTAACCACCACATGCCTCACACGTGTCTAGTATTTTTCTTCTTGTAGATCCCCTTCCTTTAGTCCACTTTGGATACCCATTTACTCTCTTCCTAAGATACATTAGTTAAGTCATCAATGTCAATGTAGACCAGCTAACCAGTCAAAGATGGAGGATTCTCCACTGTACAAACAAGCTTATGGACTATGGTAGTCAGGCTCGGGCAGCTAAAGCCAAAAGGTTGCACTATTTCCATAACTCTGAAAAACAAGGGAGAAACCGAGAAAGTAAATGGAGTATCCCACCCAAGTGGCTAAAAGCATGGCAAAAAGTAGGATACCCAACCCATGATAATGGTGGATATGGAATCCAAGTAGAAAATTTTCAAAAATCAATTTTGAGGGAGACTTTTCATAGAGACGATGACATCTGCCATCGGCGGGCCACACTGACACAAACTCTTATGTCCCTGTCCTGTTACTTAATTCGTTTTCTCTACTTGTCCTATTTCGGAGGGCACAAATGACCTCTCCGATGATATAAAATTTAGCCCTGTACCGCAAATAATGGTCCCCAGACGAGGAAGAAAAGGGTTTGAATCAAGGAATAAAGAATTTGGAGCTACATGCATATTAACAGAGCTGCCTCCCCCGCTACAACTCGTCTCTCAGACATCCCTTGTTCCCTAACATCAATGCCATTACTACAACTAACTACATGCACCGCTTCTTTTAATCTGTGCCCACAAAATTTGAATTGAGTGGGAACCAAACCTGTGCATCCCCACAAAGTTAAATGATAGGGATTTCCTATGGTAACTTGAAGTAAGGTAACTTGAATTTTTGTACATGCTATAGCAGGTTTCACAGGTTGTATTACGTAAAACGCAATAGGCATTACGTAATGGTTACGTAACATATGATAATCTTACGTAACAGTTGTAAAAGGTCATTACGGAAGCCTTACGTAATAGAATGTGTCTTTACGTAATGAGTATTAACCTCGCATTACGTAAAATGCAAAGTCATTACGGAAGCCTTACGTAACGCTACTGAATTAACTGTTACGTAAGAAATAACTGTCGTTTCGTAACCTTACGTAATGGAATGTCTTTTTACGTAATGAGTCTTAACCTTGAGTTACGTAAAGTGCTAAGTCATTACGGAAGCCTTACGTAACGCTTCCGATTTAAGTGTTACGTAAGAAATAACTATCATTCCGTAACCTTTACGTTAGTGAATGTGTATTTTACGTAACAGTTGTAAAATATAATTACGGAAGCCTTACGTAACACTTCTAATTCAATAAGAATTAAAAAAGGAAATGTTAAAATATGGAAAGACAACTAAATGTGAAAAAAGGAAAGAAAAAATTGAAAAAGGTAACTTGGGTATGTGGTGACCGGCAACTCATGTTGCCATTTATTTTTATAGTTATTTTTTTATTTTTTATTTCTTTAATCAATGGTTTAAAATAAGTGTGATCAATTTTAACGGTTTAAATCTATGCAAGTTACCTAACTTAAAATTATATCCAAGTTATTGTAGGAGATCCCTAAATGATATATTGTACATGAAAAACAATAATGTCAAGTTTATGTGCAATTTTATAAAAGCATAGTTAGATCGGATGAGGAACTGGTGATGGACTTTTGAAAGTCTTTCCTAGATGATCCTAAATTAATGGATCTGAATTATTTGAAGACTTAAAAACGAATTTTGTTTGCAGACAGTGCTAATCTAGGTTTAAGTAGAGCAGGAAAAACAAACATGCTAGCTAGCAGACTCAGATCTAGCTTTTTGATAATTTGCAACTCGCACATTGAGCACCGGGTTATTAATCAATAACTAAAATCTAACCATAGGTGTCAGCGTAAACAATAGGCATCAAAAGAATATCTTTGACAAAAAAAACAATAGGCATTAATAAAATTAGCTATAACCAGCATGTGAATGGAACTTGTAAGCTCAAGGAGCTAGTCCCAGGTCCGAGTTTTTTTATTTTTTAGAACAGTAGTCCCGGTTCCGAGTTGGAAGAAAAGGAGAGCAGCAACAGTAGAAACTAGAAAGTAAGAAGAACCAACCACGAGCGATCAGTCAGGTATTTTTCAGACACAAAAGTCCAAATCATGAAACTACTGTGTTTGGTTTTTCTTTTCTGAAAATGGGAACAGTAAGAAGTGAGTCATTCATCTAAAAATAAGAAGCCCTTGTCTATAGGACAAGCCGTTCCCATTCTATTTAAAAACCCTCAAGAAAAAGAAGAAAACAACGAAATGGAGAAAGGTAGAAGAGAAGAGGATGATTGTTGATTACTGATTAGTATATCAAGGAGTGGTCAAAGCTCTCAGCCAATCTGAGAGAAGAGGGGGATGGCTGGGCCTGGCCACTACAGAGGCGAAGGACGACACAGCCACTCACTCCCAAATTTAAGACGCCATAAATACACCCCTCCCCGTCTCCCTTCTGCACCAATATTAAATACGTGGGAAGCATAGTATATATGACTTTGCCAATGGGGTATTTTTTGAAACACGACTGTAGGTTTTCCTCCTACAAGCTCGTTTCTGCAGAAGGTCGGGACCCAGTGTAAATAGGAACCGCGGTTCCCAGAGCCCTCCATTCAAACCAACTCACTCCTCCCTCGCATATGCAGTATTCACTGGGGAACCAGTTAAAGCTTAAAACCACCGCAATACGCTTCTCTTTCTTCTCTTTCCTAATAAAAGCAGCACGAGAAAGAAGACCCATAACCATCACCACACAACATTAACATCTGGTAGTGGTTAGTAATCATGATTTCCAGACAACCCACATTCTTCGGACCTTGAAACCAAGTGTTCCATTATGATACACCACAAGTGCCATTGCCTACCAGCTACTCATTAACATATCAAAATAATGGCCAATATCCGTCCAAGTCACGGATTGTTCAACATTAGAGGCTAAGCTAATCCTACCCGTTTATAAACCATTGTCACACGAACCTAAACCATGTTACTTTAGCAGCAAACCTCACAAAATAAGCAACATTTTGTTCTCTGGGGAAGCATGTGTTAGGTATGGCATTTTACTGACTTTAGCCCAAAAACAAACAAATGCTGAGCTCCTGGGATTCCTTTGTTAGGAGGGATCACGGGAGAGAGGTCCGCATCAAACACGGCAGACAAATTTGGAATACTAATACCAATCAGTCAATCAATTAACCAACAAATTCCTAAAAGTGAAGAATGAATTCAATACCATAGCGAGTTAAAACTCTACCCAAAAAGAGTAAGGGTGCGGAGTACTTACTACTTTCGTGTTCATCGAAGTCGATGCTAATCCCTCTGTCCCGAGTGCAGCAAGCCAATCTGCTCCGCATCAGCATCCCTACTCCCTCCCCTTAATTCCCTGCTCTAAATCAAGCAAGATATTGTTATGGCCCAACCCAGCCGTGCCGGTGGGTAATGAACAGCCAATCAGGCTTGTGATAAAGATAATAATGAGTAGTGTGAAGAAATGGAAGCTTCTACTCTCTCTTTCTGTATAATTGTTTGGGTTTGGGATTATTATTGGTTAAGCAAAAGTTAAGAGAGAGAGAGAGAGTCCGGAGGAGAGGGACAAGAAAACCGGGTAATGGGGGGTTTGAGATAAGGGAAACCCAAACTACCCAACGGATTTTACGCATTAAATTAGTGAGTGGAGGTTTGAGATTCTTCCTCCTCCTCCACCATTATCAATACCGACTGACTGTGAACGAACGGTGATTTTTGCACAGTGAAACGGAGCGCAAAAGTCTACGCTCCCACCACCCACACGAATCTCAACGAAAAGAAAAAACCCCACTCACACAAACAGCCAAAAGTTCAGTAAAAAGCTACAAAGAGAAAGATTTGTTCAATTAATTAATCAGTTCAAAAAAGTGAAGAATCGCCATAACAACAGTAAAGTTTTCCTGTCGAAATCGAGGCAACGAATTGCCGGCGACGGTCGATCGCTCGATTGGATTTTCGTACAATGAGGAAGAATCTAACGTAAACGCAATTTCTGGAGTCAAAACAAACTGAACAGAAGAAGAAACTGTTGAAGAAATCATAAGCGCGAGAGAGAGAGACGGAGAATGAGAGAGACCTGAGAAGAGAGCACGGTGGGGATTGCGGGAGCTGGCCGGTGAAGATAGTAGTTCAATAGTTGGGAGAAATAGCAAGTGTTGCGGACTTCAGAGAAGAAGAAGCCGAAGGAAGCAGATTCCGGTCGCCGTGAGGTTGAGGTTGCGGGGAAAGACTAATAGACAAGTGTGAGAGATATTTTACAGAGTGCGGGTGAATGAAATCAAAATGGCGTGGGAAACGGAGAAGAAGGTGCTGTGTGGGGGAAGCGGGATCTCCGAGGGAGAAGAAGGAAGGTGTGAGTGTGACTAGGGAACAAAGAAAGGGATTTAGTGAGGCGATGATTCCATTTGCGTTTTATAATTGACTGGAAGAAGAGAAGAGAAAATTCGTAGCTCGCTCTGATCACTCTGTCTAACTGATTTGACTGACTGAAGCCACTCAACAAAGACAGACACTCGGCAGGGATTTTTCTTGTGCCCCTTTTTCTCTTTGTTTTGGGAAAAAGGAAGTTTAATAGTTTATATGTTAATCGAGCTTTTGATCTAGCGATCCATGTGTTGATCAGGGTTTTGGTGGTTTCGGTATTCGATTTGATAAAAATTCATTTGTCGTTGGTTTCTTAATAAAAGAGTTAAATTTGACCTAAACTTTGTTTGGCTCGCAAGGTTTATGAGCCAGCTCGATTCGGGGGCTTGTTGAACTCAACTTGTGAGCTCACTTGTCTTGAGTTAAAAGTTTGCTCGACAATATGGCTAGTGAGCCACCTCAAATAGCTACTTATAACTTTATAAGCGAATCGGTTAATAACTTTTCATTGGCGTGTTGATAATTTATAGATTTGTTAGATTATATATCTCACCACAAATGGTATTTAAGATTTTGAGCATGTGATCAAAATTGTCATATACTAATTACTATTAAATAACACGATATGAACAAATAAAAATTATGAACTAAATGATATGATATCTAAGATGGATGCAATCTCACAAGTTTATGGATGAGTAGAGCTCGTGAGCTCATAATGAGTCGAGCTCGAGTTAAACACAAGCCAGGATTTTAGTAAGCAAGCTAAGGTCGAGCTCGACTTGTTTATTAATGAGACAAGCCCAAACGATGCCAAAACTCAACTCGGCTCATTTACAGCTATGGAATTTTCCTTTAAAAAATGTTTTCTAGATGTAATTAGTTTGGAGAAATTAGGATGGCAATGGAGGAGTTTATGCCGGTTCACCTAAATCATTCTCATCCCAATTTTCAAAAATCCAAATCCATAGGCACCACATATTAATACGGAGAAATCTTTGTATCTCAATCCTCATACCCACGATTTTCGGATACCCTGTAGGTAATATGTTCTCGATATTCAATATTATTATAGCTATAATTAATACAATAAAACTAAATAAACAAGTATATGCTTTGTTATAAATACTCTATACTGTCCGATCCGACCAGGAATACCAGGTATCGTACCGGTAAGCATTTTTAGCGGTATGAAACGGTTGAACCACAATGGCCCAACCAAATAGAGCTAATATACCTAAAGGAAAGAAAGATATAAAACGTTTTTAATTCAATTTAAAAGCATCAAATCCTACTATATTTATTAGTTCATAAGACAATCATTATTTTTAACATCAAATCATTAGTTTTTTTTTTATATGTATAGAGAGATTTTTTGTGCCACGAGTATGACAATGTGTATGGGACTAGAAATCTAAAATAATATATGCTTAATCACATTAATTTAGATTTTACTTATATACACATCTTATACGGGTAAATGACACATTTGGTCACCGAGATTACCAAATCGTGTCATATTTAGTCACTAGAAAAAATTAATATCAATTTTGGTCACTCGAATTACTGAAACAGGTCACATTTGGTCACTTTTCTGTAGCCTCTGTCCAACTCCGGTCACTTGAATTATTGAAAAATGTCACATTTAGTCACTCGGATTACTGAAACATGTCACATTTAGTCACTCTCCCAAAAGTTTCGGAAAAAATCCAAAAGTACCACTGTTTAGAAAAAAATTTCCAAAAATACCACCCAACCCCAAAAAATTCCAAAAATACCACCCTTTTTCAAAAACCGCCACCCCACCCAGCGGTTTGGTCGAAAACCGCTTGTCGGGGGCGCGGTTTTGGACCAAACCGCGGGCCTAGGGGGCGGTTATAAAAAAAAAAAAATTGGACCAAAACCGCTGGGTGGGGTGGCGGTTTGGCCCAAAACCGCCACCCCAACCAGCGGTTTGGTCCAAAAGTTCGGTCGAAACTTCAAACGAACGTAACTTTGCACTCGGGTATCCGATCGTAGCGATTTTTTTTTTCATTTCGCATAACTTTTCAAGATCTACAACTTTTACTAGGATAAAATTTTCAAAACAGGAACTATTTGTGGATATACGGGACCTTGAGAATAACTTTACCTTTACTTTTCAGAAATCCATGTACATTTTGAAATTATGATTATATTAAAAGTTGTAGATCTTGAAAAGTTATGCGGAATCAAAAAAAAGTTCATAGCATTCGGAGTTTGGAGCACAAAGTTATGGCCGCCCAAAGTTTGACGAAAGGCGAGACCCGGCGGTTTGCGGCTTGCAAGTAGGGATGGCAACAAAACCCGAACCCACGGGTACCCACCCGACCCAACCCGGTCAACATGGGTAAAATCCGTGTTGACGGGTTTTGGGTCGGGTTTGGGTTTAAACCCGTTCACTATTCAACGGGTTGGGTTGGGTTTGGGTTTAGGTAAACCCGGCCCGTGGGTACCCGCCCACCCATATAATTAATTTTTTCGGTATATTTAATATTCTAAACAACTAATCTTATTTATGTTTGTGGAGATATGTCTAATTTTTTCTTTTTAATTGTGTAGAATGAAGTTGATGTTATGGAGTGGAGAGTAAAGAAACTTAATTGAAAGGAAGAAGTTTTCAATTAAACATGTTATTTATGGAAAATTTGTGATTTGCTTCAATTTTTTTGAGTTTTCTAGATTGGTGTTGAAAAATTTGTATAGTTAATTTGTGATTTGCTTGAATTGTCTAGAATGGTGTTTTATATATGGATAATTTGTATTGAGAGATTGATATTTGACTTTAATTTTGATAAGAACTTGTAATTATAAAATTTTTACTACAAAACCCGTGGGTACCCATGAACCCGCGGATACCCAACGGGTTGGGTTGGGTTTGAGTTTTTCAAACCCAGTGGGTTTTACCCCGGGTTTTTTTCAAAGATAAACCCATGGATTTGGGTTTGGGTTTGGCAAAACCCGACCCATTGCCATCCCTACTTGCAAGATCTCAAAAAGTTTGCGGCCTCCATTTTTTGAATCCGAATCACTTTTTGAGATCTTGCAAGTCTCAAACAGTCGGGTTCCGTCTTCGTCTCGAAAAAACGTCATTTGCCACCCCGAACGGCATTTTTTTTTATTTCGTCAAACTTTGGGCGGCCACAACTTTGTGCTCCAAAATCCGAATGTCATGAATTTTTTTTTTATTCCGCATAACTTTTCAAGATACAACTTTTAATATAATCATAATTTCAAAATGCACATGGATTTCTGAAAAGTAAAGGTAAAGTTATTCTCAAGGTCCCGTATATCCACAAATAGTTCCTGTTTTGAAAATTTCATCCTAGTAAAATTTGTAGATCTTGAAAAGTTATGCGAAATGAAAAAAAGAATCGCTACGATCGGATATCCGAGTGCAAAGTTACGTTCGTTTGAAGTTTCGACCGAATTTTTGGACCAAACCGTTGGTTGGGGTGGCGGTTTTGGGCCAAACCGCCACCCCACCCAGCGGTTTTGGTCCAAATTTTTTTTTTTTTTTATAACCGCCCCCTAGGCCCGCGGTTTGGTCCAAAACCGCGCACTCGACAAGCGGTTTTCGACCAAACCGCTGGGTGGAGTGGCGGTTTTTGAAAAAGGGTGGTATTTTTGGAATTTTTTGGGATTGAGTGGTATTTTTGGAATTTTTTTTTTAAACAGTGGTACTTTTGGATTTTTTCCAAAAGTTTCCGTCCAACTACATTAATGGAGTTGGACGGAAACTGACGGGAGAGTGACTAAATTTGACCAGTTTCGGTAATTCGAGTGACCAAAATTGATATTAATTTTTTCTAGTGACTAAACATGACACAATTTAATAATTTCAGTGACCAAATGTATCATTTACCCCATCTTATACCTAATCAATACGGAAATCGAAATTATTATATATAAAAAGTTCGAGTATCGGAAAATTAAATCCGCAGGCAATTTTTGTTTTCTTTTTTTGGGCAAGGGAAGCAGGCCGGGGCCCGTGGAGAAGCGTCCTTGATTTGACTGCCCCATCGACCATTACTACAACACCCCAATGGCCCAACCAATGAGAATCAATAACCCAACAGCAAAAGTTGGGCTTCAGCAAGCGCCACGGCAAACGCAGCCCCCACCCCATTACACACTCCCCAATTTCAAAACTTCCAGTAAACCAAACAACAAATTGGGTTGTTAGTTGTTACTATTAGGTTAGCATTCATTGTTATCGCCCAAGCTTTCGGGAGTCAACAACTTACTCTGATTCTTCGTGTTTTGGTTTAGCATTCTAAGGTCCTTTTATGGCCACATTCTTCGTGGCCTTCTTCCGAGCTCGAGTTATAGAAGAAGGAGAATAAAGAATTGAGAATAAGGTATCAGGAACAACATATTTTATTACGGGACAATTTATGATGTTTTAGTGGATTATTTTGTGAAGGCGGTTTACTTTTTATATTACTCAATATATGACGGAAACTATCAGCGGTCAGATCAGTAAGATCTTCAAACTAGTTTCAATAGAGGTTTGATAAATTTGCTTGGTCAGCTAAGGATGGATCGAACGATTTTTCATAGTTGAATATGAAGTCAGATGAACCATTCCGGTTTGCAACCTCCACCTATTTACTATTTAAAGCACAGAAAAAAATGTAAACTAAGAGGTCATTTGAAAGTTGCGATTGTTAAATAAATGTATTGTTGTGAATACGTGTATAGTTGTTAAATAAAGGAGAAATATTAAAAAAGATACTGATAAACTAATGAGCAACGTAAATTTAAGATACTGATGATAACTACTTGTTTAGCCCGAAATTAGTAATACTCCTATAGAAGGATTAATTAAGCCAAACAAATGATAAATCCTGTAAATAATGAACAAACCCACCAAACCAAAATAACATATCCATAAACACACGGCTAGAGGAGTAGAGGACTGTCCATATTGTGGGATATCAGAAACACTATAATAATAATAATACTAATTTGGCAACAGGGTTGTAAGAGAGACGTGGCGACCAATGTTTCAAATTTTTAGTATTTAATTAAGAAAAATGTTTAGAATAAATACAACTTATTAGCCAATAGGGCTAAAACTTTGTAACGTAATTATAAATTTGGCTAATTTTTATTTCAAAAGTTCGACTAATATTTTAAAAAATTAAAAAATTTGCTAATAAATTGTATTTACTCTATTAGTAACATAGAATCAACTTTAAAAGTTTCTATTGTATCCACCCGAATAACACCAACGAAACAAAACACTCTTCAAAATAAGTAAATACTACACATCCTAGTATTTGACTAGTAGGCTACAATGGATTGAATTTTAAATTTTAGCCCATAACATTAGTCTACTACTATATATTCTAAAACTTGAATACTAAACTTGGTCACTTTTATTTGTATGCTTCCTAATTGCATAACCTGTTGTTGGCCCGCCCTACTTATTATTAGCTGTTTGGTAAACCCACCAGACTGAACTAATGGCTAACTACGGCATTTAGTAAATGAATACAGTCTAATTAATACTCACCAAATGTGATACTATTTCACAATTACAATAAGTTTCATTCAACAGAAGTCGGACTAAATTATCTTTCCCCCCAGCTCAATCTTATTTTATTATGTGGATTAGCAAAAGATATTGTTTCGGCTCCTACAATTTGTGTAGATGGTTTTGTAAATCTTGACGTGTATGTATCATGTATGTAGAAGTCAATGTAGATGGTTTTGGTGTTAGATTTGACTAACCAATCTTTACAATCGATTAATTATCATTCATATACGTAACATTAGAGTGTATAATGAGAATTCATATGTTGGTTTTTCTCCATTTTGAATCAGATCCAACCGGAGTGATTTACAAAAAAAAAATAAAATAATTGACATTTACTTTGTTTTTATTGAATGATAAGGTGTTCCGCCAATTCTGCTCGATATTTGTTTTTCTCCAATTCTTAAACTTTGAATTACCCGATCTCATAGCAGTATACAGAAGATTCACGTATGTTTAGTTACTTAGCTGTGATGATGATTAGTGGACGCTTTTGTTGATTAGCTCTTTTGCAAAAGTAATTACTTTCCGCGAGAGGAAAGCATACTTTCGTCAGTTCGTGGAAGGCGAAGGGAGGTGGGGAACCTATGCCAATGCCATGCACGTTAATATTACGGCTTTGGGAAGATCATGGCCGTCCATTTACATTACACGGCGCTAATCTACTCGCAAACAGAGCCCGCCCTGCCAATCGATGGAGGCCACGTTGCCATCATGGTTGATCCCTGAATCTTCCAATTCCAAGTGCCACTTTATACATATTCATAAAATAAAATGTTCACCAAGAAGATTCATAAAATTAAAATAGAAAAAAAGCTGAAGAAAATATATGTTTCGAAAATTTTGCCGGAGAAAAAATCCATCCATTAAAGAAAAAAAGGGTAAAGGATCCGTCAGCAGCCTAAAAAATATTGCGGAACAAGTGTAAAAGCAAAGACGAATTCAAAGATTAGAAAAGACAGCTCCTTTAATTGATGATGGACTTATCCTGGTCTCAAAGTGAATCTCAATTTTCAAATTTCTACCTTAAAGGGAAAAAGTGAATTTCAAATCCTTTTGCTTTCCATGCTAAAGATTTATACCAAACTCACAAAATTCTATCATATCAATTGATTTAGGAAAAATGTTTGAATTTTGAATGAACTAGTCATGAAATCAAAGAATAAATGTTTTTCGGTTATATATCCGATTGCACAAGAAGAGTTATTTGATAAACACCACATGATTTGTAAAAGATAGTTCTTCAAAAATTTCTCAAACGTCACAAATACATCATATCATATTGCACAATAGTTAAATGTTGTCGTTTTAACAAGTCAATCTAGACTTTTCCGGTTTAAATTAATTCATTACGAGACAATTGAGATATATTATCTTATTGAAATTATACATCTAGACGACTTATAAAAATTCAATAATATCATGATAAATGGATAAATCGATCTGACTTGGTGGAAGATAGAGAAGTATGGCTTGACAGATAGTACTCACTAATCAGCCCGTTCAAAGATACAGAATGAAGAAGGAAGGAAGGAAAGAACAATTATAATGAAGAAAAGCGAAGCGAACATTTATTTCCTACATCATCGATCATTTGCTTCCAAGCGAAGTATATTCTGTATATGTCCTTTCCTAAACAGTGCTAATATAATCATGTTCGAAGAGAAGAAAAAGTTACCAAAAAAGCGTCCCTATACTGATAAACCGAACGAAGCTCACAAATAAAGTAAAAAAAAATTACAGCACCACCACTGTAAAAATATTCGATTACAATCATTTGGCTCTGGAAGTGCAGGGAGAAGGGACGTAGGAGCCATTGGACTGGCGGAAATTGAGCTTACAGTTCAAATGGCACCAGAACCGAATCGAGCCCAACAGCCCCACGCGCCACCGAGCCCGCGCGTTCCCTTGCAAGTCGAACCGTACCTGGTCCTGCTTCAGCATGACGTCCACGTCCATCGACTGGGCCGGGCTGAGCGGGATGGGCCTGGACACGACGACGAAGTTGAAGTCCACGGTGCTGTTCTTCCTGACGTCGTAGTCCCCGGCCTGGAGGGACGCGATGTGCATCCCTTCGAAGATGAGCCTGAGCTGGAGGTCCGAGAACGACGAGTGGGCTTTCAGGTTGTCGTTCTCGGACCTCACGACTACGCTGACCTGGGTGACCAGGGTGCCAGCGTAGTCGTACTGGAAGAGGTCGAGGTGGGCGTCGATGACGCTGAGGATGGGGACGCGCGGGTGGATGACGAGGTAGCCGATGAAGACGGCGATCCCGCCGAAGATGATGGCGACGGTGAGGATCATGCACAGCAGGGCCGCGCACCACCACAACGGGTGGGTCCGGCGCTGGGCGGTTAGCTTCTTGGGCATTGGGGATGGCGGTGGTTGAACTTGAATGATATTGCTGGCAACATTCGAGGAAGAAGAAGTGGTTTAAGGAAGGAGAAGTGGGGATGGTGTTTGTGGGTTCTTAGTGGTGAATGGTGGGGAAGGTTTAGGTATCTTCTTTTCCTAGTCCTAAAGCATTTTGGTTTTGGTGTGTGGGTGGATGAATGTTGTGTTTTTGTGGTATGGAATGGAGGTGTCTTTCTTTCTTTCTTTGGTTTAAGTAATAGGTGTTGTTGTGCTTTTTTTTGGGGGGGGGGGGCTTACTTTTGCCTTTTTCAATAATGGAGAAATCTTAGTGCCTGCCTGCCTGCCTGCACCAACTTTATGTGATTGTGTATAGTTTCTTGTTTAGCTTGGTTGTTGGGGAAGAGGGTACGTAAATATATACCAAACTTGTATTGGTGTTTATCTAAATTATTGAGTGGTTAATATGAAAGATGTTTTTTCCCCTCCTATTTGAATTGGTGTTTGAAAGAAACTAGATCCGAGTTTATATGATGATTAACAGGAAGAAAAGGCAGATACTTGTGAATTTTGTTATATTAAGTTATATTATATTATTTATTATCGTCTTGTTCATTTGATCTTCGGATGTAGTTCCGCTCGTTTTCCACTCAGAAACAGTTTGAATCAAATCCAATCCCTCTTACATATAGTTAGTTAGAAAATACTATCATTGTTTTTTTTTGTTGAGGCTCCATGGATGAAAACATGCACAATCATGTCAATCCTAGAATTTTATTAAAAATTCACAAGATAGGAATTAGGATGCTAATGTGTCGAAATCTTATGTATTTTTTACAAGGATTGCACTTTATATAAGACCTGAAAGCCGTACTCAAGAATTTCCTAAGATTCGGTAAATGAGTAGGAGTGAGGAAGTAACTCAACAAATTAAGTCTGCTTAACAAATGAAGTCTCTGCTAAAATTATGTCAACTATCATTTTTTGAAGACCGTACAACAATATAAGCATGCAATATTCCGCAATGTCAGTTTCCAAACACAATTAAAAATAGTGCCATTGGTGTTTGCTATCCATCTATAAATGAAAAATAATTTACAACCACAAGTTACACATCAAATCATATATATATTGAAAACAATATTGTCGATGGTGAATAAATTAATTACAAACAATTTGAATAACCACACAAAAATTTGAGTCAAGGTGGATGTTTTCATGGAATAAATCATTATAATTATAGTCGCTATATTTTAATACACAAAATCTAAGAATATTAACTAGATCTACAGTAACACATGTATTCATATATAAAAAAAAATTAATGATTTCAAATTTACCTTTTGAAAATTTATTAAAGCGTGAGAGATTGCAAAACAATTTTGAATAATGTATTACAAAAGTCAAAAACATATAAGATATTGAGTATCTAAAATAATTTAAATATAGGAATTATATAAAAGAGAAGGAAATTCCAGTAGTACTATAATCACCGACTTGAAAATAGGTTCCGGAGTGTTCTTACCAATTCCGCAACGGAAAAGGAAATCCTGATCCTAGCAGACTTCGGAAAACTTGTCGCTTTATAAACTTGGCAGTTCTCACCCAAAAAGGCATCCCATCCCCGATTGCCAAGCGAACCTGATTTCGGAAACAATCATGTTTCGGACACAGTCTCTCGAAAGGAGGAGAAGAACCCTAAAGAAGAAAGCAGAGGAGCTCTCAACCCTCTGCGGGATCGACGTGGCTTACGTCCGCTTCGATCACAACGGCAGAGTCGATACGTGGCCGGAAGACCCGAACAAGGTCAAGAGCATCATTCTCAAATACAGAGAGGTCAAATCTGACGAGAAACCATCCGCTGGCGTTTCCCCTGCTTCCTCCGACGGCGAAATCCGCGGAGCGGCGGAGACTAATCGGGAACTGAAGCTAGATGGGTTTTCGGAAGAGGAACTGTTGGGGTCGCATAGATTGGTGGAAGAGAAGTTGGAGAAGGTGAGAAGGAGAATTGCGAATCTAGAAGGCAATGAGAAAAGCCGGAAGAAAAAAAGGCGGCGAAATTACGACCTGCAAACACTGAATTTGATCGATTTGGTGGGTTTGCCGCCGCCGAATTCCGGAACAGGGCATCGTTGTTCCAGCAGTAGCAGGACTAATTCTTCTCTAAGTTGTGGTTCGTCGATGATTACTGGAATCACGTCTCCTGACCGAAGCAATTCTCCAATCTCCGACCCCAAATCGGAATGGGGCGCGCTAATTTCGCTGTAAAGCCCTTTTTTCCCCCAATTGAATGTGGAAATCGGTATTAACATCAGAAAGGGGTGATTTTGCTGTAACCCTTTCTCTCCTTTAGCATCTGTAGTTCGATCATATTGAAGTGTAAATTCTAAAGCTCTGAAATTTCTTTATATGCTGCACTTGGAAATTTGGGAGTCTAGCGTAGGGAACGATGACCCTGTAACAGAGGTTGATTTCTTCCTAGAATCCTAACAAATCTAGTAGAGATTGGACCACAGAGTCCATTGCTGGCTCTTGTTCGTTCCCCGTCTTCTTCAAGACACGACAGGCCCAATTTCAACAAATCTAAAGCAGGAATAATGGAGGCGGCCCACAAAGCCAGCCCAGATGGCCCAAGAACGTAGTCATCCTTTTCGTTGAACCGTAGCGGGCTGGACTTTAAACCGTTCCTTCCGTGGTTTACTATCATGTTCACAAAAACATTTCAAGAAAATAACGTCTATTAGCATTAAATCATAAAACGGAGAAGAAATGGCGTTGGATCGAAAAAAATAATTTAAGCAAGTTTGAGGACTGTCAGTCAGAGTGATCAGTTGGATGAACCGTAAAGGGTATGTCAGTGCCTATATGGTAAAATCTTGTCATACAAGTCTTTATCTAATTAACTTGATGATGGTGCTATTTAATCAGCTTCAGTCTGACGATGTAGCACTCCATATGATTAATAAAGTTCATACAGATTCCGATACAAAAAATGACAGAGAAGAGAACATTAGTGCTGTTAAAACAAGGCTGGAATTAACAATAATTTACCAGTTCAGAAAAAGACCACAGAAAGAATAATATATATAGCATTGAATCGATGAAACGAGTACAAAGAAAGATATTATGATAGAATATGAATATGTCCATTGTCCGCCCACAACAATATATACCAGGTTAATTATTCAATTCAATAGAATTATAACATGCGGAGAAGGAAAAGTGTCCTGGAAAAAGCATTGATAAAGAGAACAGTAAAACGTAAGGATAAGTGGCAAAACTACCGATATCTTTTTTTTATGGCGCAGTAAAACGTAAACCCGCCAATATTTCTTATGTAAAAAAAATAAATTTTAAATACTAAATTGTAAAAAATATATATATTTGAGTACACAAATATAAACTTTTAAAAGATGAGTGTGTTAATTTGAGTCGACCCACTTTCTCAATCTGCCCCAATGAGTCAATAAGGTAAAAGAACAGGAGTGAAACAGGTATAAGTTATATAAGTTAACTCTTTTGAAGTGTGTCATAAATGAATCAAGCCAATTTTTAGCCCTACTAAAAAACATATACTCCCACATGTTAGTCGAATCAAACTAAAGTTTCCTCTCAATACAGCCTGGGAGTATACACTATACACAATTGAAAACAAAAAAGCTCGGGTCTCCAAATCATTGATAAAATTAAATAACAAATGGATAAGAAATTAAAACTGGGGAACAACTAAAGGGTCATTAAATGGAAGAAAAAAGGATAAGAAACCTGGAACCACAATGAATGAATACTTGAATAAACCCATCCATCGATCGATGATCTTACCAAATTATCTTTGAATCGTACCTAAGCAATAATATAACTAATCTGCTCATACTATCGTATGTACCATTAATGTTATTAATCATTATAGTAGTAGGTGATTGGTCTGACTAGTCTACGACTAAATAAGATTCCTTAATTCTTAAATCATTTTCTAACTAGCACCGGGCCCGGCCCCTTGGCCGGGAAAGTCTAGACAAAAAATATGTTCATATAACATGCTTACAATATAATAGGAAGATACGACATATCACTGAAAAAAGAAATATAATTGTTCAAAGAAGAAAAGAAAAACATACAAAATAATAGGTTTTCAATACTTAAAAATGGCAAATAGTTCAAGATTAGAGTTGTTTTTTCTAAAACATACATAATGAACCCTCAGAAGGAAAGAAAAAGATTGGTCTCTAACAGATTTTAGGAATGAGATCATTTGTAACCCTAATTAATGTCTAACAGATACACCCATATTATTCCTCTTCATAGAAAGTAGAATAAGGATCAGCTGGTTTGGAAGCATGCTAGTCGTAGTCCCCGAAGATGCCTAGAAAATAGTCCGGGTTCTCAAGAGAGCTTCAAACTTAAGGCTGAGTGCAACTAATTTTGAATTACATATGTTTGTCTTTGTCAGTGTTGCTGATACTTTCACTGACTACTTTGATTGGTAAGTTGACCATAAATAATAGGGATATACCTTATTTTGACCTTGAAGTTTGTCGTAAAAGCCAAACTTGACATGAACTTGCAAATAAGACAGTTTTCAAAATTTTGAAAGAAATGGACAAATTTGGACTGAAATTTATGTTGTTCGTTAATATTAAAAGTTAAAAATTTCTTCATCCATTCAACATACAATGCTCAGGTGGTTGCGATTGCGATGTGGCTTCCATGTCATAGGGATGATACCTTATTTTGGCATGAACTTGATGTAAAAGACAATTTTGGCTCGAATTTTCAAATAAGATAGGTTTGTTTGCACTTTGAAAGAAATGAACAAATTTGGTCCGAAATTTGGGTTGACCTTTAATATTGACAGTTGTGATAGAGAGGTTTCGGTTGCGATGTGGCTTCCAAGTCATTTATTTATAAAGTCTAAAAAAGTGAATTTTTCAGAAGAAAAAAATACCACAAAATAGGACCCTTAGTATATCCTAATATTTTCATATTTACTTGCATAAATCATATTAAAAGGAAAAAGAAATTGATTCAGGCCCCCAAAAATCCCAAAGCACGAAACTATCTCTCTTTGTACCCCTCTCATCAATATTAACGGCAACCTAAATTTTGGGTCAAAGTTATTCATTTCTTTGAAAATTCGTACAAAACTGTCTTATTTGAAAGTGTAGGGCAAAATAGCATATTATACCTATGACGTGAAAGTCACACCACAGTCACCTTAACATTGTATGTTGAGTCATAAAAAAAAGAAATGTTTGACCCTCAATATTAATAACCGACCCAAATTTCGGGTCAAATTTGTTAATTTCTTTCAAATTCGGACAAAACTATCTTATTTGAATGTTCATGCCAAAATTGTTATTTACATCAAAGTTCAACACAAAATAGGATATTATCCCTAAATAATATAGGAGTACTAAAAATATTGGACTAATGAAGTTCAAAATGTTTCAAACAACATACAACCCTGATAAAACTGCAGTCCAACCAACTAACATTTAGAACAAATGACTTTCCAGCAGGATAACACAACTATAAGTATGGGTGGTTCTATCATATTTTGATTAAGAAAATTACATAAGGAAATGATATATAGACCTTGAATGATATACTCTGAGTATGAAAATGATGTCTAGTGGCCGGAGCTAGGGACATGGTACTATACCTTAAGCCCTTACAGATTAAAATCTAGGTCTTAATTCTATGAAGCTCATATACTAAGATCAATTTTATTAGAAACAATAATCGAAGGTCGTGTTTCATCAAAATACATCAAAAAAATTATGTGCATAATCTTAGTGTTTAGGGCAAGGATTGAAAACCCTTAACGTACCGGGGGTTCGACTAAACCAGTAGGCACTATGTAGTGTTGTGAAACGACTAAATCACGGTTAACCACAGTTTTCGCATAAAATACCCTCCTGCCGACTTTTTCGGTACAACCTCTGATGAGGTTTTATAATCCTTGGTTTAGGATCTATGATTTAAATAGTTAAGACCTAGAGTTCACTCGTCAAGGGTTAGAATATAGTGTCTCGTCTCGAAATCAGGTTAATTCAAAGTCTAGATTGCCATTTCTTACCAAGGGTATGAGTTACCTTTTGATTTTACTCAAAATATGATAGAAAACACTACACACACACATACTGGTATACTACAAGAGTATAGTATACTGGTATACTCCAAGAGTATAGTATACTCCACATGATCTAGACATTAGATGTACTTTGTTGAGCTCCAATCAATCTCAATGGTCAATTATAATTTTCCATTAAATTAAACTTTGGGTTTGAGTTTAGAGAATCGGGGCCTGGGGTTTATCCATTAGAGGTTAGGGTAGAGTATCATACCCCAAACTCGGTTAAAAATCATGGTCTAGATAGAGATATCTCACGAAGAGTACCTGAAGTATAATATACTCCAGGAGTACACCAGTCTGACCCATATATATGTGGTTGTGTGTGCACATATATATTTAATATTGTAATTTGATATGCAATATTCGAATAAATGATATTTGGATTGCGGTTTTAAGATTATCCTCCATTTATAAGATAGACTACCATTATTATTGAAGTCAAAATAAAATAATAATAAATGATAATCAAAGATCCAACACTAAAAATGCTTAAGAAAGACTTAGTGGGGTAGCTAACTGTGCTGGAAAAGTCATTTGATTTTCAGAATTTTGCCTCTTGTATGTTTTTTTTTATAAATAAATGCAACAAATTTGTTTAGTCTTATTGGTTATGACTCTTGTCCTTGTTAGAAGAGACCCGGGTTCAAATCTTGACACTGATATTTTTTTCAAATAAAAAAATAAACAATTGCAATGACGAAAGTACCCTTCCTACTTTCACTCTCGTTGCAGAAAATTTGAAATGGAAGAAAGTTGAGTCATGAATCTCCATCATATATCTTATAGATAGATTGTATGTTGACGTATTATAAGTTTGTTGTGCTGGGAAATACTTTGAAATGATAAAAGCCTAACAAAGCATTGGTGGAGCAATTAAGGGTTACAATTACTTACAAACCCTCAATTTTTTTATTTTACTATCTAAAATTCTAATATGCGCAGTCAATATTATAAAAGGTGGGATGGGTCTTCACTCTTCACCAATTTAGTTGGTTATTTTCAACCTCTTCCAACTATAAATCATAACTAATTTAGGTGGAAATTAAATCCAAGATAACCTACAACACAATGATAGGAGGACCAATAATGGGATAATTGTTCTATTAGAGAAGCAGTAATAATATCACTAATTTTAAATCTAAACGTCTCATATTCAAATAACTTAAATAACAGTTAACTTTATAAATAAGAATATATATCACCCAAACTTGAGGATATTCAATTCATACAATTTCTGTTATCTTACATAGCAACACCTGGGGGGAAAAAAAGAAACAGAAGTACCTTGCTTCCCAACTTTAGGGGATGTAAATCCGAGAAGCAGAATACCTAGTATCTTTCAAAAACTTGGCAAAAAAAAATTGAAAAAGAAGACAATAAAGGAAAAATAAAGGAAAAACAGATACACGAAAGCGTAAGACAAGACTCAAGAGGCGCAAAAAGAAAGAAATTAAACGCAGATCGTAGTCGTCGTCACTCTAGGGCATGCGGCCGGCCGGCCGGGTATCTTCAGGGAGCAGTAGGCGGGCTGTCGTGACCCACTCCAGGGCTATGGCCACGATTGGTCGGCCTGAAGGCATCTCCGTCCACTGCTTTGGAACTACTGTACCCGTAACCCAAACCAACCGCGGGGGGTGCTGGCGCCTGCTTCCAACTATTCAGCCCTACAGCCGGCGGCCGTTGATGTGGCGTTGTGGCAGTAGTACTCGTCGAGATTGTTAGCAGAAGGACGAGAAGAAGAGTCGTGGCGAAGCAATATGTCGAAGAGCTATTATTAGCGTGACGAAGATGATGCTCAACCCCCATCACGGGACTTATACTTGATGATCACTCTCGCGATCTAGTGATTTTTTGAGGTTTGTTTCAATGATGATGGGATGGATGTGTCTTATGTTATATTTAAGGTGTGGGAGAAAAAGAAAAGTGGAGTTGTAGTGGCGGGTGTTTAATGCACATCGTATTATTGTTTTAGTTTATCGTAGGGTTTAGGAGAAGATACATGCAGAAAGGGTAAGTTGGAGAATAACTTCCTGAAATGGCATGTTTAACAATTATCGACAGTTTTTCCAAATCAAAACTAAAGCAGCAAGGCCAGGCGCACCCAAAGGGAAAAGATCAAAAGATTGAAGATATCCTCCACCCACCAAACCCTACCTCACAGCTGCTCCAAATTCCAATTGGTGGTTTTTTATTCCTTAAACAAAAGAACTCACAGATCTCGATATGACAGCACCAATGGGCGGGACTCTCTGCTTATCTCCTTCTCAACGACCATTCATTTCAGTGATGGAATGAGTCATCAGCGACAAATATTTATGGTTCCGGGTTGAGGTATATGTCTGGCCGGCCTACGTCGTGGAATATTGAAGTACATCTAATAGTTCAGTGTGAATGCAGACATATACTATACATCAGACGTATGCTAATCTTTGCTATACATTGTTCAAGTATATATATATATATATATTTGCTTAGAGCATTCACATTGGTCTTGTATTTTACATTACAAGATGTCATGACATGGGTTTCTGTAGTTGTAAAACAAATTGCACTAATGTGGACACCCATTGTAGATTTGTGATCTTACAACGAGTGCAAATGAAATGAATATGAAAGCTAAAGTTGCCTAAAATTAAAAGAAGGGGACGAAAGTGAATTGCATTGATGTTGGCATGCTATTTAACCAGATGTGCAGTTGCAAGTGAATTGGGTTGATGTAGGTGCAATGGTAGTACTACGAGTTGAATCACGGAAATTGTTGAGGCGACACTAATAACAATATATATATCGATGCAATTGATTTTCCAATTGTATTGATATGAATACTCTGATCATTTGCTTTGCGATTTGACATTTGAAATCATTGGTTTTTCGACAATTTGGAATCTTAGGTGACAACTGGAATTGTGCGGGTGTGGAAATAAAAGGGGGATTCCTATTACGTGTACTTTCTCTTATGATATCTTTTCACTTTCACTAAGCTCATTATATTGTCGGACTATGAGTTGTATATATATGTAATCAAAAGGAGGGAAAAGCGATTTCTTTCGCAGAACATTAAAACAAGAGAATTTCATACGGTCTAATTCTCTGTCCTACAAACAAAAGACCCCTCATCAGTATCTATTTTCTCTCATAGTCTCATCTCTCACTGATTATTAATCCACTTTCCTAGCCAAACTTTTCTCTACTTTAAGGAAATCATAGCCCTTCGTTTACTAGTAGCCAATGTATAACTTTATTTAACCCAATTAGCCCTCCAATATCTTTCATGCTTCTCCATGTACGGGTGTAAACTGTCGACATCCAACCTAATCGTACTGATCAATCGGTGTTGGACCGAAAATTGAATTGATTTGGTTTGGATTATATGAAACTATGAAAAAAAAATGTGAAACGAAATGGGATTTCAACATTGATCGAATCAAAGTAAACGAACCATGCATACATGCTTTTGGCCTGGTTCTATTTATTTTTTTATTTTTTGCTTTTGGTCTCGGCCTTTCTCAATTCGATATGATTTTGAACTGAATCAACCGGTTATTGCCTCTACTTCCATGTGAATTGTGATGTTGCTATTGAGTTAGAAGCAATAGATTGTTTAATATAAACTCAGTAGCAAATTGACAAGCTCTTCGCCCTGTCCAGTCTAGTCCCGCCATATTCTATCTTGATCTATTGAGATATCTATTAGTATTTTTCCTCTTGATTTTCTTAAAATTATATTTTTCGGTAATTTAAAATTATATTTTCACTTCAATGAAACTTTAAATAAGCGCAAAATTCTATCTTCAACTAATTAGACTCAAATTATTCAAATTATTATATTTTTTTTCTTTATCAAGTACTTTTCGTTTATTTTATCATATAAGAGTTAATATTTTGCATTTTTCCTTCATCTAATCACATATAAAAAATGGTCGACTTATCCCCGCGTCTCATAACCACAAGAGTACCATGCTTTGTGTGAAACGAGTATGAATATTACGTTCCCATCCCCGTTCCCTGCCCTATTGACATCACTAACACGTGGGCATGATCGCTAACTTCACATATTCTCTAATCTATATCACAGGAGCATAAACATTATTTATAGATATTTTTTCTTATCCCCCAGCTTCAACTTCTACTTCTTCATGTTCTATCCAAGGAATCCAAGTAAAGGGAGGAAAAAGAACTAAGCATCAGAATCCTTCTTAATTATCTTTTCATAAACCCATATGGTGGAGGGAAAAAGAGAAGATTAGAGTTAAACTAATTCACAATCGATTCCGCAGGAGGGTTAATCAAGACCCACTAATTAAGTAGACTATATCTCAGAAACATGTCTATTAATCTCTTCTCTTCTGTAGTTCTTGCACTTTACAACAAAAGGCGCATTTTATTTGATTCTTCAGGCGGCATTAATTAGGAATCACCATTGAGAAGGATTGATGTTTACGAAAACACCGATGAGGAAATTAAGAGGCTGCTCGTCGGAATCCCATTCTGAATAATATATTCAGTTAGAACTATATACAATAATACAAAATATAATACGGCAAAATGCTAATTTTAGGGTAAACATAGCAAATTTAAGTTTTAGCCCATCAAATATTAAACATGCACCATTAATTTTGTTCGTCCCGAATTATGACCTTATAATTTCCTTGCGATGTCTTATCCCTTCCAATATTTAACATGCAATTTTTCTGTGTTTGTTAAATCGTATCATACCGGGTGGTCCAACCGAAATAAAGGTCTACTGAAGGCTAAGCATGTATAGGGTTTCATCAATATGAAAAGGTTAAACTACGATAAATTATAATTTAATCACAAAATATTATATCACTAACTTATCTGATACAACCTCGGATCAGATAGGATTTTACAATCTTCTGCTTTCTGTTGGAATATTGGTTCTCTTTATACATATGTTCCATTCAAAGTTCCCTTTATTTTATTATTATTATTATTATTATTATTATATCACATAATTTGGATGATATGTTGAATTAAACAACAAAAGGTGAAAATTCTCAAACACACATATTATTTACCTATATAAATGGAACTTTTTTTAGGTTCAACCAAATGGTTTTACTCGTTGGTCTGACCTTCTAAAAAATCATACGGATGTGGCAGTCACAAATTAATGTGTTTTAAGATATCGGTTAATCATTTAGTAGTCATTAAATATTATAGATTTATTAACAAATTCCTCACTTATTTTGTTTTTTAGCCTATGTGTTCTTGAATATTGGATTAACTTACATAGATGTCATTTTATTTATCTTCATTGGAGACTTTAGGAGGCATATATAATAATATCAATAGCTGCAAAATTTTATTAACCAGATGTGTTAAAAGATATAAATTGCAACCTATCCTCTGACATATAGAACAAAGTGGGTACAAAAAACAGTTATACTCCCATCACATACATAATAAGTAATTTACACCTACTTCTACCAATTAGTAACTCATGGCATTGGAGATTGCTTATTCCATGACAAGTAAGATGGATCTCCAAGCTGCCTGCATTCATGTCAACCCCCAAACACAACTTAAATCAATTTCAAAACCATATCAGTAAGAACTGCAAAGATAGCTATAGGATCAGATCAGCTATTGTAATGCTTTTTTTACCTGGGTCTGAGCACATAGATGAGAATGAAGGTGATTGCCAAGAACAAGCACAAGCCACCAATGGTCAAGTATGCAATCCCAATGAACTCATTCTTCCCACCTATCCAGCTCGTCGTCGAAAGGATCAGCCACTTCTTCCCTCCAAAGCTGTATGTGTTGTAGTTATTCTCCACCACGACTTCGATGTTATCATTCACTTGAAGGTCGCCCTCGATTCTTCCATACAGTTTCCTGAATGTTGGCAGTGCTGCAGTTCGCATCCACACGATCAAGTCCTCTTGCTCGCTCAGCTGCATTGCAGAATCATGTCAAAAAACACAAGAAAGGAGCCATCTCTGCAGCAGGAGTAATGAACAGAGTAACAGAGGGGCTTACTGGTTTGCTTGTCTCTAACTTTGCACCTCCAATGAGACCGCCACTCTGGAAATTCTGAGGGTACACATCAGAACCGAACTTATGATTTCTGTCGCTCTCCCAAGCGATGTTCTTCTTGTTGACATCTACAACCTTATTCTGAACTACAAATTTATATGTGTCGTTGAACAGGCTCCAGGCAACAAGGCCACAAGGAACGATCGGGCCCTTGTCAGTGGTGGCCTCAGGGGAGCAACTGTCGGTGTCATCTGCATCCGCTTTGTACTTTAACTGTTTGTCACTGCGACTTTTTACATACCTAAGGGAAACAGCATTTGCAATTTGCACAATTGTTCATGTATAGCTATGGCAAAGTGCAGTTACATTGACAGTAAGTTTAGTATATACCGACGGTGGTTCTGGTAGAAATTGTCGAGTTGATAGTATATGAAGATTGGACCCTTCATTGCCTTGGAGACCTGAAACGTTGATTCCAATATACAATCTTTACAAAATGGGTTCTTGTTTAGTGAAAAATTTAGTGGTAGAGGAACAAATCAAGATAGACTAACAGCCAATTTCGCAGCACAAGTTTTGTTGGAGTCTTTGCTCTGTATGTGTTGTACAGCCGTGGAGCTCTCAGGAAGGCACAGATCGTCGTACCTATGCACAATCTCCACCACCTGCATATTAATGGAGATGAAAGGAATGTGTGGGGAACTTTGAGCTGACAAAAAAAAACAGAGGAATGAAGAGGGTTTGAGCAGAAGTTACATTGTCTGATGCAAACAGGGAAGCAAGGCCAAGTGGGATGAACACAATTGCAATTGCAACAAACGTTGAGATTACCTGTGAGATCAGGCAAGCAAAAAAAAAAAAAAAAAAGAGAAGAAGAGCTGTTTAGAAGAAGTAATCATTCATCGGAATGGAGAAAGGGTTTGCTAAGAAGCTGAAAGATTGTTGATCTCGTACCACGGTTGGCGTTACAATGAATTTGCAGGCCGGAAGTTCTTGCTGCGAGAATCTTGAATCTGTAACAACGAAAACAAATGAAATGGCCATCTGAACAAAACCACAAAATGATTTGGGAATGGACGTGACGAGAGAAATCCCTAAACAGGGAGAGGGCGAAAGGAGAAAGGGCAAGAAGAAAGAATTGACGAGAGAGAGAAATCGGGAAGTTGATCGGAGCGAATACATTTGGGCCTTTTCGATTGTTTTTTAGTGGCGGAAGAGGAGGACGATGTGCTTGCACCGCCGACGGATCCATGCGTCTCTTTGCCTTCCATCTCCACAACCACAACGCCTTCCAGCGTGAAGCCTGATCGATGATCCTCCGTGCAGTGCGTGGCAATGCGAAGGAACACAATGCCGCGAAATTCCTACGAAAGATGGAATAAAAACTAATTCTGGATCACTATTCACTACCACATTCAACGAGAGAAATGAGATGATAGCTCATCGTATGAAATTGTTGAAGATGACAATTACCTGGTCGAATTAATGGAAGGGAAAATTTCACAAAACGGAAGTTAGTTTTATTGATTCCTGTCAATCGCCAAAGTCGTTCCGATCGAGAAGTGCAATTGATTGTTGCGATAATGCATAATGCTTTGCCTCCGATCCCTACCTTTCCCCTTCTTTTCGTTCGATAGCTTTTTTTTTTTTTTTTTTTTCATTCAGTCATTTTTGTACAAGAAGTTTGCATGGGGGCGTTTGAAAGATGTTATATTTGGGACAAAACAAATTATTTAGAGAATGTGACATTTGGCTATATTATCGATGTCCTTCGTGTTTCATTTTCATAGATGCCATACGCCCAATTACATCCCAACTCAAACAAATTATCTTTATTTCAAATATTGTTGGGGTTACATTCCTTCTAGCAAGTTAGTGGTGACCAATCAAACAATACCATTGCTTGAATGAATTTTTTTTAATGTACGATTAAATTTAATTCATGTACACATTACATTCATGAAAATCTACATATGTGCAGCTATGACTTGCATCCTTTTGAAGCACTCTTTCATCGGTTCATTAGTTAAGGAAATGTTTTGAGTCGCTAAGCTTGGATAACAAGAAAAGGCAACCAGAATCATAGAAGCACAGAAGCTGCAAAGTATAGCAGATCAAGAGCGGAGTATATGGAATCCGTCTTACTCTTCTCGAAAAAACCCAATCAGAAGGAGCATCACTATCACGTGGCCGAGCTTGGTTTTCAGCTCCTTCTCAGTCTTCACTTCTAGCCATCTAGGTCGCTCCTACAAGGGAAAGATTATGCAGCATTCCAGAGTCATCTATTTAGGTTCCCAGTTCCGACAACATTTGACTTGTAGGAAATAGATTGATTACCTTCAAGGTGAAAAGGCCAAACAGATTTGGCCGATCTGCTATTCTTTCCCCTGGCGACGACTTTGAAGGGCTGAGATTGCTGATAAAGAGCTCATAGAGACCCATTCCAAAACTAGCATCACCGTACCCAAGAGATAGACATCTGGTTACCATCATACGAAATCATAGACTTGATTATGATGCTTTCTGTTACTACTTACTACTGCTTAGCTGCAATCTCTCTTCTCATCAGCAAAATTGCCAAGAGACAAGACAAGCAAATGGCAATAACAAAGTAGCACAACCAGATAAAAACTCAAGATTCCTTTTTATTCGGGAGTTTAGAACTTATATTAAGAAAATGGCCCTGTTATTAGTGGTAACTCAGGCAAAAACTAAAAATTCGCGATAGGAACACTGAAAAGCGCTAGTCTGGGAAAGGTGAAGAAGGATATAATGGACAAGAGAAAACGAAAATGCAAATATATATACACCAACACAGCCTTCTGACGAGCTAACTCGTTTTCTTCAGCAGCCTATGTAAACCAGCCAAGCAATGCTCGAAGCAGTTGGAACTTAATGAGTCTAATTGATCTTTCACATTCAATATCTTGGATAAAATGCAGAAAGGGCAAGGGTGCAAAGAGATAGGGAAGGAGGCCAAATTTAGTTCTGGAGCATGGCACCAGCCACAAAAGCTTAGAGGAAGCACAAACTCTCGCCAGCATTTGCAGAACCTCATAGTTCAATAATCAATCCATCCACCATGTTAACAGTATGAAATCACCAAATAACACAATCAAGGACTGTTCTGAGGACTTGTTCTTTAGGTACATAGCATTTGATTGTTTTCTACATATTTCGGAGAAGCTTAGAGGACCCATCTCGCCAATAGAATATTAGGAGACCGGTAGATAAAACAGATTGAACAGGTATCAATGATAGACAAAAGTACCAGACTACTATGGTCGTCAAACTCCAAACTTTTTACTATATCTTCCACCTTAGACTATTAAACAGCAATTTTGGGTGGAAGAACTTCCATCCTTAAATCACAGCCAACTTCCTCATTTGTCAGAAACCCCAAAACAAAATCAATAAGGGCAGCTAGTACTAGTTATCGTGAATTAAATTACATGCTAGTCGTAGAAACAGAATGTGAAAGTGAAACTACCACTAGCATGGAAAACAGAACAGATCAGAATAGAATAGAAGATACTGTGGGAAAATACAGTCAGAGTCACAGAGGTTGACAATCCATACTGAATATGACAGCTTAAACCAATGCACTTTCTTAATATAAGCCTATCCTCCAGCTAAACAGCACTAGATTTTCAGAGGTATTCTCTACACAAGAGGTCTTTAGAAAAAGGAAACAAATTCAGCTATAGCAAGAGAACTCACCTATGGCCCCTACCAGAAATATGATCACTTTTCCACGAGTGGCAAAATATTGCAGAAACGCCGATCCAACATATGTGCAACCCTGCACATTGAAGCAACCCGTCTTAATCTTATAATCTGTTAGTTGCTGCACCAAACTTCCATTCCAAACTTAGCAAGTTAACTGCAGAATCTATACTAGTTTCAGGTAACCAGTACTCGCTTACTTTGTCAGCTGCAAAAAGCCTATTCACTCAACTGAACCACTAGGATTCTACCAAACTCGAGGGTTTCATTCAAATGCTTATGCAGGCCGCGCTAATGGATTCAAAATGAACCCACAATCACCATTCTTGCTCTCGAGAAATCAGCCGAATTCCAGAGCTTGACCAAAGTTATAACAGATTTCGCACTCAATAGAGCTCATAATTACCTTGATGAAGCATAAAAATGATCCAATCAAGGAAATGAAGACAGCAAGAATCGCCAGAAACCTGCACCGATACACGACCTGCGCCAACATTAGATCAAAATTAGGAAAACAAGAAACAGAAACCAGAGGATTGAATCTACTAATTAGATATACTAATCACAACCAAGTATATAACTTCTCTATATTTTCCTCCAATGTCTCCAGTTCCTCTTTCCCTTCGTCTTGGATGCGATCACATGAGATTTCCCGCGCTGGGAAGAAGGCGTTATGGTCGTGGCTTCTGCAGCCACAGAAATGTCAGCGTTAACACACCTGGCGGTGCGGAACAGAGAGCGGTGACTGTGTTGCCGGCGAGGAGAGCGAAACCCCGAGAGATTGGAGACGCTCCATGTTAGGGCAAAAGGAACTGTAGTAACAGAGAATGAGCTCAACGGGCGGGATAAATATGGGGACTGGTTCATGGTGGATGGAAATAAGGAAGCATTGGCATCGATGGAGACGATAAGGCAGACGGTGGTGAATTTGGAACGCACCGGACCAGCGACGGCGGCTAAATTTGGCAGCGGGAGAGCGGGAAAAGATCATCAAACTGACAACGGGAGCCGAGCCACACAAGTTTCAGTTATTGATGCCGTCCGAGTTGACTCATCCACGATCCAGCAACTCGGAAGCCCCACTGTCCACCATCCTCTCCCTCTGTTCTTGTTTAACGTCTGTGTTCTTTCCGTCCATATCTTCTTTTTGTTTCTTTGACAATTTCCTGGACCTCATCTCTTCCTCAAATTTAAGCCGCATGGGCCTGATAGAGTCACAGAATAAGAGCCCAAACAGAAATAAAGATGGCCAGCCCAAAATGGATCTGGTTCCACTCAAATTCGTAACTGTGGGTATAGTGCTTGCAAGTTGCAACACAACACTATTTATAATCGCGAGATCGATTTTATAAGGTCCACGATTTATAATCGATGTATTATGCATTGGATATTTCATGTTTTTCTAACAGAAGATTTTATGATCGTTGAAGTTTCGTTATAGTGTTTTGCTACGACATTTTATTTCTATCGAATTTACTAACAAAGAATAAAATACATACTTCAAGTCTATAATCAATCGAATTTATTGGTTGATATTGATTCACTAAATTTTGATTTGTTGAATCAAACCAAACTGAATAGTTACAATCACTTATTTATCAAATTGAATCATGAACCAATATAAACTTGAATCGACTTGGGAATCATATGTCCCCTATAAGTGAAATGTGGTCATTGTGTGACAGCCCAACCTGATAAGTATCCAATCAAACATATGACGCAACCATCTTGTTGTTAGAGAGTGGTATAAGATCCAGTATAACCTTCTCCCAACAACTCGAGTTATTGAGAGCAACTGGTTATTGACATGGTATCAGAGCCTAGAACCGAAAGGTCATGTGTTCGAATCTCCACGACCCCCAATATTAACCGTTGTCTTTCAAGCACATGGTATGGTGGGCCTGTGCAAACTTCAAGCCCATGGGTTGGCTTTCGTTTGAGGGGGCGTGTTAGAGAGTGGTATAAGATCCAGTATAACCTTCTCCCAACAACTCGAGTTATTGAGAGCAACTGGTTATTGACACTTGTGACTCGATCAGCCTGCAACCTAACTAACACACAAACCAATCGACTTATAACTTGATTGACTCACAGCTTGGCTCAACATAGACACAATTAATTATCCCTGTATTTTCCACTAATTAAATCATACTTGCACGCTGCACCACTTGTCAGCATTGCATCACCAAAATGAGTTTGATAACATCGACTTTTCTTTCATTTTTCTATGCTCCCAACTCGTGAAGAAGGTGCTTAATTGTTTGTAATTCCGTCCGTAATGAGTTGAATCTCCCACAAAAGCATTGCTTAATTGCTTCCCCTTCTTTTCTTTCTTTCTTTCTTTCTTCATGATGAGTAGCTACAAAGGCACTTATTACACAGGCAGCCCGCCACCGGGCGGGAAATCATGGCCACAGCGAAGAACTCATAAGTAGTATGGTCATCAAGAAGAAGGGAGTACGACTCTCAAATTTTCCATTATAAGAACTCTGAAACGATTTGACACAATTCCATCACAAACAGTCATTAACTCTTTCACTCATTTGGGTTCTCCTGAGATTGTCGTCGGCGACGAAACAAGAAGTCCTGATCATGGGTGGGCTGCTGGGGAAGCTCAAGAACATGGTGGCGGTAACGACTACGGTGGTTAAACTGATCCCTAAAGTGACAGTTACTGACCTTGATCTCAAAGGATTAACGTTCGAGCACGTTGAATACCTTGCTAAGCTCACCATAGACAATCCTTACCCAGTCTCAATCCCCGTCACGGAGATCGCCTATCACTTCAAGAGCGATGGAAGGTTTGTTTCTACTAATTAAATTCAGTTATTCGACTTCTAGTTTCGAAGCACAATCTCGTCTATCCATATTGTATGCATAAGCTGATTAACCCACCTAGAATTTTAGCTCGGATCTTACATGATGAAATTATGGATAGGGATGGCAATGGGTAGGGTCGGGTGCGGGTTTACCCTATACCAACTCCTAACCCGCCGGGTAGAGTTTTCTAAAATACCCGAGCAAATAACCATCGGGTATGAAAATTATATAATCATACCCTACCCACCGGGTAACCACGGGTATTCGGGTAACCATGGTTCGAATTCTAAACTATGAACTTATACACATATATATGCACATACATACTGTTGTCCATTAAAAATTCTCAATACTTGTAATTGTTCTAGCTTCAACAATCCACACAAATAAAAACAGCAAACACATAATAATTGTTCTTGCTTCTACAATCCACACAAACATAATAATCGTCTACAACTTCATCATCAATAATGGTAGCTAAACTCAATTTCTCAAGCTAAAATAATTTTCTCAAGGAAAATTGACCCTTTGGTTAGCGGGGCGGGTATAACGGGGCGGGTATTATCGATTACCATACCCATACCCTACCCTTTATTTTGAAACCGGGTATTACCCGTACCCGCCCCTTAACTCGTCAAAACGGGTAATTACCCTTGTTGACCGGTTACGGTCGGGTAGGGTACCCATGGTTACGGGTTGGATTGACATCCCTAATTATGGAGGTGTCTTTTGACCGCCAAGTTGCGGCGCCTTCTTCCTCTTAGCTCTCTGTTTCTTCCCTCCTTGTTTTTCTTGCTTCTTGGCTTCGGCCTCCCTTAATGCCAAAAAAAAAAAAAAAAAAATCCATGGCGTGTGTGTGTTGCAGGGTTATTGTGCATGTGGCGATTCCGGATCCAGGAAGCCTGAAAGCCCACGGCAAGACGGATTTGGATGTGATAGTGAAAGTGCCACACAATGCATTAAGAAGCCTGGTGACCGACGTTTCGAAAGATTGGGATATCGACTATGAGTTGGAGCTGAAACTTATTATTGATCTTCCTGTATTTGGCAATATCCACATCCCTCTAACCAACAAGGGCGAGGTCAAGCTCCCTAAGCTCTCTGATGTCATCTTTTCTAAGAAGAGATAATTAGTGCAACGACGTATCTGTTTGATGATGTGGATCTTGGTTTGAAATGTTTATGCCTACGTGTGTAAATGTTTTCGGTATTTTGTTCTTGTCGTTTGGGTGTGAATTAAATGAAGGACAAAAAAAATATTCTGTGTGTTTGTGTATTCTCATATTTTTGTTTGTCAAACGTTTGCTTATGTGTATATTACTTGTTCTTTAAACAAACGAGTCTATATTTTGATCAATACCAAATAAATTTTTCTGTTACTTTAGCTGTAAAAAACTTATCTTTATTTTTATTTTCGTCCAAAACCACTATATTAATATGGACAATCTACGTTGAGTTAGCATGTATTTGTGATTAGAAGCCAATAGGAACCTGCTTTTTCTTTAATTTATGTCTAGTTGGGACTTGGGAGTATTGTTAGGGATGGTAATGACTAATGAGTCTACTTATAAAATAATTTAACATAATAATTATTATGATTGATATGGGTATAATAATTCATATGGGTATTAGTTTGATATCAAATAAATTCATTTACTCTTAATGGTTTTGGGTTTGAGTCAATTCATTTGACTCATATAAAAAATGAGTTGATCTGGTCCAGATGATTGTACAAACAAAAACACAATATCGACTATTTCATTGATTGCTTTTCATCCAATTCACATTTTACATCTTTCAATGTTGGTGTTCTCGCATTTTTTTCCCCTGTTTCATAATAATAAAAAAGGAAACCTTGTTTTAAAATCGGTACTCATTTTCTTTTAGCTAGGTACTAATACTATCATGAGTTTAATTTAGACCCAAACTATATAATTGGATGCATCTCTGCTCCAAAAATGATGTTAACCATATCTGATTTGACCCATAACAAAATGAATTTCCTTCGTATATTTTTTTTATCATCCCTAATTATTTTGAAGTTGGTTTATAAACCATCATTCAAAAATAAAAAACTAAAACCATTATTGGCTTCACATTGAACATGATGGTTTCAAATCATATTTTTCAATTTCATCAACAAAGCTATGAAATTGAATACGAAGAAGGAAAATCACGTTGAAAATAAAAAAAAAAAAGAAATACGAATACGCAAAAAAAAAAATCATTTTCAGCATGTTTTTTTTTCTCCTTCAAAACGACAATAACATTTTAAAATAACTAATGCACAATCCAAATACCACACCATGAATACAAAGAAAATGACTCTTACATATTAGTGAGTAGTGACCATCAAATTCATCAATAAGAAACCTTTTGAAGAGAATATACAAAAATAAATCTATACAGATTTGATTCATAACAAACAATATCGTACTAATTGAGCGTTGCACCTCAACACCTATATTTTGTATGGACAATTAAATAACCCGCTAAAGCCATTAATCCTCGAAAGAATCGATCCCTCCTTTCAAGTTGGCCGGCAACTGTGCATATAGCTACGTAAAAGTTGACCTGCAGCTCTATCTAGTGGGTGTGGACGACGAAATTGGGCAACTGTGCATATAGCTCTTATTAATAATGTCACAAAAATGGTTAATAATGGAGTCGTCGTTGTCTACAAGCTCGATCGTGGAATTTTTCTTAAAGAATACATAGTGATTTAAGTCAACAAATGCGATTTATTAAATGAAACCATAAATAGTGCGATTGGATCCTAAGAACTATATATTGATCATGAACCTTAATTAACAGCTTATAAATTAACCATTCGTTCATACTTGTAGCCGTTGGTCCCAACCCTAAGAATAAGTCCACCTCTCAACGAACGGTGTTTGTGAAATCGTATCATATCGGCAGTCCGACGAACGCAGGTACTAAGTGATGATCGATGATGATCGTTGAGTTGGAATTGAGTACTGCTGCACAACTGTCTGTCTGCATGCATATGCATGTAGGCTGTAGCTAGCTAGCATTATAGCAAGAACAATAATAATAACATTTTGTGTACAGAAGAAAACAGAAACTGCAGTGCAAGCAGATACCTACCGATCACTGCTTTATTGTTTTATTACTGTTGTTCATAAATGCATGCTAATATATACAGTTGACGGACGCCAACTCCGGTGCTGGGCCCCGCACCTGCCAAATTGCACCCAGCTTCCGGTCAAACCAATTTATTAACCGTCGAAGTAAAACGAAAAGAATTAAACCAAAGCTAGCCAGCTGCCGTAGACCGGAGTTGAGTCCAGTTCAGATAATATGGTTCGTCAGTTCTCTGTTTGTTTGACGCAAAATCTTAGTTAATTATGTAAAAAAGGAAATCAATTAATGGGGTGGGTGGCGTTGAGGATTAAGGTGCTAGTTCTGGAATAGATAAATATATTTCCCGTGATCCCAAAACCATGCTGTTATTCATTAAGAAAAGTTAATGTATTTATCAAAATCATGCAATATATTTATCAATATTCAATACCATAACTTCTTCTTATACTTTTTTTTTTTTTACAAAAGATAATCATGTATTGATTCCAAAAAAAGATAGTTACACCCTGGATAACAGCCAGGCCTGATAATTGAAAGAACGACTCATCGTCGGGTACAAAGAAAGGGCTTTCCTAGCCACTAAATGAGCTACCCTATTGTTACACCGACCTACGAAACGAATACTGAACCCAGGGTTGCTGCCAAAAAGATTAACCACTTCCTCCAACACAGCACCCATCCTGCTAGCTCTTGTATCTGCGCCCCTAATTTTGTCAATGACTAATTTAGCATCCCCTTCAAACCGAACAGAGGTGAGGCCTTGCCCCAGACACCAGAGAATAGCCTCTCGCAACGCAAGCAACTCCACCACCGCAGGATCATCTATACCCGGAAATGGAACCCCTACAGCCCTCAGGATGGCGCGAGACGGGGTCATCAGAACGAAACCACCAGTCGAATGCGACCCCCCTCTAGTCGCACCATCCCACCCACAGACAAACTCAAAATGGCTACCCGGGCTAGAGGCCTGGGGCCCACTCACCGGGGTCTGATGCCTATCCTCAACTGGGAGACGCTCCCATTCCTCAACTTGCTGCGTAAACTGGCGCAGATACAAGATTATCAAAGCCGTGTCATATACTAATCAATACCATAATTTCTTTTCTATCCATTATCTATGTCCACAAATTAAAACTCTCTTCCTTCTATCATGCACAACACATGTAGGCCATCAAAGACACCTCTCTTCGTAATTGTTAGATGGTGTCATTGTATCCAAATTCCAACGATCATCACATCTATGATCTATCCGATGAATGCGTACATCCTTTAGTTTGATGATCTACACACTTTTTGTACAAGTATTGATGGCAATATTCAAGTCCTGCCCCATGCTATTGCAGGTTGGGGCGGGGCGGGGCTACCCACTTTTTAATTACATGTTGTTTAAAAAAACACTAAAAAATTAACTTTTACAATAAAATGAAGGGAAAACACTTTTTATAAATGAAAAATAGTGATAATAGAATGGGTACTTGAGTCTAACTAGTTGAAAGATCGACTCTAGCTAATTGAACAAAAGTTAAAATATGAGAAATATGAATAGATACTTTAAGAAATTGAAATAGAATGAGCCAAAAACGGAGCGGTGCAGGTCGAAATTAAGTAGATATCCATTGTCCGCTCCATGCTACTACGAGTCGCGGGTACTACCTACCTCATGGCGGATCAAGTCGGATATATAATACTAGTCGAGCGGGTTCAAATTGCCATCACTGTTGACAAGAGGTTGTGGAGGCATTCTAATCTCCAACGGAACGGATATCAGGGGGAACGAAGGCAAGTGGAGACATGCATTTTTGTAATACAAATTGGGTAAGGTATTAGTTGTCCTTTCCAGATATTATCACAGGGTCTGATGCTCTATAGAGGTAATGAAAGAGCAACAAAAAAGAAGGCCATATGATATCATACCAGCTAGTTATTAAGAAAATTAAACGAAGGACTCTCTCTCTCTCTCTCTCTCTCTCTCTCTCTCTCTGCTGTATATATTATGGTAACAAAGGTTCCCTGTTCTGCCCGAATATAATAAGCAATTAAGTGACGCCAGGAAGAAAGGAAGAAACACCAGCCGGTCCCTAATTCCGGCCAATCGCCAGGCAGGTGCTCCCGATTTCCCTTTTTCTATGGTTTAATTCTTCTTAATTGTAACATTTAATAAATTTATGATAAGTCATCGTCAAGTGGAGCGGAAGGCGGAGGTCATGTCATCGATCGGCAGCCAACGGCTTGCTTGAATCCTTCCTTGCATGCAATTTGGTTTCGCCCTTCCACGTGGTGCTCATTTCTGCATCATCTTCCATCATCATCACCTCACTGCAACAAAAATATATATAAATACCACTTCATGCACAAACCCAATTGTCACAACCTTTACCACTAGCTAGAAGTCGTATAACTCCGACCATAATTGTATTCACTGCATCTGGTCTGTTTTCTTTGGTTTTTGTTATGATGATGATGGCGCGAGCAGAAGATGATAATACGGGGACGGTGGTGATCGACTTAGGGAGCTTCGATCTCGATACGGCGGCCGCCGAGTACTACGGACAAGAAGAAAACAAGATCGGCATGACGACCGGCGATCAACAACAAGACGATCACAGCTGCTCGCAGTTGTATTTGTCAGCCAGGGAGATGGAAGCCCTCACGGCTCTCTGCGACACCTTCTTGCCCTCCATCCAGACTACGACGGCGACGGCGACCGATCCCTCCGCCGTCGCCGCGTTCTACCAAACGTCGGCTTCCATGGCGGGGACTCCTCAACGGGTAATTAACTTAATTCGGATTATTATTATTATTCTATTAGTATTTTGGACCCACCTCCACGCGCTCATGCACCGCATTCGTCACTTGTACTCACGCTCCTTTCGTGTTCTATGTATTTGCCGGCTGGTATTTTATTCATTTATTTAAAACACTATTATAGAGATACGTATATTTAGTGATTGATTTGATTTTGATTATTATACAGATAACGCATTTTTTAATCTTATCCTACTTCCTCTTAATTAGAAAAGAATGGACTAGAAAAAGGAAGAAAATAATATAGTTGAATATTGTTTCTTTTGATTTAGTCGACATGCAGCGTGCTGTGAAATCTGTTTTTAAAAAATGCCTTAAAAAAAAATGTCCCGACTTAGAAATTAGCATATGATATGTATTCATTTATTTACCTGTGAAATCCCTATAATGGTATCATATATATCACGGATTTTAAACGTTATCAAGGTGGTAATTATTTTTCGAATTAGCGAAGAGCAAATTAGGGAATCCTACTAGATGAATAGATGATGTACAATGATTTTTTCATGGAATTTTGAATTATTTTGAAAGTACAAATAATAAGTAGTGATATGTAAAACAACGTTACACATTAATATTAATTTGAATTCGGTTATGATTTATGAATGGAAAAACTCTTGGTGTAACCAAATACTTGAATTATTTGCTTGGATATCTAGCAATCCACATCGCTAAATGCTCGATCCAACGACAAAACAAATACATAGTGGCATAACCACATGCTTACACCTCAAAATTTAATAAAATTAGTTTCTTGTCGTGTATATATTCCTTAGCATTTATGTGCTTAATTGCTGTCGCTCTCAGGCAGTTGCACACGTTAATGTTTTGGCTACGGAATGGAATGGAATGGAACATCTCTTTTGCAGTTTCCTTCCTAGTATGTACAAGAAGGTGTTGTGGCTCTATCAAATACCCTTTTTAAGTCAACCCAGAAATGGATCTCTCCACACCATTTTCCCATATTTCCCCCATTTCCTTAATTAGTTCACATTTCTCGGCCCTTATTAAAACCTTTATATATGAAGTAATAATTAAATACTGGTTCAGGGACGGTGGGCTCCGAACTAGAAAAGTAACCACCGAAAAAGCCCATAATAAAGTACCCTGGGCCCGCAGGCCCCGCACAGAAACGAAGTCATTTTCCAGCCTCCGTCCCAAACTGACTAGGATTACACATATTGGCCGCACCAACTTTTTTTTTAAAATGACAGGTGATTTGAACACGAGACTTCGAGTGAATTCAATACGTTAATCAATCTTAGGAACAAAATCAATCGATAATATGTTTCTGTGACAATTTGACTGACCAAAATTTCTCTAGCTTAGGCTGACTGGATTCCTGTTTGCATTGCAGGTAGGAAGGATCATAAGCGAGAGACTGGAGCACCCAAAGGTTTGGCTCATAAGGCTTGCGTTATGGCTGCTCTCCACATGGATTGGGACCTTCATCTTCTGCGGGAGAGCCAGCCTTTGTGGTCGTTTCCCATTCTTCCTCAGCTTCCCTCAAATCCCTCTGGAGAAGAGGGAACGAATCCTCGTCTCCTGGTCGCAGAGCTACTTCTTCCTGCTCAGGATGCTCTTCAAGTCTTTGAAACTCATCATCCCACTTGTCTTCTTCTCCCAGGTATATCAGCTTCGTTAACCGTCTCAATTGCTGTCGACTGATCGCAACCCAACAGAAAGTAGGTATAGCTTGTCATTGTCAATCCAGTTGTATGGCTCCACGGTAATGGATGGTAATGGTAGGTAGGCCTGAAATTTTACAACAATGAATAATGAGATCCAACAGTGTCTCGTGCATGGACTAATATTCTCCATTGCCTATTTAAGACTACTTCAACTACTGCACGGGAGCATCTCATTACTGTTGTAGAGGATTAGGGACCAGCAGAATCATATGGTTCAGCTGTAGCTTCAACATATCAGGTCTTCTTATAGCACGTTATGAGCTCAACTAACAGCCTATTCCTCCACGCAACCCAGAAAAGGAAAGCATAATCGATATACAATTTCTATTATTCTAGATTGGAGTCATTGGACTATTACTTCTCTAGCTACACAGTGAGAATATCAATGATGGTGTAGTTCTAGCAAACATATTTTCTTTTCCTAAAGTTTACATCAAGGATTAACTGTTTAGAGATGTAGACTGTGAATATTTATCTACCAAGTCCTGAATTTCATCTCTGTAATACATGCACCAGGTAGATGAGAAGAATGAGAACCTGACATGGAAAGCAATTGGGTATCCTGGACCAGACCCCGCAGCTGCTGATGCTGATAATTCCGCCACCAAAGAAGACATTTATGGACCACTCTGCAGAGGTCTCATTAACATGAACCTTCCAAAGAACATAGCTGTAGACTGCCTACATAGATCAGGATTTCCAGCCACCATCTGTCGCGCCACAGGAACAATCAACATCAAATGTGATGCTGTAGTAGTTGGCTCTGGCTCTGGAGGTGGTGTAATCGCCGGGGTACTAGCCAAAGCCGGGTACAAAGTGCTTGTCCTGGAGAAAGGAAGCTACTTGGCCAGAAGCAACCTTTCACTCCTGGAAGGCCCTTCCATGGATCAAATGTACCTCTCAGGAGGTCTCATGGCCACCGACGACATGAGCTTTGTGGTCCTCGCTGGCTCCACAGTGGGAGGTGGATCCACAATCAACTGGTCTGCCTCGCTTGAAACCCCACAGAATGTGACCAAAGAGTGGAGCGACGAACATCAACTGGAGCTGTTTGAGAGCAAAATGTACAGGGAAGCAATGCAGGTTGTTTGCGAGAGGATGGGAGTTCAGTCCCAGATACACGGAGGGGAAGGACTCAACAATTCTGTGCTGAGAAAAGGGTGCGAGAAATTGGGGTATCCGGTGAACGACATTCCAAGGAATTCCGACCCAAATCACTACTGCGGCTGGTGCAACTTTGGGTGTAAGAATGGGCTGAAGAAAGGCACTTCTGAGACATGGCTGGTGGACTTGGTGGATTCAGGTAATGGCGTGATTCTCCCGGGCTGCAATGCAGTCCAAGTTCTGCACGAGGGGAAGAAAGGGAAATCATCAACAAATCGAGAATCAGCAACTGGGGTTGTGTTCGAATTCGAATCATTCAGTGGAGGATCGAGGACGAAAGTTACCTGCAAGGTCGAATCCAAAGTCACAATAGTCGCTTGCGGAGCTCTCAGCACTCCGCCATTGCTGCGGAGAAGCGGCCTGAAGAATCCCCACATCGGGAAGAATCTCCACCTCCACCCGGTCACAATGGCGTGGGGATACTTCCCGGAAGACGAAGAATCGAAGCAGAAGAGCTACGAGGGAGGGATAATGACGGCGATGTCGAGGGTAATTGCCGACGAATCGACAAATGGGTCCTATGGGGCAGTTATTCAAACACCTTCTCTGCATCCCGGAATGTTCTCGGGTTTAATGCCGTGGGTCTCTGGATCCGACATGAAACGGAGGATGACTAGGTTTTCGCGAACGGCCCACATATTTACACTGGCGAGGGATAAGGGATCCGGTACCGTCGGCGATTCTCACTGCAGAATCAGCTACAGGGTGGAAGATTCCGACGAGAGGAATCTGCAGAAGGGTGTGGAGAAGATGCTGAGGATTCTGGCAGCGGCCGGAGCGGAAGAGATTGGAACTCATAATCTGGGCGGGAAGAGCATAAACGTGAAGGAAGCCAGTTGCGACGAGTTCGAGAGTTTTGTGAAGGAGGAGAGCCGGCTTCCGATGAGAGGACTGGCGACGCAGCTGTGCTCGGCGCATCAGATGGGGAGCTGCCGGATGGGGGCGGATCCGGCGGTGTCGGCGGTGAAGGAGACTGGGGAAACGTGGGAGGTGGAAGGGCTTTACGTGGCGGATTCGAGCGTATTCCCGACGGCGCTTGGGGTGAATCCCATGGTGACGGTCCAGGCGATCGCTTTTTGCACGGCGCAGTCGGTTCTTGAGCGTCTCAAGCGGAAGAAATTTTCTTGAAAACTCGGGAATTTGAGTTCCGATTTTCCTCAACCTGATTTGCTCCCTGTAAACAGGCTTATAATTCAGTCCATGTCATTTCTCAACAAAAAAAAAAAACAGTCCAGGTCATTGTATTTTGCCTTGAAATGGGCTTTTAGGCCCATGGAAATAAATATATGCGGCCAGTTCAATTTAGTGGGCTAATGAAGTGGTAGCCGGCTGGTTGCTTCTTCAATGCCTACGCCAGGCTCAGATCGGTATGGTTAATGGTTTGGTTTTGGATTGGATTGGATTGGATTGTGCAATGCATTCTTTTTCTTCTTCTGTATCTTTAGCTCAACAATTACAGTAGGATTTGTATGCATAATAATCCCGATAATAAAAATATGATAATTACAGTATGATTATTCTGATGTTAATAAACCATATCACTAGAAACTTAAAACATCACATATTTAATCAAATTATTATGCAATTAAGCATTCAGACCTGATGCTTAGCCATCTCCAACCTCTGGCCCAAAGTGTCAAAATCTCTAAAAGAAGGATCTCCCGTGGTAAGTACATAGTACCAAAAAAATCTCGAAATATTCTTTTTAATTAATTATTATCTAAAATTTTACAAAAAAAAAATCTAAATTGAGAAATTTGGCTCTCTGACCTTCTTCATTGAAGCAAACCAACTTTTTTGTGGTCCTAAAATATTAAATTTTACACTAAAAAACAACATTATAGCATTTTGCATTAGAGATGGTCTTATCTAATCTATACTAGCTCACTTATACACTTGTGGTCCAACTCTCTTAGCATAATGGCCAGTTGTAAATTGTAATGCCAAAGTTGCGGGTTAATTGCATGGTTGGTCACTGAGATTACAAAAAACGTTCATGTTTGGTCACTGAAAATATTTAAATCCAATCTTGGTCACTCAAATGAGTTAAATGGTTCAAGTTTGGTCACTCTCCGTCCAACTCCGTTAAATATGTCTGATGTGGCAGTCAACCCTCAAAGTTGACCGTTAACTTAGTGACGTGGCAATTAAAAAATAATAAATAAAATAAATTTTAATTTCCAACTCATTTTCCAACTCAACCCGTCAATAGCATTCCTCGAGAAGCAGGCGACATGAAACCGAATGCAGCGAAAATTATAGTGACAGCTGCCATCCCAGTAATCTGGACTCCATCTCCAATCATCACACAGAGAAGCTTTGAGTGCTCCGGCTCTCAGAACACATCACAAACAACAAGCTTCCACCCAGAAAGTTCTTCGTTCATCTGGGCTTGAGCTTCCTTGTCCAGTTCCTCGTACCTAGTCAAATCTCTCCTCATTGTTCTCAGGAATATTACGAACACTATACCCGCCAAGAAGAAGATAACCATGAGCGAGTTTAGGATCGAGAACCAGTGAACTCTGGCACCTTCCATTTTCAAGTAAGCATCCCAACGAGATGGCCATCTGACGTCAGATTTCACAAACTCAACCTCGTAAGTAAATGAAACCCTTTCTTGTTGCCTTATGATTTGAGACTTCTCAAGCTCCAATGGGCAGCTCGGGGAGGTGATGTTGTCATACTTGTGGAGCTTGATCATTGTTTCAGAATCGTACTTAACACTACACGGCACAACTTCGATATCAGGGGACAATTCAAATGAATTGGTCCTCCCGCTCTCTGAACAGAAGAAGAAGACGAACAGAAGCTGGAGTGACGTCGTATCAGGCACGACTTGAAGGCCAGTCCGGAACGACAGCGTCTCGAGGCAGACCGAAGAAAAGACCAGAACGACAGCGTCTTAGCACCACCTTGTCAAATTTCATTTTAAGTCCACATGTTATGTTTTTAAACACTTTTCCTCTTTTGCATTGTACTTGCTACTGACGCAAGCTTGTCTTGTTCTACAAACATTGACACAGCTATATAAGCTGCCAAACCTAATGAGAACGACCAGGTTTTCAGTTTTCACAATCACAAAGTTGTTGTTATGGTATCAGAGCTTTGGTGCTGGAAACCCTAGCTGCCTCCAGCCTCCATGGCTCAACAAGAAGATGCAGCTGGAGGAACTTCTTCTGCAGCCAGTCTTGACCCCATGGCAGATCCATTCTACCTCCATGGATCTGAACAACCAGGGCTCGTTCTTGTTGCAGAGAAGCTCACTCCCACTAACTACAACGACTGGAGTAAAGCAATGTACAACGCCCTTGGAGCCAAAAACAAACTTGGCTTCATCAATGGCACACTTACTGAACCAGAAGCAACCCACCCTACAGCCTGGGCTTGGGCACGCAACAACATCATGGTGCTGTCCTGGATCCAGCAAGCTGTTGACCCTGCCATCAGAAAGACTATCATGTCCATTCGCAAAGCTTCTGAAGCCTGGACAAGCCTCAGAGCTCGTTATGGACAAGGAGACATGATCAGGGTTGCTGAGCTCATTGAGGCACAAGCCACACTCAAACAAGGTAACAGATCTGTTACTGAATACTATGGTGACTTAATAGCTCAGCGTGATGAACTGGACAACTACCAACCCCTAGATCCATGTGTTTGCACCCCCACTAGTCACAATCAGTGCAGGGCAATGCAGCAAGTAATGGGTTACAGAGACACTAATTATGTCATACAGTTTCTAAGGGGTCTTAATGACAACTACAGCAGTGTGAGGTCCCAGGTTCTGTTTGGAGATACCCTACCCTCCATTGACAGAGTTTTCCAAAGGGTTCTTCAACATGAACGCCAACTATATGGCACCTCCTTACAATGATACCTGGATCCTAGACACAGGGGCATCAGACCACATAGTCTGTTCCCTCACTTACCTAACCAATCCCAGATCTATAAGTGCTGTTCATATCACCCTCCCAACTGGCCAACAAGTTCAGGCTACACATGTTGGGACAGTTCACCACATTGCTGGTCTACTTCTTGAGGAAGTTTTGTTTGTCCCTCAGTTCAGTTTCAACCTTGTGTCAGTGAGTAAACTGACCAAGAACAAGTCCCTATGTTTAACATTTTTCTCTGATGTATGTTTGATTCAGGACATGCAGCTGAGGAAGATGACTGGTTCTGCTAAACTTTTCCATGGCCTCTACCTTATTGACATACCACCTATAGATAGTAAATCAAACCACATCACAGCAGCCACAACACAGAGTTTTGATCTTTGGCACTACAGATTAGGCCATGTTTCCCATTCCAAAGTTCCTATTTTGCAACAACTCTGTACATCCATAGAAACTTATAGATCATTACCATGTGATGTCTGCCATTTTGCGAAGCAAAAGAGGCTTCCTTTTCCTACTAGTTCAACTGTTTCTATCAAACCATTTTAGTTGATACATGTTGATATTTGGGGTCCAAATTCTGTTCCTAGTCATGATGGATTCAAATACTTCCTAACTATAGTAGATGATTACACCAGAATGACATGGATCATTCTTCTAACTGCCAAGTCAGAAGCAAGACCAAAACTACAACACTTCTGCACCTACACTGAAAGACAGTTTGAGACCCCAGTTAGGAAGATAAGGAGTGACCAGGGTAGGGAGTTTCAAATGACAGAATTCTTCCAACAAACTGGCATTTTTCATGAACAGTCTTGTGTGGAAACCCCTCAACAAAACAGCAAAGTTGAGAGGAAACACCAACACATCTTAGCCATTGCCAGAGCCTTAATGTTTCAATCACACCTACCTACTGATTTCTGGGGGGATTGTGTAAAACATGCTGTTTATCTTATCAATAGGGTCCCTACCACAGTGCTAAACAATCTCACCCCCTATGAAAAACTACACAACAAACCCCCTGATCTCACAGAACTCAGAGTTTTTGGTTGCTTGTGTTTTGCAAGCACCCTCACCAACCATAGAACAAAATTTGATTCCAGATCAAGAAAAGGTGTGTTTATTGGTTTCACCACAGGAATCAAAGGTTATAGGATATATGACTTGACCACACATGAAGTTTTTACTTCTCGTGATGTCCAATTCCATGAACAACACTTCCCCTTCCAACCTTCTTCCACCTCAGAACCTACACACAATACTACCCTTTTTCCCACCACCTGCCAACCCTCATTGTTTGATGACCTCCCCCCCACCCTACAACGTTCTACAACTCCCCACACCCCACCCCATCCCAGCTCTCCTTCTGATTCTGACTCAGATTCAGAAGGCAATACACCCCACCTTTCACCACAACCCTCTCCTGCCCCATCTCCCCCCCCCTCCCCCTTCTCCCCCACCCCCACCCCAGCCTACCAGAAAATCAACCCGTGTTACCAAACCCCCATCCAAACTCCAATCCTATCACTGCAACCTTTTACACCAGCAGGTTTTCCCCAGTCATTCTTCCCCACTGCATACTCCAGGTATCTCTCATCCTCTGAGTAATGTTATTCATTATGATTCTCTAGAACCATCTCACAGAAGATTTGTTCTTAGTATCTCATCCTACAGAGAACCAGCTACTTACAAAGAAGCTGTCTTATCACCTGAATGGAATGCTGCCATGGATATTGAAAAACAGGCTCTAGAGAAGAACCACACATGGGACATAGTTGAAAAACCAGAGGGTGTCAAACTTGTTGGAAACAAGTGGATTTACAAACTGAAGTTCCTTTCTACAGGAATCATTGAAAGGCACAAAGCTCGCCTTGTTGCCAAAGGATACACCCAACAAGAGGGTGTAGACTACCAGGATACCTTTGCTCCTGTAGTCAAAATGACAACCATTCGTTTGTTCCTAGCAATTGCAGCTTCACAGAGATGGCACATTCATCAACTAGACATAAACAATGCCTTCTTACATGGAGAGTTAGAAGAAGATGTCTACATGAAACTACCTGATGGTTACACAGCCCCTAGTGGTTTCATCAACCCTGTTTGCAAGCTAAGGAAATCACTCTATGGTTTAAAACAAGCATCCCGCCAATGGTTTGCTAAACTGGCAGAGAAACTCAAGTTACAAGGCTACATCTCCAGTCAGGTTGATCACAGCCTATTCTACAAGGCCACATCTACTTCCTACACCTGTGTTCTGGTTTATGTTGATGATCTTGTAGTGGGTGGCACTGATCTCAACGAAATCACACAATTGAAGACATTCCTACACCAACAATTCAGTATCAAAGACATGGGGGAACTACATTTTTTCCTTGGTATTGAGGTTGCTAGAACTGATTCTGGGATTCACATTTCTCAGAGAAAGTATACATTAGAGATCATTGAAGATGCAGACCTGCTTCACACCAAGCCAGTCAGCACTCCCATGGACTACAAATCACACCTATCAGCCTCTACTGATGATCCATACCCCCACCCAGAACACTACAGACACCTAGTTGGCAAGCTGATTTACCTCACTACAACAAGACCTGACATCAGCTTTGCCACACAACAAGTAAGCCAATTCATGTCCCAACCTACAATTTCTCACTACAAGGCAGTTACAAGGATTCTTCGTTACCTGAAGCATGCCCCATCTACTGGTCTCCTGTTTTCTTCATCATCTTCTCTCCAATTGCAAGCCTTTAGTGACTCTGACTGGGCTGCCTGTGTCGACTCCCGACGCTCCATCACTGGTTACTGTGTCTACCTTGGCTCTTCCCTTGTCTCCTGGAAGAGCAAGAAACAAACGACCGTCTCTCGCTCTTCCTGTGAAGCTGAGTACCGGGCCCTCGCTTACACTTCCTGTGAGGTCCAATGGTTGCTGTATCTGCTCCATGACTTCCGCATCCCACACCCACAACCAGTTTCCCTCTATTGCGACAACCAGTCCGCCATTTACATTGCCCAGAACCCAACTTTCCACGAGCGCACCAAGCACATTGAGCTTGACTGCCACTTTGTTCGCGACAAAATCCAAGCCAACATCATCAAGCTTCTCCACATCTCCACCGTCCATCAGCTCGCCGACCTCTTCACCAAACCACTGCCGCCGGCGACCTTTGCACTCCTCCTCTCCAAGCTCGGTGTCCTTGAGCTCTGCCCACCAGCTTGCGGGGGGGTATCAGGGGACAATTCAAATGAATTGGTCCTCCCGCTCTCTGAACAGAAGAAGAAGACGAACAGAAGCTGGAGTGACGTCGTATCAGGCACGACTTGAAGGCCAGTCCGGAACGACAGCGTCTCGAGGCAGACCGAAGAAAAGACCAGAACGACAGCGTCTTAGCACCACCTTGTCAAATTTCATTTTAAGTCCACATGTTATGTTTTTAAACACTTTTCCTCTTTTGCATTGTACTTGCTACTGACGCAAGCTTGTCTTGTTCTACAAACATTGACACAGCTATATAAGCTGCCAAACCTAATGAGAACGACCAGGTTTTCAGTTTTCACAATCACAAAGTTGTTGTTATTCGAAGCCGACTATCTCATATCCAGAAGCAACCTTCTTATCTCCTTCAGAAATCACACCCATCCCTTCTTCACCAGTACCAATTATCTCCACCCCTCTTCCTTCGTACTCATGAACCAATACAGTGAACTTGAGGTGATTAATAATGTAATCTTCATTGTTGTTCTGTGGTGTGTACCCAACTGGAAATCATATTCACTTGATAGAGATCTCGAGTCCACTGGATCTTGATTCCATTCTGAGTAGCATACCTCATCACAGGCAGATTATCTAGAATCATATTCACTTGATAGAGATCTCGAGTTCTCTGCTTCAATAGCTTTACCCCGTGTTCACTCAAGGGAGGTGTAGTGCAGAGGTAAACAGATTCATTGACATTCATTCTAAACCTATAGGGCGAGTTGTCAATCTGATCTCCCATGAGAAGCTCTCCAAGATTCTCTGCACTTTTCTTGATTCCCTCATCTGGCTTGCAGTAAGGAAGACTGTAGTAGCTGAATGGAAGCTCCGTCTCAATCGAAGTTAACGAATTGACTTTCGCAAATATCTTGTCCCCTGTTGAATAGGTGTGCATGTAGCTATCAGGGAGGTAGAATCCATTGCAGGAATGTGCTAAGAGAACCACAAAAAGGAAAGCCCAGTGCGTGTTGGGCATCCTCGTCTCTTCCGATATCACGGCTGCAAAACCACTGATGCAGATCTAGATATAGTCAGAGAAGAGAGCTCCGAGTCTGATGGACGGATCCCGATCTGGATTCTTTCCTCCGATATGTCTCGAGAAGCGTGAATCGGCGGCGGCTGCTCGGTGAATGTCTCCCGTTTCCCATGTCTACTTGCCTCCAATCTCCATCCACTCACAGATGAGACTTCCGCCACATCACTGTTGACCATAACCATCGCAATCACAATATCCGCGGCCGAATCTTGGTCACTCATTTTCAACTCATTTTTTTATTTATTTTACTTTAATGTGAAAATGAGTTGGAAATGGTAGAAGATTAAAATTTATTTTATTCATTATTTTTTAATTGCCACGTCACCGAGTTAACGGTCAACTTTGAGGGTTGACTGCCACATCAGACATATTTAACGGAGTTAGACGGAGAGTGACCAAACTTGAACCATTTAACTAATTTGAGTGACCAAGATTGGATTTAAATATTTTCAGTGACCAAACATGAACGTTTTTTTGTAATCTGAGTGACCAACCATGTAATTAACCCGTTATGCAACTTGTAAACCAGCGCCCAACTGTCAAAAAAGGTGGGAAAAGCCCACATGCCCACGTTGACCCATGAATGATATAGAATAAGGTGGTTCCTTCCCTATTGGGTTGGGCACATCGGCCCAAATCCCCCCAACTCCTCACTCCCTTGACCCTTCCCCCAATTGGTTCATCTTTTTCATTGACGGACCTTCAGATACTAAAACTTAACAAAAATGAAACATAAGGGTAAGAGCAAGAACATAAAATCCCAAAACCAGCAGGCACAGCACAGGGCTACCATAATTTGTCTCATTGTTAGTGCTGTTATTATATATTATTATTAGTAGTAATTCAAGAAGAACTACCACTTTGGATCAAGACACAAAGAGGGAGATTAGTATAATAGTGAATAATATATAGTCTACTCTCTTTCTTTCTTTTTTTTTTTTATGAAGAATATATAGTCTACTCTTCTTCTTGGGTGGTGGTATCTAACTATCTATTATCTTTCTCTCTCTCTCTCTTTGTGGAAGATGAAAGGCCCAAAGCAAAGCAACAGATTAGAAATGCAAGTGGTGTGGGGAATTAGAACACTGGAATTTGTGAAAAGGGGGATTCATGAACCAGAAGAAGAGAATTTTCAATTTTGAGGGCAGAGGAAGAAGAAAACCACCTTCTTAATCCCTCTACTAATCCTAAAACTATACTTGTATACTCACACTACTAATGTCCTTCCTTTCCTTCACACACATATTCCTTGAGTCAACTCCAAGCCTCCTTTCCTCTCTTTTCCCTTCATTATTGTCTTTTTTTTTCCCCCTTCTTTTTAATCCCTCCCCTTAATTACTCTTTCTCACATTTCTTTTCCTCTGGCTACCTTCCTTTTCCCTTCCTCCCTCCCATGGAGAAGCAGAGACTTGGGTTGCTCTTCATCTTCGCCATCGTCATCTCCCTAGCCGTTCTCTCCTTCGTCTCCTGCGTCATCGCCGAGATCAAGAAAGTCAAGGTACTACCAACATTTCTAATTGAACCTCGCCTCGTGTCCCTCGAACTCCCGAACCTGATTCTTCTTTTTGGGTTTTGGCAGAAGAAGGATGTGAAATTGCAGGATGCGATGTGCTATCTGCCAGAGAGCCATGCGTTTGGCTTCGGAATCGCGGCAATCGCATCCCTAGTTATCGCCCACGCATTGACCAACTTGTTCATTTGCGGCAACTTCTTGTCCTCTTTCTGCTCTTCTTCCAGAGAGAAGCCGGTCACCCCTCCTCTGCCTCCTTCCGCTTCTATTTCTTCTTCAACTTCGTCTTCTTCCTCTGCCTCCAAGAAACCCTCCATCCCCGCCCTCCTCCTCCTGCTCTTCTCCTGGTAATTCTCATTCCCAAAACCCACCACCATCAATTCGTCGGTCTATCTTTGGAACAATCAGTTGGGCTTCACTATTTTTATCGTACGCACGTGATGCTCTGTTTTCTTCTTTCTCTCCCGGTGGCTGAAACAATCTTCAATTAGAAACCCCATGAAATGGACGGGAGAAATTAATTGAGAATTCTGTTTCAACTCACTTGCAAGCAATTCACACGCCCTGACATTTGCCAGCTCAACCAACCCTTTCCCTTCCATTGCATTTCCTTAAAGTTTCATCCTTTATTTTGTTTTCTCAATTTGGGTCAGTCGACAGTCGCCATTAATGATCTTTGTCTGGCGATTGAGGCGACCCCTTGATTCTTGCCTTTGCGTCAGGAGCTTTTCGATTCCCATGATTTTAATTTGGGGCAAAAAGTAGGTAGCGTACTTAATTATCAATTTCCTTCTAATTAAGTCGTCTCTGTTTTTTGTTTCTTTTCTGGGGAGGTGCAATTAGGGCGAGTTTTGGGCTAGCGGTGGTGCTATTAGGGGGAGCAACGAGCATGAGCGCAACGCAGCCGTTTGGGAAAGGATGGCTCGACGGAAAGTGCTACGTCGTGAAAGACGGCATCTACGCCGGCTCAGGGGTTCTGACGCTGGTTTCAACCGCCGCCGTCCTTGGCTCCGCCGTCGTCACCGTCAGAAAAGCCCAGGCTGAGCAGGGTCGCAGAGTACATGCCCAAGCTGTCGTCGGCTCGTAAATCTTTCTTTTTCCATTATTTTTTTTTTTTGTCGGAAAGAAAAATTACAGGCTAGATACAGAGTGAGAAACAGAAAACAAACTTATACACAGATTGAAAGTTACAAAGATGAATGAAAAGGAACTGGAAAGGAATGCTGCAACTTTCGTCGTCACAATCACAGTTGATCTTTCCTTCTTGAAGAGAGGGGAAAAGTAGTTAATTTGTTCTTCCCTACCTGTGGCTGTGGCTGTGGGTCATACTCATCCACTCACCACCCTTTTCTCCGCTGAATTAGATAGAACAGCAGAGACGGAATGGGTTGAGCCTAACATTGTTTATTCCAAGTTTGGTGAGATGGATAAGGAGACAATTGAGGGGTGTTGTGATGGGAGCAAACAAGAAAGAGCCAATCTTTGAGGTCCCTTTCAAAAGACACTTCATGGATAGGGATGTGATGTGAAACGCAGAATGAAAGCAGAGCAGAGTCCACGAACAACAGATGTGCTAAACAATTCAGAAACCTCTTTCGTCCTGTAGCTTTAAGATTTGTTTAACTGCGATTACGGGGGAAAGGCAGGTGATGACAAATAGTTTGATGAACCCCATATATTGAAACTTGCAAACTGGTACAAAGATAAAACATGTTGTTTGCATCCATTTTGATTTGTAGGAGTTGGAAATCAAATTCACCAACTCTACAATTGGCGTGTAATGAGTTTTCCCCGTAAATAATGTCCAAAAATAGATAATTACATCACAACATTCAACCAAAAAATAGAGTTGATAATTAATCGAACCGTTGATGAAAGAATGTTTTGAGCCACTATATAGTCAATTTTGTTGTACATACGGGGAGTAAATGTATAATCAAAGAAAGAAAATGCAATACTGCTGATAAGATTTCCTCCGTAAACACTCCACCCAATCCATGAGCTACCTCCCTCTCACGAACTCGTCATATCTAGGTTTAGCAGTCACTGCAGAAGTTCACAACAAGAGGAGGGAAACCACTTAACTTACGAAATCATGACCATATTATCTGAAGAATTTGATGATGCGGAAACATTATCGGTACCAATTCACAACTTGAGCCCTCAAGGGAGTAGGTCCCGACCATCAAGAATACTATACCATGCCCATGAAGGACACGGGCCTGCCGGTGCATCCAGTAATGGCGCATTATGAGTTGCCACATGGATATTTTTTATTTCGCCAGATTGTGTGTTTCATAATTGTTGGATATACCGATTTTGTATTTGTAGACAACAAATGATTTTAACATACTATGCAATAGTGAATGACATCGTTATGACTTTTTTTTTTTTTTTTTGATGAAGATGATTTATTAATAAGAAAAAAGGATCTAGTCTGTACAGAGGGATCAGGAGGGATGATCCCACAAGGAGGTTCGGACATCCCAAAAAGAAAGCAAGGGAACATAAATAGAAAAACTCAGAATCCACCGGCCACACAGGCTAACATCTGCAGAAAAAATTGCACAACACCAGACAGTATAGAGCAGCCTCCGCTGCTCGATTGTGAGTCAAGAACCAGCACCATCCTTGATCATTGAATCTGTCTGATGCGTTCCCGGACCCAGGTAGCTGCCCCCAGGCGATCGATCTTTCCATTCGCAACTCCCCATCCTGCAACATTCTTCAAAACTTTCCTAACGATCTGATCAGGATTCCTCGAGATACCATTAAAGATTCTGTTATTTCTTTCCAGCCAGATACACCAGCAAACAGCGTGGAAAGCACAGTAAACGAACCAGCCCTCCATACTGTCAGGGGTGTCAGTTGGCCAGTTCTTCAGTATGACGTCGAGATCGTTGCCTGAAGGGAAAACCGTCTGCCTGCAACTTCTCCTGATGATGCTCCAGACTTGCTTTGTGTAAATACAATCAACGAGCATATGGGCATTCGTTTCTTCATTCGTGTAACACAGATCACATCTATTGGCCAAACTCCAGCCGCGTTTCTTCAGTTTGTCTTGTGTCAGAATGCTGTTGTGCGCCACTGTCCAAATGAAAAAGCATATTTTTGAAGGAACTATTTTCCTCCAAACAGAATCTGCAGGGAATGCGGAAACTCCTGGACACCTGTTCTCTATCAATGCTCTGTACATGGATTTGACCGAAAAGCCTGCCTCCTGGTCAGGAAGCCACACAAGTCTACACGGACTATTAGCACCGATAGTGAAATCAAAGGAATTAAGAAGTGAAATCAAATTTTGTTTTTCCTGTTCAGCACCCCTTCTCAATTGAATATTTGTGTGTAAATTAAAAGAAACATTATCACCTGAAAGTTCCACGATGTTGTTGATCCTAGCATCCAAGTTAGTGGAGACAGCAGCAACTCGAGGGAAGTTAACCGCAATAGAAGGGTTCGAAATCCATCGATCATACCAGAAGGAGACGAATGCACCGCTTCCTGGCTCTACCAGACTAAAGTTCCAGAACAGCTCAGCTTCTTTCATAATGTTGGCCCAAATAGAGCTTGACCTGCCCCCTCGAATTCCACCAGTGTGCCAATGGGAATTACCTTTGGAATATTTAATCTCTATGAGACTCCTCCACCACCCACTACTGTTGACACCAAAGTTCCACAACCACTTGCTGAGCAAGGCACTATTGAAGGCGGCAAGATCTCTAATGCCCAGACCCCCGCTGCTTTTATTCGATTTGCAAATCCTCCACTCTACCAGAGGAATTTTCCTCTTGTCTCCAACCCCACTCCATAGGAATCTCCGCAGTAATTTCTCCATCTCCTCGATCACCTGTTTAGGAGCTTTAAAAAGCGAAAAGTAATACACTTGAAGATTTGACAGCACAGACTTGAGGAGAACCAGTCTCCCCCCAGCCGAGAGATATCTGCTGCTCCAGCTATTCAATCTCTTCTTATACTTCAGGAGAATTGGGTCCCATATAGAGATGGCGTTAGGCTTCGCCCCGAGCGGGTAGCCAAGGTATTTAGGAGTACTGGAACTCCAATTGCAGCCAAGGATGTTAGCAAAGAACTCAGGCTCGGGAACATCGCCTACCGTGTAAATTACTGTCTTCTCCATATTGATCTTTAGACCTGTGACCGCCTGAAAACAAGCAAGAGTGGCAGTGATCTGGAGGATCTGATCAGGGGAAGCATCACAAAAGATGAGTGTGTCGTCCGCAAACAATAGGTGAGTAACCTCACCCCGCTGTCCCGCTTCATCCATAAAGAAACCTTTAATTTTACCTTCAACTTTGAGTTTGTTCAGCATAAACGAAAGGATATCCATCACAAGGACAAAAAGCCCTGGGGACAGAGGGTCCCCCTGGCGAAGTCCCTTATGCGCTGGAAAATAGCCTTTCGATTCACCATTAATCAACACTGAAATAGTAGGGGAGCAGACCGCACTAAGAATCCACTGTCTCCATTTTTCCGGAAATCCCATTCTGACCAAAATGGTGAAGAGGCAACCCCAATTTACGTTGTCGAAAGCCTTTTCTATATCGAGTTTGATTAGAAGTCCTGGCTTCTTGCTTCTTCTCCTGCTGTCCACCAGTTCGTTAGCAATTAATCCAGCTTCCGAGATTTGTCTACCCCGAACTGAGGCGTGTTGGGAAACTGAAACAATAGAGGGTAGAACCTGGCCAAGCCTTTTGGAGAGCACTTTGCATATAAGCTTGTTCACACTTCCCATTAAACCGATGGGGCGCAGATCCTTGATGTCTTCGGAAGCGTCTTTTTTAGGTACCAAGCGTAAAAAAGAGTGAGTAGCAATCTTTGGCAATCTACCCGTAGTGAAGAAATCAATGAAGCAATTCAGAACATCAGATTTGACAAGGTTCCAGCATCTCTTATAAAACTCAAAGGAGAACCCATCCGGCCCGGGCGCCTTGGTACCATCGCTGTCCGAGATGCACTCCCAAATTTCTTCTTCTGAAAAGGGCAATTCAAGAAGAGCGGACTCAACAGAGTTTAGGCGGGCAGAGTTATAATTCCTGGGGAAGGGCCGAGACTGGAACTCCTCAAGGAAGAGTTTAGAATAAAACTCCACCACCCCTTGTGCGATATTATCCACTCCTTCAACCATTGCATCATTGATCTTAATCCTCCAGATGTGGTTCGCTTTTCTGTGATAGCTGGCCATTTTGTGAAAGTATCCAGAATTCTGATCCCCCAATTTAAGCCAAATCTCCCTTGAGTTTTGCCTCCAACTAATTTCCTGAAGAAATAAAACCTTTTCCAGCTCAAGTTTTTTCCGAATTAGCTCCTCTGCTTCAACTTCAGTGAGAGACCTGGTCTCTTTAATCAAACTCAGCCCCTTTATTTCATTGAGTAGGCTCTCAACCTTGATATGAATGTTGCCAAATACTTCCTTGTTCCACACCTTGATATTTTGTTTCAAGTCTTTCAGTCTCATACAGAATTGAAACACAGCTCCGTTACCTTGAACTGGATTAGAGTACCACGAGGTAAGACTTGTGAAGAACCTACCATCTTCCAACCACATGTTCTCAAATCTCCACGGCCGATTGGGTTTTTTGCTATCTCCCCACTGAAGAAGAAGAGGAGAGTGGTCGGACTCCACCTTCTCCAATCCCATTAGCCTGCAATCCGGATAGAGAGTATCAAAGCTCGGAGAGATCAGAATCCTATCAATACGAGATTGAGAGTTGCTGTTAACTCCTAAGCTCCAGGTGAATCGACAACCGCTGATGGGGAGATCCAGGAGATCATTATCTTCAATAAAAGAGTTGAAACTGTTCATCAGATCAGCGTTTCTTCTACCCCCGATGTAATCCTCATGAGATCTCACCATATTGAAATCCCCAGCAATGCAGATCGGAGCAACTTGATTCTGGCAATAGTTATGAAGTTCATTAAGAAAGTACAGCTTGTCTCTCCTGTCTTGCGGGCCATAGACAGTAACAAAACTCCAGATTTTTGCTGTAAAAAAGACATCATTATCCTAACTCATAAGAATCGTAAAGGAGTTCTCAAAATGTCATATTTGTGTTTCTCTTTTTCATTATTACTTTCGAATATGTTTATGATCAAGAAACCGATACAGTACAAGGATAAGTCTTTTAACTTTGTGGAGATGGAAAACACGAGAAGGGATAAAAAAACAAGAACGAAAATTCAGACAAACAAGGAACTAGGTTATTAGGTGAATACGCTAGCAGCCATAGATGCGATTGAAGAAAGAAAAAAGCACAATCGGTTCCAATTATACCATCTGATCTTCTGTTTAAACGAAATACAACCACCAAATTCCCTGCCCACCACCGAATGTTGTTAAACCGTTCTACAATAATCCAACCAATAGTATAACCACTCCATGTAAACATCAACAATTTCTCCACAAATGATTATTTTTACTCATATTTACAAGGTAAGCCAAGCACAGCTAAGGCACTGTATCCACGAAATCAACTAAATGCCAACATCCTTAAACGTAGAGCTCACACGCAGGACAAAGAACAGATGAATATAGTGAATCCACAAAAACCACAATTTACACTTAACAACTTGTAAACCATATTAATCATCTCACTCAAATCTTCTGCAACTCTCTAATTGCGCCATTCCACGGCAGTAACCAACCAACCAACCCAACTCAGTGATACCCCAACGGCGCCGGAGTATCCCTCAGCTCATGCCCCTGGTAGTGTATGTCCGAAGCAAGGTGATTGACATCCCTGTGATGAGCCTCATCAGCTCTCACCACCTCCACCACATCTTTCAGAGTAGCATCCGCCGGGAGCCGCCAGTAGTCAATGGCGATGGCCGGAGCAGGGACGTTCTCAATGTTGCCCTTGTCCAGCTCCTTGAGGAACTCCGTGTAGGAGTGAATGGCCTCCTCTTCCAAGTAACCCACCATCCTGTGCGCAAACTTGGGGGAGATGACGTATCCCAGGAAGTAGGCATTGAAGAAGATGCCCTGCACCGTTATCACCAGGGCTCTCTCGTACCATTTCGGCTGCGCCACTTCCATGAACGTCATTAGATGCATCCGCTCGTTCTCCGCCTCCTCGAGCAGGGTTCGGATCCATCCGCCGCTGTGCTCGAACCTCCTTAGTGACTTGCAGTGGAGCAGCATCCCTCCTACCATCCCTGGCACCGCCGCCACCGTTTCCAGCATCATTGCTCGACACCCATATCTCCTCTGTTATAACATACACATTGGGGCAAGGTCAATTTCATGTTCATAATCCTAGACAGGCTAACCATAAATCTAATTCCCCCAAAAATCTGGAGCCTAGAGATCTTGATTGATCATGATTGAAATTGTAGAGTTAGGAGGTCGGATTCATGTTCTTGACTAAATCAATTGCCTACAACAGATGAATGATTCGCCAACATTCTCAGGAATCAATTAAGATGGGAGCCGAAAAGGGTACCTGGAAGAACAAATCGGTTGGCCAGCGGAGAGACTTGACAGTCCAGTAGGCGATTTTGTCAATCATGGTGGATGGCTTGTGATGCTTCTTCAGATCTATCGATGTGTCTGCTTTGTACGTCTCCCATGGCTTTTCCCCCAAATAAAACGGAAGATTACTTCAGAAATCAGAGATCAAGAGAAAGAATTGAAGAAAACGGATCCGAGATTGCAATTGGAATTAATTGATTAGTACTACTACTCACCATGAAGGAATTCCACTTCCACTCTGTTCCATCCTCCTTTCGGATCTTGCGAGTCGGTATGTCCCAGTAACTAACAATCTCCTTGTCTTCGTTTCCGTCCCCGTTCACCCCGCCGCCGCCGCCGGATGCCATCTGCGGCTGCTTCTTCTCTTCCCGCTGTTCCTGCTCCGCCAGCGTCACCGTTGCGAAGGTCCGATCGCCGCCGGTAGTCGTCGCCATACCTCTAATCCAAACCCCGACCGCAATCGGAGCCTGGACCCCGCCACTCGCGATCCCGGCCAAGGCAGCCTGCCGACCGACGGCGCCTGCTCCTCCGCCAGTCGCCGAAGAGAAACTGCGCAACGCCAGAGCAGCCACAGCCATCCTGGCGCCACCGCGGCCCATCGTAGACATCATCATCGCCGTTCAGATCACTGATCGAACACCAAAATCGAAAACCTTAGCAGTAATTCTAGAGAGAGAGAGAAATCGTTGGAGGAAGTTTCGCGAAATCTGGTGAGTTGTGAAAGAATCAAGAAGAGTGGTTTTGGTTTTTTCTTGGAGATGAATAGAGGTTTAAGGGAGGTTTAGGTATATATAGTGTACCCAGACAAACTGAGTAGGTCGACTCGGGTCGGGTTAGATATCCGAATTGCTCGCGTTTTGTGAGCGTATTGATCTGTCGTTTCAGGGTTGATGGAGGAAATCGGGTTATGTAACTGAGAGGCAGGTTACAGGTCAGACGTGTGCTCCCCAAGCATATGATACGTGGCGAGATCTGTGTCGTTTAGTGAGAGAGAGGTAGAGACGTGTCCAAGCTTTTCTTCTTTTCGGGAACGTATATAATTGGTTAAATGATATTTTTTCTTGGGCACCAAGACGAAACTTTTGGAATGTCCATCTTGGCAGGCAGCCACACTTTCCGCCCGGAGTTGCTGGAACTGAAAAATCAGGCAAGAAAAATGGACACCTTCCGAATTTCAGTTAGGAACATTCGGAATTAATGCGGACGGCATACGGCGATAACACGCAATAAGGATTGTCACCGGCTCACCGCTCACCAACACGATTACTAATGTTTTAGCCGTCGGGATTAGAAAATACAATACGTTGAGATTACATGGATATTTTAGCAAGTGAAAAAAATGAAGTATTTCAGTTTAAAGTCAATTCAATTATCGAACGGTTCACTAAAGTCCATGTTGTCGTCACCATTGAAGATTTCATTGTCATTGATGTTGTTGTTGGAGTCATCGATCGTCACAATCACACAATTTGGACAACATTAATTGGTAGAGATTCATACATTGTACTAGTGATTTTTATGATTCTTGGTAGTGCTTTGGCGAAATCTAGTAGTGATTATGCGAACTTTTTAGTAGTCATTTTGATAGATTGTAGACTTGCAATAGTGCGTGATTGACGTTCGATTGGTAGTGGTATTGATTTGACAATGTTAAATATTGAACAATAACAAATCACTATAATAGGCTATATCTAGATATACACCAAGAAATCACTATAATAAATGGATAAATCATCAAATATTAAATAAATAAAAATTCAGATTTCTTTTTTTTCCCCGAACATACTCTATCATAACATTATTGCACTCTTTTACCCTTCATTTTCATTACCTTTGGAAAAAAGTCTTTGCATTAAACATTTTACAATAAAATGTAAACACAACAAGCACACAACCCAGGAACATCGTGCACTAATGAGAGACGCTAACTAGACCAGAACGTCTCCGATCCCTCAATTCTTTATAACGAACAAGAACGCCGGTTTCAGAACAGTACGTCGCCGCATCGGTTGATGACATGCATGTATATATGAACTGTAGCTACTGACTGATGTGACGTGACGATCACCGGCTGCCGCCGCCACGCCGGGGCCGGGGGTAAGGTTTTCCGAGCACATGACTATAGTTATTCGATAACGGGAATCCCTCGGGACTGGGACAGTGTCGCGGATGGCGTTTAGGGCAATGGAAGGCACAGTAGCCGGGACAACAATGTTCGCCGCCTCTCCCACAATACCCTCCCACACTGCAGCAACGCCTGCCGCTGCAGTACGGCCAGTCGCGGCTGCACGTGTGATCCAGTGCTTCTCGATGCGCTGCCGCCATCATTGTCGAGGAGAATACCAACAGCGTTATCATCATCGCCGTCGCCACGGCAATTACCTTCATCAGATCAGTCTCTTCCTGTATCTCTCTAATTCTTCTTCTTCTTCTTCGTTCTTCTTCTTGGTGTTTATTTAGAATATAAGGTATAGGCAGCTGATGAGCTTAGCCCGTTGAATTTATAATGGGCTTACAGTTACGATTGTTTTCCGGCCGGAATACGGATAATATTCCCTCGAGGTCCTCGGTTTGGTTAGTAGACTTTCTTTCTTTCTTTCTCCCGATTCAATTTAATACGTAACATTTTTTTGGCATCGTCTTCATGAATTGATGCCGGACGTACGACGCGGCACTAATTAAGTCTTCCCTTCCCTTCAAGTAGCCACAGAATAAGAAAAACTCATTCCATCAATAAATACATACAATATGAACAAAGAAAGAAAGAAAGTATTAGGGTATTGTCTGAATGCAAATAACGGTATTAGGGTATTGTCTTCTCCAATCGCCGGCGCTTTGGAGATAGAGAGTAATAGTATAAGACGTACGGGCACGGCAACCCTCTCAAGTTTTTGTTCTTTTCCACCACAAATCAACTACGAGCATAATGCCGGAGCCCTTGGCCGGAGAACATTAGCAACGTCGATTCTTATGCCCCTACGTACGTAGCACTAGTCTAGTCATAAGTCATGGGCATCATTTTAATATTTGTTATAGAGTGTTGTTATATATGAGCTGGACATACAATGGCCTTATACCTAATTAATAAAAAAAAAAATTAAGAATGCAAGAATTTATTTTGTCAGAATTAAATAATGTAAGTTAAAATAAATTAATCAATACGACGATGTTTTTTTTATGTCATTAATAATGTGTATTCTCGAAACATTGTAAAGTGCATTTTTTGTTTACTGAAGTAAAGTGCATTCATCAGTGCTAGCTTCAAGTTATTTGAACAATATTCCATCCAGGTGGTGAAGTTTGCTCTTGGTCTAAGTTACCGTTAAAAATAATTACTTTGGCGTTTGTTGTTGGAATATTAAACACAAAATATGAAGTGATTTTATTAGCATATATATGAAATCCTTAACAAAATTGTGGTCATTTGTATCGACTAATTTTGTGGGAACTGATTTACACCCGAATTGAAAGATAGGGTAATTTATTAAATTTCTAAAGTGTGGTTTGGTTTAGGGTTAAAAAATTTGGTGTGTTGTGTAAAGTCTTTTTTTATTATGGGAAATATAATTTCTGCAACTCCGAATAGTTTGTTCACTAGTATAGCAGAAGCAGAGAGTGAATTTTAATAAATGACTATCATGTGTATAAATTTAGGAATATATTCTTTTATGAATGAAAAATGGTAAATGAATTCTTTTTACTTAGAGCGAGTTTTACATTTACTTAATCAATGCGTTTTATGGATTATCGTAGTTATGCTTAAATTTAAGGAAAATGTGGAAAAAGAAGTGAAAGCACACACCCATAATATTACAATATAAGTTTGGGGGGGGAAGATTAAAGAGCGATTGAGGCAAATCAACCAGTCGCTGGATTCAATGGAGAATGAGTCGAAAACAGGCGATTGGGTAGACAGAAGGAGGCGATTGGAAGCGGAGAAGGTGGAAATTCTACTGAGAGAGGAGAAAAGGTGGCTCCAACGTTCCCGAGTTTTCTGGTTAAGAGGAGGAGATAGAAACACAAGGCTCTTCCATAACAGAGCCTCGGAACGCCGGCGACGGAACTCCATTAAGAAGCTTATTGACAATCAAGGGAGGGTTCACTTGGGCCAGGTGGAGGTAAGTTCATGCTTGAGAAGTTTCTATGAAGAATTATTCCAGAGCAGTGGCGAACCGGATAGTGAACAGGTTGTGGATTCAATTAGCCAGAGGGTTACGACAGAGATGAATAGTTGGCTTACCAGAAGTTTTACAGTGGAAGAAATTGAGGCTGCCCTAAACCAAATGGGATCTCTAAAAGCTCCTGGCGATGACGGTTTTCCAGCCCTTTTCTACAAAACAAATTGGGAGACAGTAAAGAGTAGGGTGACTGGAGAACTTTTGCATATTCTTGAGACGGGTGAAGTTCCTCTGGCTCTCAATCACACTCTGTTGTGCCTTATCCCCAAGAAGAAGAATCCAAAGTCGCCAGCGGATTTCCGTCCTATTAGTCTCTGTAACGTGCTGTACAAAATCATGGCGAAAGTGATCGCGAACAGGCTGAAGGTTATTCTTGATAAGATCATCTCCAAAACTCAAAGCGCCTTTGTCCCGGGGCGTTCCATTTACGACAATGCTCTGGCAGCTTTTGAGTGTTTCCACTCGATGAAGAAGAAGGATAAGAGAATTAAGAGAGGTTATTTTGCGGCTAAGCTGGATATGGCTAAAGCCTACGACAGAGTAGAGTGGTTCTTTTTGGAGAAGATGATGCGAAAGATGGGCTTTCATGAGCGCTGGATTCGGCTGGTTATGGCTTGCATTTCGACGGTCAGCTATTCAGTCCTTGTTAATGGCCACAAGACAGGAACGTTCACCCCTTCGAGGGGATTGCGGCAAGGGGACCCAATTTCCCCATATCTTTTCCTCATATGCGCTGAAGGCCTGACGGCTTTGATCAATAAAGCAGAAGAAGCTGGCAGATTACATGGGATCAAGGTATGCAATAAGGCACCTTCTGTTTCTCACCTATTGTTTGCTGATGATAGTATCATGTTTGCAAGGGCAAGTCCACAAGAGAGCGAACAACTGAAACGCATTCTTAAGACCTACGAGAGGGAGTCTGGACAAATGGTGAACCTGAGCAAATCCGAACTTACCTTCAGTAACAATGTGGGACAACAGCGGCGGGCGGAGATTGTGTCAATTCTGGGTATCAAGGAAGTGTCAAAACATGAGAAGTACCTGGGGCTGCCGACGGTGGTGGGCAGATCGAAGAAGGTGGCCTTTACTTATATCAAAGAGAGGATCAGAAGTCGGATACACAGCTGGAAGGGCAGACTGATTTCGACGGCAGGGAGAGATGTTTTGATAAAAGCTGTCGCTATGGCCCAAGGAAACTTTGCTATGTCTGTGTTCAAGCTTCCGGGCTGCCTGGTGAGTGAGATTAATAGTATCATTTCTAACTATTGGTGGGGTGAAAACGAAAACAAAAACAGGATACATTGGAAAAAGTGGAGCTCTCTCTGTAGGAGCAAGGAAGAAGGTGGGATTGGCCTGAAGGAGCTGGATACGTTTAACAAGGCTCTGCTCGCAAAACAGCTATGGTTACTTATGCAGAATCCAGATTCCCTTGTTGGTCAGATCCTGAAAGCAAAATATTATCCCCATTGCTCAGCACTAGAGGCACAGTTAGGCTTTCGGCCGAGCTATACTTGGAGAAGTTTAATTTCAGCTCGGGATTTGATTTTGAAAGGAAGCCGATGGAGAGTTGGGAACGGCTC